GGACACTAGAAAACAGGTGGCTGCTGTTTTTCAGGCAATAAAAGTTTAAAATAGAAATGGCCTCTCCTGTACTTCCCCGCGTGAATATCTCCAGCTGTCATTGTGAACCCTTGTTTCTAAAGCAAATATAAGGAATTTTTTCAGCTTTGCAAATGGATGCAGAGACAATTTAATCTGACTTCTTGCTGAAACATGTAATTCGAGCTGGCTCTGGAGGTTTCTGGCCGGTGGGGTTGGTGCTGGGGCAGGCGGCGGGACAAGCAGGGCACCGAGGATCAGGACCTTTCCTTGGGGTTTTCCCTGTGCCGGGCTCTTTGTGCTCCCGCTTGGCCAAAGGCAGAGCCTTGCGTTGGTGTTTGTGGGCGTGCTTCTGCTGAAGTTATTTCCTTGAATTTCCTGTTAAAATGCCGGCCGACTTGCTCGCTGACGGAGAGCCAATACTCTGATAGTTGTTTCACCTGTGCCGTTGGCCAAGCGGAGCCTGGTGACCCGGCCTGGCTGGGGCTCGGGCACGGGCACGGCAGCCAACCCTCGTGCTCCGGGGAGCAGCAGTCCCGGGGCAGAAGCAGAGGGACCGGGACCATTTTGGGGAACAAGCCGGCGTGCAGGGCTCCTTACCAGTGTTTTCTCTAAGCGGGGCGTGGGCTCATCAGGGAGGGTACACTGCTCTCCTGTTACCTTTTGGTTTAAACCATGTTTGTTTATGTTTTTACCCTACAAGCGCTTTCCTGCGGGTGTTGCTTTTTATCCCAGCGCAGCAGGGTGCAGTGCTTGGGGCTGGGAGGTGCCGGCGGGGGTTTTCGGGGTGCTGCAGCCGCAGGGGCCGTGGCAGTAAGCAGCTCACCCCAACCTGCTCTCGCGCAAGCGGTTGGAGAAACACCAGGAGCATCACAGGGCACCCGTCTGCCGGCCCTGGGGGAAAAGCTGCTGCATGTATACGGGAGAACAGCGTGGCTTTGGCAGCACTGCACATATTTTCCTGCAAAAATGGGCTGATTTTGTTGCTGGACTGGCAGCATTTCTTTTTGCTTGGATATTGGCTTTCGCTGTGCAGGAATTTGTGGTTTCTAAGACTCTAATTACTTTAGCGTAATAGTTTTTCCTCTGCTTTCTTAATGACTTTGGTGGGTGCCATCTGCTGTTGTGACAGCACCTGGCAGTGTGAGGCTGAGCCCTGGGTGCTGGGAGGTGTGTGCTTTAACCAAGCTCGTCAGAAAATCTAGGAGTTTGAAACGTGATTTTTAGGGATTAAAGCTTTACCTCCAGCCCTGCTGGGACATGATGCACTAGGGTGGGCCAAAGGGCGAAAAATATTTATAATGGCTCCCTCCTTCCTCCGTGGGTCTGTTTGCAGGGGCATGGGCAGCCAGCACAGTTTGGGATGGATGGAGGAGGCTGTGTTGCCTCGATGGCAGGCAGGGGCCGGGCCACATCCTTTCGTGAGCGACTGCTTTTCTTGCAAACAGCTTGACCTCTGTCTTTTCGGCTTCACTGCAGAGGCATTGTTGCGGTTCCTGTGACAGCCTGGGTGCGAGAACGGCTGGCGTAATGCCGTGCTGCCGGGGACGGTGGGCTGCTGTGTGCAGAAACAGGGAAATCACACCGCTTGGGTAAGGAGAGACCTAGGGACTGCGTTTCTGACAGCTCCGGCGGAGAAATGCCTGTCTGTGGGTGCTGCAAAGCCCGTCTGGGTGACAGCTCTCTGCAGCCGGGCAGGCGCGTTCTCGCCTCCCGGACCTCCCCGGGACCTTGGCTGCGCGTCCCGGGACTCGGCGCAGCCTCACGGGATGCAGATCACAGCCCCAGCCCGCACAACGCGCTTTGTGCGGTACCACCAAATCCACAGGAGTGGAAGGGCTGTAGCGAGTTATTTTAAGGAGCTTTTTCTGTGGTGGGCAGTGCTTTCGGGGTTTTGAAGCCTCTCACGCGAGGATGTGGGAACCTTTTCAGTCCTTCCCTTTTAATTGTCATCGAATCCCATGAGGGTCGCTGCCAGGACTTTGTCAGGCTGGACATCAGAGATACCAAAGCTAGAAAAGGAATGTTATCAAAACCCCAACTTTTAAAAAGAACAGCTATAGAAACAGAGTCCCAGTTTCAGGACCATGTTGCAAAATAAAAAAGGACTAAAAATACTGTGTAATTGGAAGGCCTGAGTTCTGCATACCCAAAGCCACTATTTAACGCCATAGCGACGTGAAAGGCTCTTAGAGGGAATCTAATTTACTGTTACAGCTGGGGTGAGGTGAGACAGGGACTTGGTGTAAGCAACACTCAGGCTCATGGTGCTGCTTCAACCTCCTTATGCTGCTGAGTTTTGCTGGGATTGCTGCAGTGATTAGCAGTGGGAAAAGTAAATCGGACAGGTTAGCAGAGAGCCATATGCCTGGTGTGGGGGGTTCTGCCTGGTCTGGTGGGGTGGCTGAGCTTTGGGGATGCCTGGCCCCAGACCTGCAAATGGGAGAGCAGCTCATGAATGTCCTGTTACTTTGCAAAGTTCGGCAAATTTTCAGAAGCACGTAGTGTTATCCTGAAAAAAGTTCAGTGTTTCAGAGGAATAACCAAATTCAATTAAGCATTTAAAGAGCATGAGGCTGACAGAGATATGGGTTCATTTTCTCTGTCTACCTGTTGGGTGTTTGGGTCTTTCGCACCGTTAATCTGGTGGGCTTCTCCCACAACAGCTGCAGGGCTCTGCTGAAGCTTCTGAGGTTTCTTTCAGGACTGTGTAAGCTGTGAAGCAAAGTTTCCAGAGAGCGATTAAGACGGAACTGTTTCAGGTATCTGAGCTGGTGCATGCTGGATTCCTGCAGCATGGAAAAGAGACATTTTGAATGCAAAACTGTCAAGGGCAGGATATATCTTTTCCCCAGCCAAGAGTAAGAGCTTCTTTGGGGTCAGCCAGAAGCATGGCAGAGCGGGTGCTCGGTGAAAGGCTGTGCAGAAATCGCTCTGCCCAGGGGTTTGCACGGGACCACGGTGCCGCTTACATTAGTAAAACGGGCCTTAATTACACATAGGATCTGTGCTGTCCTCCATCAGGGAGATGCTGGGGGGTAGTCATGGGAAACACAGCATGTGAGGTACCTGCCTTGCGTTTCTGAAGTGCTGTGAGGAAAAGCTTTCATCTTGGTTTTGTTTTCTGAATGTGTTAAAAGCTCACCAGTCGTGCATCTGGGACAGAGGAATGGCCTCTGCTTCGCTACAGATCCTGGATTTTTTATTCTCTTTTTACCGTGTACCACAGTATGACAAAAAAGGAAAGCAAATTTTTTCTATATTTTTTTTAAAGGTGCCAGTATATCAAGAGATATTACCATACAAAGATTTTCTGCAACATTTCAGAAAAGGATTAAAACAAGATTAAAATATGAACATCCCCAAATAGCTCCTGCCTGGGGCCGTTACCCCCTTGCATGACAACTGCCTCCCCAAAGTCCCGGCTCCATTTCAAAGCAGGAGATGCTCAGGTGTCATTAAAGCAAAACCCTAGCTCACATTTGCTGCAAAGGGCTTCAAGATATTACTTAATGCATCTCAGAGACTCAGGAGCCAAAGGCACAGGACAGAAACCCTTTGGCTATGATTGGCTTTGGAAGAGCAGTGTTGATTTCTTGGCTTCTCTCACACGTCACAGAAAATATTAAGCTGTTTGGACGCTTGGTGGTTCGACTGTCTACCCAGTGGTGTTATATGATGCTGAGATTTTGGTCCTCATTTTGGGCTTATTTTCTTAGGCTGCAGGTTTTGCTGTCTTCAGCAAGGGCCCTTGTACCAGTCTCATTTTTAACTCAGGGCTATGTGAACATTGCATCCCAGCAAAACCATTGAGCTGGGGGGGGGTGAAGTTTGCTGCTGATGGGGAGGCATCTGATGTTCCTTTTCCAAGGGGTGGAGAGCCCAAACACTCCATCCTGCAAGGGTGTTACCCCAGAGGCACGTGCCACCCTGGCATCGCGTGGCTGCCGGAGCGGTTTCATAAGCACCGTCCGTGGCATGGCCAGGCATCAAGATTTTGGTCAAGATTCAAAACAAGGCAAAGCTGATGTATCAGAATTTGCTTCCCGTTTTCTTATGACCATTCATATATAGAGTCATGGGTTTGCTTTTGGTGTGAAGTTCAGTTTTCATAACTGCAGTGCTAAGTTCCTGGCTCTTGCTTATGAAATCTGAAGCCTAGGGCTAGGCAGCTGAGATGACATTTGCCTACTTCAGAAGCTGCCCTTGTGTTTTTCTCACATTTTTTAAAGGTTTGTTTTCTGAACTTGTAACATGGACAAAAGTAATGCAATAGCGAATGTAATGACGTTCTCCTAATAGTTTTTCCTCGTGACTCCAGGGATTTTGGAGAAGTTCCTCTTGCCTCCCAGAAATGTGAGAGCAAAACCAGGCCCCAGATTTTTCCAGCCGTTGGCCGTGGCTGAGGTGTGATTTATGGAGAGGGCTTTCCTGCCTTTCCAGAGGGATGCCCCTCTGCTCGAGGTGGGGCGAGGTTCCTGCTCCGGAGCTTGTAGCAGCCGGCTTGCGCTCATCTCGCCAGCGGCACGGTTCCAGAGCGAGCGCGGCTTCCCTCGGCTCCTCCAGCGCCGAGCTGAGCAGAGCCAGCACAGGGGGCCGTATTTCTTCGGGGCTGTACGGATGAGCTGCTCAAACATAAAGAGGTTGAAGCTTGCAGCTGTTAAAGCTGTGGCCTGTCCAGGAGGATTGCTTGCTCGGTTAAGAAATTAGAGACTGTGCTTAGACCAGAGCAGCACAGTGCTTTGTTTCTTCCCACAGCTTATGACCAGGCACAAATAACTTAATCCAGTGTTTCCCTCTCTGCAAAACATGCACATTGGTGGTTACCTAAATCACATGAGTATCAGATTGCTGAATTAATGAGCAGTCCATTGGTAACACAGTTTGAAATTGTCAGGCTGAATTAAGCACAAGATTTTAGTTACTGGTTATTTTATACATTATATATATGTAATTTTTTTCATCTTCTATTTTTTCTGCAGGAAAAAACCAAAGTGGTTGAGCCGCTGGACTATGAGAACGTGATCTTTCAACGCAAAGTTCAGATCTACAGTGATCCCCTCCGGGACCTGCTGTTATTTCCGATCGAAGATGTATCTGTGAGTTTGCACTGGCTGGTTCTCATGTTTGATGCTCACTCCACTCCAGTCCTGCTTACCTTGGAAAATTTCTACTGTTAACCACATGTTAATTTTGGCTGCATTACTGGTGATTTAGGCCCACCACATTTATTTAAAGCAAGTATCAAGCCCTGAGGGCTGAGCTTGCACTGAAAACACGTTCTCCTTTTTCCTGCAGATCTCAGTCATCAGTCGACAGAGGAGGACTGTCCAGTCAACAGTGCCAGAAGACGCTTTAAAGAAAGCTCAGAGTCTCTTTGTCAAGGAGGTAGGGGCAAAAGTCCACTAAATGCCTGCCTTCAGCACTCCCACCCTTCGGCAGGATGCTCTGCTGTAGCTCTTGGTCAGCGGGGTTGCAGATCATTTGATTTTCTGGTGTGGGAAGCGCCGGTCACTGCCCGGCTGGCTGCACGAGAGAGTTCTCGCACGTGCCTCTTGTGCAGGGCTGCTCTCCAGTGGGTTTTGTAGGCAGACAAGGCGTGTGGCTTTGCAGTGCCTGCCTGAGCTGCACGGTGCGGGCAGGTGTGGACACAGCCCCCCCCAGAGCATCCCGAGTGCCACGGGTTTGTTCTGCAAAGTGCCGCTCCCTAGGACTGTTCCCTCCAAGTGTGGTGGAACTAAATGCCAAGCAACGGTCCGTGTCGAGTTAGAGGCACTTTCAAGGGCAGAACATTGGTATTTTCTGGAAAACAGTCCCCTCCCAATTCCCTACTCCTTTTTTAAACCCTTGGAGCGATATAAATACAAAACCAGTAGCTGTGTGGCAGGCCAGATGCTGTGTGATTTTGTTTCTGTGCTGAAAAGATTCCTTATGAAATTCTGCATTGCAACATAAAGCGAGTGAAGCAGCCTTCTTCAGACCCTTTCCACTTGTGCTTACCTCACCCAGCAATCTGTAACCTTTCAGACTTGTGCATGGTTTTGTTTTGCTTGGTGTCGCTTTCAAAGAACTGTATTGTTTTCCTTTCAGTGCATTAAAACCTACAGCTCAGACTGGCACGTGGTAAACTACAAGTATGAGGAATACTCGGGAGACTTCCGGATGTTGCCATGGTAAGTGTCACACTCCCTTGGAATACTAATGCATGGTCACAGGGCTGGGGTTTGATCAGGCTCAGGAGAAACAGTCTGCACTTTTTCCTGGTGCCTGTCCAGCGAGCAGCCTTCTCTCCAGAGGTATGTCACTCTGAAGGTTAGAGAGCCAGAGGTTCGTGTTATCGTGACGTTGTCACTCAGCTGTGTCAGGGAGATGCTGACAATATTGCCAGCACGGGTTGTTACTTGGCACCCTGCCCGCCAGCACACGAACAGCCCCCTCCGTCTGGGGTGAGGACGGACTGCAGTCTGGGCACATGGGGGGACAGAGAGTGTGGGCAGTGTCGGCTCATCCCAAATGAGGACCCGTGTCATTCCCCTGGGCTGATGTTCTCAGTGTGCTAGACACAGTGTTCCCGTGCTGAGCAGATCTCCTTGGTGTCCCCCATCACTGAGGTGGTGTTTCGCAGCTTCAATCCGGTGGTGTAGCATCGCTATTAATGCTGGCAGTGCTGGAGGGTTACATGCTCTGAAATGCCGGGCTGTGCCAGTGATGCCAGCCCCAAAGCTCATCGGGTTTTTCGGACAAGCATTTACATCTTGGATTTCTGCCGGATTGTTCTGTTCTTAATGGTGGTGCCTGCTCTGCTCTTGCTCCCCATCCTCCGTGCATGCCTGGACCACTGTTCAGGCAGTTCGTGTGCTGGCAGCTTGTTAAATGTTTTTTCTTCTTTATTTCCGGCTGAAGTGGGTCTGTTCTGAGGATCTCGCAGGGATGTGAAGCAGCAGTGGGGCAACACTGTTGATCAAATCATACTAAAATTTGTGAATAATCTTGCAGTCTGATCTTGCTTCTTTTTTAGCAAGATGGAAGATAGACTGCCCTGCTGCGTCCCTGTGTTGCATAAATGCAAGTCAGTGAAAGCTCTGCAGAATCAAACAGCTAACAAGGAGAAAGCTAATTACATACTGCTTATGCTTAATTTCTATGAAATGCACTCAAAAGCTCGCTTCCTTCAGCTGTAAGGGGCTGTAGGTCTCTTAAATCCTAACTTCTGCAGGAGGACAGTTCTGCTCTGCTTTGTAGTCTGCAGTTTGGCTATTGGTTCTGGATCCAATGTCCACTTGCTGGCTCGAAGGACCCTCATTTCCCAGTCATTAAAAATGAAAATATGTTGTGATTTCAGCAAATCCTTTAGGCCAGACAAGATTCCAAACCATGTGTTTGAAATTGATGAAGACTTTGAAAAGGACGAGGTAAGGAAATATTTTTTTAATGTGTTCCACTCTAAGAGCTGTTAAAAAGCAGATTTTGCAAGGCAAAGTCATAATTCAGTTCTCAGGAATGGTTTTCTGGTGAGATGCTTCGTACTATGAAGATGGGACAAAAACTGAGACAGTGACTTATTTCGAAGTATGACAAGGTAATCTCGTGAAGCCAAGGGTCTCCTAAATTATATTGGAAGATTAGCCATAATATTTCTCATTACTTTTTCCCTTGAAATGCTGCAGCAGCAGAAGAGAAAAAAACAAAGCCGAACAATTACCGAGTAAAATTTTTCATGTTCATAATTAATAGTGGGCAGTTTGGTTTTCGACTACACTGGGATGTTGGGGTCCACCTCTTAAAAATTGTGTTCTGTCATATAGCCTGAAATTCTTAACCAGTCACTTCTACCCAACATATTCACAGCGTGTCAATCCCATTCTGTATAGACCGTGCGAGTGTTCTGAGGCTTTTGCTTCCTCTGGAAGTTGGCGTGTTTGTGCTCAGCTGGCTGCTGGGAAGATTTGCAGCCCTGGAGCTCTTCCTTGGGGGTGAGCCGGGGGCTCTGACAGTTGGGACATATCAGACCTGGTGGTCATTTTGGATGATGCAGATGCCATGTTTCCCTGTGCGTATCGCATTTGTTACAAAAGGGGAGGGATGGCATTTTTCTATCCCAAGTCCCGTGTGAAGCTTAATCTGTGTGTGTGACATTAAGAAGTTTTAGATTACAGTGGGAAGAGTTTAGCCCAGCTGTTTAAAATCCGCATGGCGCCAAGATGTTGCTTCTGAGGAACTTACAGAGGAAAAGGGAAGTTTCCTGCAGAGGTGAAGGTTTGAAGGGGCTGTTTCCTGCACGTTTCTCACAATTGCTGTGTGTGTCCCAGCACACCTCAGGTCTGGACTGGGATGGCTTTTTCCTAAATGGAAATGTATTCTCAAGTTTGGCCTTAATCTTTTTTTTGGCTGTGTTGTTGGCTTGCATTACATTGTTAACTTGAGCTGTTATTGCTTTAATAATATCTAATTTGGGCTGGAGACAGAGCTGTGCACTATGTTATCAGCAGGTCTGAAAAAAGCAAAAGAACAAAAATATACCATTAGAATTTGATGGAGACCTTTCTTCTTCTGGTTAGTGTCCCACATACTCAAACAAATGAAGTTACTGATATGGGTTGTGGAAGAGTATTCTCAGTGCTTTGGCAGATATTTTGGCATTTATCTCTTTTGGCATGGCTATATCTAAAGGATTCTGTTACAGTTTCCTGATGGAGTGTTTACATTAGAATTATGTAATGGAAATTCAAGAAAATGAATTGATGAAATAAAGGTGAACCGTTATAAAGGAGGTATCTTGGGTTGTTTTACCCAAGGAAATAGAGCATCAGGCAATTTACTTTGTCGTTGGCACTTTGACAAGAAAAGGGTGAAAACCTGCCATTTGGGATGCAGGAGACAGTGTATACCAGTCCCTCCGTAGCTCACTGGCAGACAGTCCTTGTCCACCTCTGCTGCTGAGTCACTGGAAGTCACAGGGCGAGGTTTTTTCACCAGTCTGGGATCTCATTTCCCTCCCTCCCCAGTGGAGGTCACAGTTAGGTATGGATGGAAGGCTCTTCTCCCATGCTGGGACCACAGGACAGGAGCAGAGATGGAAATCCCAGCTGGTACGCCACGAGCGGCCTGGTTAGGTCACTTGAAACTTTTTGGCTTCATAAATGTGGAACCGGTCAGTTACATTTCAGCTGTTGGGCTTTGGTGGGCTTTGCCTAAATTTAAAATGAAAAATGAGTTTATACAAAAGGAAGTGACAAAACAAGTCTGGAGTTCTGCATTTTGCAGCTTCCTAAACGGACTATTTTGAAAATTTCCTTCTTCCCCAGGTTTTTTGAAATACTGTGTAAGAACCAACATGCGTTTCCTCATTGCAAAATTGCTGTGCAGCTCTATCAGTGTAGATGTAATCTTGCCTGTTTAAAGGTGACCCAAACTAGCCTGTTTCGCCTTTTTCCTGGAAGGAGCTAACCCTGAATTTTTTTGTGATAACACTGTGCATGTTGCTGTACATGTTACATGTACATTCTACGTGCTGCTATATTGGTGTAGTTAAAACTGTATTGCTTTCCAGGGTGGGCATTCCAGGGGGATTTTGCCTGGGAGGCAGTTCACCTGACCTCCTCTTTTTCTGATCTTTTGCTGTCTTTCAGGATTCCTCATCCCTGTGCTCCCAGAAGGGTGGTGTGATAAAGCAAGGCTGGCTGCACAAAGCAAATGTAAATAGCACAATCACCGTTACCATGAAGGTGAGCTGGATCCAGCGTTATGTTAATCGTGAACGAGGCACAAGGTTAAGTTCAGACCACGTCTCTAAAGCTGGCAGGAGTGCAAGGGGTGGGTTTGGGTTTGGGTTTGAGTTTGGATGGGCGTCCATCCCTCTTGTAGAGTATCCCAAGGTGGACTGGAAAACCCAGTCTGGCAGCAGCTTTTGACCCCTCCCTCCCCAGAATATTAAGACCAAACGCACTTCAAATCATGACAGGCAAGCTGAGCAAAAAGGTAAAGTATGTTCTAGTGAACCAAGATTGTTTTCTGAATGAGCAGCTGAGGCCCAGAAGAGAAAGGCAATTTAGGTAACTGAAACAGCTGCCCTGCAGAGACTTTCTGAATTGATAGTTTCCTTGCTGGTAGGAAATGTGTACGGAGGCCAGCTTTAAACTGAAATGGCAAGTCTTTGCTTTAAAAGCAGGGGTGATATCACTGAAGAGATGGAGCATTACTAGAAGCAACAGCTGCATTGTCTCCTGTTCTCTGCTATACGTAATCCAGCGTGACATTGCTTAGATTTTGCAGTGGAGGTTTTTAGTAATTCTACCACAGGTTTTTGCTGTGGCAAAGAGCCTGTCTGTTGTTCCACCATGCAGCTGCCTGGTTACAGCATAGAGAGTATATTGGGGAGTTATGTTCCACTGGCTGCAGTGAGGCTGCTTTGTAAGGATATTAGTAAATCTTAAAAAGCTCGGTTGTTCTGAGGCTCAATTCAACAAGTTATGCTTTCATGAGAAGTGTAACAGGACCGTTCATAGGGCTAATTTTAATTTGAGTTTTAAAATGACTGCTCATGAGCTTGAAGGCGATAGACAGAGCAGGATTTTCTGATCCTCTGCTTTTCCAAGCAGCAAGGTTGAAGCCATTTCTGCTCCTGTAACTTCTGGAGGAGGTATCATATGAGCTCAGAGCAGTCAGTCGGGCCCATTCTTGACTGAGACTTTTGTGATATTCTTGGCCTCAGTGCCCAACACCTCAGACCCACCTTTCAGAGATGATATCTGAACTACACTGGCTTCAGTTCAATTAATAAGAGCCACAGAGTCTCTCGTGAAACTCAGATATCAAAGTACCGAAAATCAGTAGCCATTTTCTGAGCTGGTCCTGGTCACTTCTGTGTCTTACAAAACACCTCTTTAGGCACATACAAGACATCTGAGGACTTTGAACATCTTCAGCCTTATCACCACTTTAAGAGGCTGCTGTGCTATCGCAGAAGCAGACGTGTCCATCTTTTGAGTGCTGCTTCTTTCATTGCTGTGATGTGCTGAGCTGTTGGTACCTCACACGGTTGCTAAGCATGTGCAGAGTGTATCTTGTGGAGAGCCAGGCCACAAACAAGCTGTAATTAGGCTACAGCTGCCAATCTTTGTTTCAGAGCAACCTTTCCTTTGCAGAGACCTTCCCTGGCTTGGCCCGGCTCTCTTGCTGTCTGTTTTGCAGCATGTCAGTGTGCTGCGTTATAACCATGGCGTGAGGATTTTCTCTTTCTTTCATCTCTGCCCAAATAGACTTCCCCAGTTCTCCAGCCATCCCTCTGCAGTTGTAGTGCTCACCAACAGCGTCTGTAGCCTGACAAGAGGGGATGTTCCCTCTGCTCCTAGGTTTGTAGTATTAATTTCAAGTGATCATAGTCTTCCGACAACTACTGCTGACAGCAGTGCTTACAAGGGAGGAAGATCATAGGAATAAGGTTTGCTGCTTGCTTCTGCATTTCCTTTTGAACAGAACTCAGAAGATGCAAATGGTTTAACATGAAATCCCATACCCACGAGGGATATCAACCCTGTAATATCTAGAAATCTATCATGAGTTTCTGCAGCATCTGCTGCCAGAGTTTCTGAGATTGCTTCAGTGAAGTGCTAAATCAGTGTTTAAGCCAGCTTAAAGCATACCTAGCTTTCCGTGTATTTTTATGCTTTGTTGAACTAAAGGTCTAGTTAAATCTTATAAAACTTAAAGCTCAACAACTCTTGTAAGACCTCTACAGCTAACTATTCATCTAAACAATGCCAGAGGTTGCCTTTCAGAGGGTTTAGGTTCCTGTTCAGAGCACAATGCTCCCTTCCAGTTCTGTGCAAGTGAGTGGTTTTATTGAACCTGCGCTAGTGTCAGTAGTGATGGGAGCAGGAAATTACTAGTAGTCTCCCATCTGGGATGAAAAATGCTGAGTTTATTTGTAGATCTTCCAGATATGCAGAACAGTGGAAATACTCAGTGTTTGCTCGCCCCAGCTTCTGTGATTCTCCTAACACAGATATCCAGCAACTGTGAAATGCACCCTGCTCCTTACAGACCAATGATGATGCTACCATAATTGCTGCCAAAGTGTTCTACTGAGTTATAGTCCAGTGCCTTTTGGCTGACAAACATGAAAGAAGATGTTCTGAGATACTGAAGAGCATTTTTCATAAAAATCGGTAGCTCAAACATAGGAACGCTTTTCCCAAATTTACTGCTTTTTGAGGTGAGAATTGAACACTAAGCTAAAGCCCGTTCATGAAAATAGGTTTGAATAAAAAAAAAAAAAAAAAAAAAAAAAGAAAAAACCAAACAACAAACCCACAAAAGACAAAGCAGTAGAATGGGTTACAGTGTCCCTTGGCTTGCATTCAAGTGCTAGGAATTTCTACAGTTTGTTCCAAAGTCTTCTGTAGAATTGCTTTGTAATTCTAACTGAGGTCTTTATCAAAATGACTCTGGAAATACCTGCTCTAGGGTGGGATGAATCTTCAAGCAGTGTGCTGATCTGAATTTCCTACGCAGTATTACTTTGTAAAGATAAATGAGGCTGAAGCCAGCTGAGAAACGAGGTGGAAGCCCTAGGGCTCTGCTTTAGATGGGCAAACTTATAATAACAAGGACATTAAAATTAAAGAAGATGATAAAATCTCTCTTTATAAAAACAGGCCATACTTAAAGGGGTGAGTCTGCAACACTCTAGGTTTCTTTTTACAGTATTTTCTCAATAGCAGGAGGACAGATACTGAAACTGTGGCTGTGGTTTGTGATATGCAACAGAGTGAATACTTGAATGAGGAAGACTTTGTACTTTTGCAGGTATTCAAGAGGAGGTATTTCTACTTGTCACAACTCACAGATGGCTCGTATATTCTTAATTCCTACAAAGATGAGAAAATTTCAAAAGAATCGAAAGGCTGTATTTTCTTGGACGCTTGCAATGACGTTGTTCAGGTAGGTGTGCTTTCTGCATGGCTGTACATGGGCTTATGCACTGCTGTCTCTGAGACAGACGTGCTCTCTCGAGGTCTGTGCCATCGAGGAGTGAAGGCATGGATTTGCAAACTGACCCAGAGCTGGTTTGCTCTTTCAGCTAATCCTATTAAAAGGCATTTCATAAGGGTGCCATACTTTTGGCCAGGAAGACAGCAAGTGTTAGGACTGCTGTCAGGGTGCAATGAAAGTGTTTCAGCGTTACCTCATCTGCTGTCTCCCTGCTCTGTCCAACTCCTTTACCTGGTTATCGTAAGTCAGGTGCCTTCCAAGACACCATGAGGGTTGAAGCCAGCAAGTAATTGGCGTGACTTAGTCTTGGGCACCTTCCTCCTTTGTTTGCTGCTCACACCAGCTTCTTGTTTCATAAGTTACATCCCGAAAATCTGTGCAAACATGCCGCCCTTTGGGGTTTATGTTCTGCAAAAGAGCTTGTAAGGTTTTAGAAGCAGGTATTTGTACAGGGATTAAACCTGGGTTTGGTTTGTTATGCTGAGAGTGAAGAGCAGTAGTGGATTGCTGCCGTGCCTTCTGCTGCTGCTGTCTCTGCAGAAGCTTCAAGCACTGCATGAGGTGGAGCTGGTACAGGGCAGCTTAAATTGCTCCAGCAGTTTGCTTCAGCATGGATGAGTCAGAGCTGTGCGCTTCCATTTATCTCTCTGAACCCAGTAAAAGCAGTGGTGCACACGCCTTTAGTGATGTACAGGATGTACTTCCCAAATTGCATCAGATTTGCCTCAGCTTCTCATTGGAAAATGCTGTTTAAAGGCCAGCAGCGCTCTGAAAAGTTGCATTGAACCACTTGCTTTTAAGATAGATGCCTGTGAGTGTCCTGGCATGCACCGTTTCTCACTGTGTCAGACAAATCCAATTCCTGGCTTCTCTGGGTAAATATTAAAGGTCTGATGGCATAAGAAAGAGCTTGCTCCTGTTCCTCAGTGCAGTGTCTGTGGTTCAGTATGGCTTTTTTCTGCGCTCAGAGTAGCTGGCAGCTGTGGAGCTGTGTACAGCTTGATCGCAGCTGTGAAGCCCTACTGCAGGAGAGGTGCTGTGTCAAGGAGGACTGTGCTTGCATTGTATTTCATGGTATTTCAGTTCAGGATGCTTTCACAGAGGGGAGCCTTATGGCAGGTGCTGTGCTGAGTCGTTGAGGAAAATGTAATAGAGATCTTTCTCTTCCTTACTTGTTTGTTCAGTGTCCTAAGATGCGCCGCTATGCGTTTGAACTGAAGACAATAGACAAGTACAGCCACTATCTTGCAGCTGAAACTGAGCAGGAGATGGAAGAATGGCTGGTAACTCTGAGAAAGATCATTCAGAGCAATACTGACAGTTTGGTGCAAGAGAAGAAAGATACTGTGGAATCCGTGCAAGGTCAGTTTATAAATAAACACCTACCTTCACCCTTCTCCAGCAGGATGCAAGCAGTGTGCCTGGAGAAGTGTATACTCTTCTTTCTGGATGAATAGCAAGAATTGTGGATGACACACGATATCATGCAAACAAACTTAGTATATTGCAGATGATAGTCTGAGGAATAAAAGTGGAGGGAAACATAGCCCTTCTTGTGGATGGGAAATGCATGGCAAAGTTTCAAGACTCCTGGAAAATTGGCTCTGTGCTGAAATTCTGCTTTGGAGAGACCTAGCAGGCTGTAATAGTACACTCTGGTACTAGTAATATATAGAAGAATCTTACTCCTGAGGAATGGAAAAGTCTCCATAAACTGTTCCTCTGCTATTGTAAGCAATTACTGCAGGACGCTTTCTGACAGGGCTGTGCTCCTGCAGTTGTTTTGAGCATCTGTTCTTGGTGTCCTTGCAGATGACGAATCAAGCGCACAGGGAAAATCAGAGAATATCCTGGAGAGCCTGGAGAGAAGCATGCATCCGGAGCTGATGAAGGTGTCGTGTTTGCAGAGATCACTCTCCCCGCCCGTAGCTAGTTCTCTCCAGAATGTCTTTAAAAGGGGTTTTCCTCATTTGGTGTGCTGGGCTCTGGGGGAGCTGGGCAGGCACCGAGTGCTGCTGGGCTCTGGGCTGTCTCACCTGCCGCTCTCATGGATGGAGCCCCAAGGTTTGAGGCCTCGTGCTCCTCGCCTGCTTCTGTCTGCTTCCCTTTGGCAGAGCCACATCGCTTTACCGTCATCGCACCGTGTTGGTGACTACAGCTGGGAAGCCTTACATCATCTCACATACCACAGAAGGAACCTGAAAAATATTTATTTTGTTAGGCTTCGATTCTTTCTAAATAATGAATGTTTGCCTCTGCGTGGCCAGGCAGTAATATCTATACTTTACTTTGTCCTAGTACGGAAGAGAAACAGATCAGCTGAACAAACTGAGCAGGAATGATGGAAGACAAAACCTCTTTTCTTTCGACCCAGAAGTCCAGGTAAACACCCCCGTGTTTGCAAATGTGCGGTTTTGTTCTCTGTGTGGTGCCTCCCACTTTCCCTTGCGTGGCCACAGTGTTTGCATCTGGAGGCAGTGTGTTTTTCAGTGGACTGGAGAACAGAAGTGCAGCCCACGTCCCTGTCAATGAGAGTTGAACAAGGTGTGGATGCTCAGGTGACAGCTCAAATGAAGGGAAGACTCGCAGCAGCCCCCGCGCCCGGCCTCCCTCCAGCTCTGCGGGCTTCTGTGTTGATGTTGCTGGTCTTCAGATCGAGCCTCTGGGAGGTTCTCATGGTTGCAGAAGCAGTAGAAGTGGTACTGTGTGTGGGACACCTGCAACGCTGCAGGGGCTCAGCGGGTCTGGAGTAGGGAGCAGTGATGTTAAGGACCGTGATAGAGGTTTATAGGGAGTTTTCAAAGTTAAGGAACACACAAACAGAAAAAACACCACACGCTGTTCTCATACGCTGGAGCAGGAGTTCATTGTCTGTTGGTTTGCTTTCTTCTCAGCTTTGGTGTCTTTGCTGAGCTCTCTGCCAAGGTCCAGGTGTGGGATTTCAGTGGAATGAGCCGCAATTGTTAACACGGTTTTAGTGAATTGTTCCAAATTATTTCATAGTTTCTGGTTCTCCTTGTGGCATGCTTTGGCTTGTTCACACCTGGGAAAAAGAACATTCTGGTTTAACAAGGAAATGTAATTAGTCTTTAAAAGGTTTAGGTGTACAAAATGAGCTTTTCTCTTGGCACTTCTTTAGGATCTTTAACAGAAAGATGATAAGCATCCAGGAGGCCTTTATTTTTTAGAGAGAAGCTTTGAGAAGTTTCCTATATTTCTAGTCAGGTAATAAAAATGGAAATACTATTCAGTGCAGAGCATCTAAGATACCTTTTCTTACCTAACCAAATGATTAGGTTAAATTCACTGCCCTCCATCTATACCCAGAGCTCTTCGTTCTGGTGTGGGTCAGTTGGTTCTGCTATAACACTGGGCATTCAAAATCACCGCCCTGGTCCATGCTGGTGTGTATGTGCACGCTGATATACCTACCTGGTGCTAAGGAAACTGGGAGCAGGAGCATATATACCTGCAATGTACTTTCCTCATCTAAAAAAAATAGGGAAAAACGGGAAGAGTTTCCCAGAATGGGATTAACAATTGCATCCTATTTTTCTGGAATTACTTGATTGTGAAACAGCAGCGCCCTAAGCTTGGCATGCAGGTTTCTGTAGGAGTTGAGGGGGGAAAATTAATAGGACTGTGCCAGATTGTCACTGAGAGATGTGCTGAGTATTTAGGGCTGTTTGGCAGTGCAGTGTCCCCAGTGCTCGGTCTGATGGGTAGGGTGAAGGCTGAGGGTCTTTATCTGGCTGATGGTATTTTGGTCACGTATGTGTCTGCTCTCCGAGAAGGGTGGATGTCGAGGCACAGACCAGCTATGGGTGTTTGGGGTTAGGAAGGAGGTGATTATAATCAAGACTGTTTGGATTTCCCAGCCGGCTCTGCAGACAGCCTGTTGTTTCTCACGACGCCGGTTATCGCTCTGCATCTAGAAATGCCTCCCACTTGGAGATGTTGTTCACAATCCCAGTGGTGTGTGCCTCCTCTCTATTTCGGGCACAGGGACCATCTCTTAAACTCGTCAAATCTTCTTCAAAGTGGAAGATACTTTTCTGAGTGTAACAACAGTTTATGTTCCACTTTCTTCCCCAAGCTCTAAACAGGGTTTGGGAAGATCCCCAGGGTTACAGCAAAGCAGGAAGGAACTGAGATCATGCTGAGGTTTGGTTTTCTGTGCTCTACAAACCAGATTGCTAAAAATTAATGCATCCCCATGAATTCATGTCTTAAATATATTTGTGTAACATCACCAGATAGCACTCAATTGTGAATGTCTTGTACCTTTTGTACCACTTAAAAATAAATTTAAGATAGTAGTGGCCATAATGTGATCCCTTAACATTATTCAGGGGTTTATTATCTTTTTTAATGAGACCAAATTTGTTTGCTGTCTAGAGGCTAGACTTCTCAGGGATCGAGCCAGACGTGAAGCCATTTGAGGAGAAGTGCAGCAGGCGCTTCGTGGTGTGCTGCCAGGACTTATCCCTCAACCTCCTCGCTCAGCTCAGCGACCGGTCGGAAGGAGGACCCACCAACGTAAGGGTTGCTCTCACGTGTCCTTTGTCTTCTTTCTCTTCACCAGCAAGAAAAACCCTTGGCAGATTAATCTGGGTGGATAAAAACATCCCGTTTTGCCATGAGCTCCGGGCAGGCAGTGGCTGCTGGCCCAGGGTCATTGCAGGATTTGTCTGCCTTGGTATTTTGGTGTTCCAAAAACGTGTTTGGGGACAGGGTCTGTCCTGATGTGCCTCAGCCTGCCAGAAACTGGGGCTGCTGGGAAACTAGCAGTTCAGAGGCATGGGGAATGGGAAGCATGTGTCTGCCATGTTCTGGGTCCCTGTGAAAGTCCTGTTGGTAAATGGTTAAGCTCCATCTCCAAACCACTCACTGCTGTGTCTTATTTCATTTCCCCTAATGGCGAGGGATTTCCCTGTTCTGCAGCCTTCTTCTGACTCCCAGCCTAACTGTATTCACAGACACTTTATTATATGCATTTGTTATTGTGCCAAAGTTGTGCCTTAGCCTAAAAAGCTCTTCCTTGTATTTTCTGAGTCTCTGATGTCTGTAGACAGCTATTACGTCTTTCCTCAGCCTTTGTTCTGACAGGCTGAACAGACCTGGCTCCTCCAGTCTTTCCTCCCAAAATATAATCCCTGTTATCATGTCCTGCATTTCCTCTGGCTGGAGTCAACCCTGTGTGCAAGGGTGCCAGAGCAGCAGATAGCATCGCAGGGGAGGCAGCAGCACTGGCCCTGTCCCGTCTCTGCTGATGGTACCTTGTCTGATGCCTCTTAGAATTGCAAAGGCTTTTCTGTGGTGGTTTCATATTGGCAGCTTGCAGCTGTACACCAGGCTGGTTCTCCTCGGTAACTCCCAGCAGATGAATGCGTCGCTGATAGCAGAGATTCTTGTTATTCATCCTTAATCAGGCCCAGAGTCAGACCTAATCAGCACATTTTTAGTATTGGTGTAATGCCTCCAAGGTATGCTGTAATGTCTAGGACACACTACAGTCTTATCTTCAGGCCTTTGCTTTTATCTTTACATGGACGCATGCCTGCTAGGATCTTTGAATTAAAAATACATGTAATTGTTGCCACTTGCCTTATGCTATCAAGGTCAACAGCTACAAACGAGTTGGCAGATTTTGCACATGCAGTTCCTCAGCCTTGTATCTGAGCTCTCCTGGCTGGGAGAACTAACGTTGCTCCTGTGCTGCCCAGCACATGGCAGCTGAGGAACATTTTGAGTGTCTTGCAGTTGGGCCATCCAGAGCTGATTGACTTTGGACAATAAGCAAAGTGGTCTTGAGCATATGGACATAAACACTCTTAAGTTGATTTCTTTCTCATTGCAAAGGATAAGCAGCTCTGGATTGGAGTTGTCTTTTCTTCCTAGCTTCATAGTTTATCAGTTATATAAAAAAACCTATGGATTTCATTCTTTATATTTCATTGATGGTTTTACAGTAGCTTTGTTCAAACTGACTAGATCAAAATGCAAGATGCAGGGAAAAATGGGCTTTTGTATTTATAAAGCAAACAATGATGGATTGTCAGAATTCTGTAAAATGCTGGTGTGCAATAGGAACAAACAGACGCAGAAGGCAAACCTAACAGGGAAGGCAGTGCCTGTTGATACTCGAGCCTGTACTATGCCTTTTTTTTTGACACGCATTCAATCAAATTTCCAGGTTGAGCCCTTTTTCCTAAGCTTGGCATTATTTGACCTGAAAAATAACTGCAAGATCTCAGCTGACTTCCACGTGGACTTGAACCCTCCGTCTGTCCGTGACATGCTGCTGGATAACCCTGCGTCCGGAGCGGAGGGCACCAGGGGACGTTCACCAGGCGAGAGCCTCGTGCACGGGGTCCCTGAGTCTTGCCTGCGCTACATAAAACGGGTGAAGAACTGACTTTCTCCTCATTCTGTATCTCTGTTGAGGCTGTGGCTGTTCAGTAGCATAGTGGTGTGGTGTTATCCACTGTGTAGAGAAGCAGAAGTCCTTTTTTCTCTTGAGCTGTGGGGTTTTGGTCAGTGTCTCGAGGCAATTGCCACTTCAGGCTCGCTGGCAGCAATAGGCAAAGCACCTGGTAGAATTTTTCAAGGCTTGACCACGTTCAAGCCCCCGCAGCTCATCCACAGCAGCAACCAGAGCAGGGTCTGTGTGGGTTGTGGGAAGGGTCAGCGAGATGTTCGGGGCCAAACCCAGCGGTGCAGGCAGGGTGTCCTGCTCTCTGACAGCCTACTGTCCTATCTATTGCAGGGGGTTTTCTCCGTGACCGACCCACACGTGGAGATCTTCCTGGTGGCCCGTGTGGAGAAGGTGCTGCAGGGCAGCATTACGCACTGTGCGGAGCCGTACATGAAAAACTCTGACCCGGGGAAGGTATTGGATGGGGCCACGAGAGTATCTGCTTAGGGATGCTGTCTGCTGCTTCAGGGAGTTGCGTGGTCTGAAACATTGGTGCTTTCTGCTGCTCTTTAGCTTCTTTCTGGCAAATACTGGTCTTCATCCGTTTTTACTGCTTGCGCTCTTCCCAGGCTGGCTTCAGCTGAGCTGTCCCGGGAGATTCGGTTCCTTCCCCTGCAAAGAGACAGAGGAGTTTTAGGAAGAGCCAAGCAGTTGGGGCAGGGGGACCTTTTCCCTTTACACTTCAACAAGGCAAAGCCTGAGCTGGCAGCAAAAAAGTGAGACACTTTATCCCCAGAGAAACAGGCTGCGCTGCTACATGGTGCTACACACAGTGTCTTGGACTGGTCCCAGCTCACTCTCACTGGGAGCAACGATGTTTTAGTAGCAGCAGAACACAGGCTTCACCCTTTATTCTGCTCACCTTGCCTCTGTCTTGCTCCATGCAGTGTGCCATGTTCATATGGGGGAATTTATGCTAAGTTGGGGCCCTGGTGCTGCCTGCATCAGTCTGCATGCCAGGCGGAGCTGATGCCACCTTGCTGCAGCCAGTCAAAATTAGTCCCTGGAAAATCAGCGTGTGGAACACCTAGTGTGTGGTGGCATTCCCTCAGCACGCTTCGTAAGGCTGTATAGGGTGAGCCAGGTTTGGAAAATAAACTAATACCCTTTAGAAAATACAACACTAATACCCTAACAGGTTAATGCAGAATCAACGGGAGTTTTAATATGACTGTGCCCACAACGTGTGTGCTGTTGCTTTGCAAAAGTAATAAACGTGCATGGTGTGAAGTGACAGATAGGGACGCCTGTCAGCTGCTTCTGCAACTGTTGTGCTGTGTGCCTGGGGAGCCGTGCAGTACGGAGAGCTGCTTCTCCCTGGGGAGTGCAGCGCTCTTTATTGCTTTTCCAGGGCAGCGTGGCTAACCTCTCTTGTATTTTGCAGACTGCCCAGAAGGTTCATAAGGTGGCCAAGCAGGTGTGCAGCCGCCTGGGGCAGTACAGGATGCCCTTCGGCTGGGCGGCCAGGTGAGTCGCGGGCGAGGGGCCGAGCGGCCGCAGCCCGTGCCGTCCGGCCGAGGACAGAATCTGGCTCCGATTCCCAAGACAGAATGGGGATTGGCCTGAAATGCTCTATCTAGAATTAGAAATGAAATATTAAGAAGTAAACAGTGCTGGGAAGACCGTAACCTACAGCTGACCTGTAGCTACTGCTATCAGGGCGGAACATTGCTGAGGGTGAATTAGACCATCCCACGCTACTGCAGGAATCTGTGCAGAAATTCCCTTCTGGCACCAGCCATTGCCAGGGACAGAATGAGAGTGGAGGGCCTCCTGGTCTGGAGGTGGCAATCAGCTGGGGTTTTTCTCCCAGCTGAGACTCTGCTTTAACTAACGTTCTTGGGAATGACTGGAGACAGTGATCCCATTCCCTTGCTGTTCTTTTACTGGGACTGATAAAGTACATCAGTGCTAATTCCCTTAAATCTCAGCTCAGAAGAAGGCCTGAAGGCGGGTTCACCCCTCTGCCACTGCCTCCTACTGCTAAACTGCTCTTTGGTGCAGACAAAAGGGATAGCAATGACATGGGAACACCAGATGACGGTGACAGTGGGCTGGGATTTGATGGTATACAGCTTGCAGTGGGTATTCTTGAGCTGGATTTTCCTGTGACACTGGCTGCTCAGCTGTGAGATGGCGTTTCAGGGATGCAGCTCCCTCCTGGGAGCCAACACACGGTGCCTCAGTGCCTCAGCCCTCTTTCAAGTGGTGCCCCGGCCTAACGGTGGGCTCTGTGTGGGCACTGGCTTTGATGGGCTTTGGATTTGTTCCTGCTGGGTGAAGAGCTGCATTTGGAGACCAAGGAGTTGAGTGGCCTGGTGTGAGGAGATGTGTTGCTCTGCATCCCTGGAACACTCTCCCTGTGTGTTTGCACAGAAAGAGGAGATACAGATGCACAGAGGGGGAAGAGGAGGAAGGTGTTTGCACAGAAAGGGAGTACAGATGCTTTAATGTTCTTACCGTACAGTCACTTGCAGCCTTTATATTCAAAGATGCTGATATTCATCCAGGGCAGAGTCCAATCTCCTGCTCTGGGTTCAGGAGGAAGCTGATGTACGTCCTGAGGCTGGTCGTCATTGCACCCTCCTTTCCTAGGAGGATTTCCATGCTCAGACCCGATGTGCAACTAGGAAGATGCTTTACCACTTGGTGTTAGTGGGAGGGGATTGAAGGGCGTTTCTGATCGTGAACCAGGCTTGGGAGTGGGCTGGGTGTGTCCCTCCCACCTGGCTGGAGAGAAGGGAAATGGGTGATGTCCCATGCGATTTTATGTGACATTGTGGACTGCAGTTTGCGTGGGACCTAAGCACCACGTGAGGATGGGAGAGTGATCAGGAGGTCTGGTGATGTTCAGAGCAGTCACAGGCCAGTGAACCTCTTGCCTGATGAACTACCCCTCAGCCTGACATGTCAAAGACCTCAGTGTCTCCATATCTACCAACATTTAAGAGATGTGTCTCTTCTTCTCTGCAGACCAGTTTTCAAAGACTGCCAGGGCACTCTTGATGCTGAAGGAAAATTCTCACCTCTGTACAAGCAAGACAGCGGCAAACTCTCAAATGAAGATATGCTGAAGCTTTTAGCAGAGTATAAGAAGTAAGTGTAAGAGACTGGTGCAGAGGCTGAGCAGGTATTTTAATATAAATTTTTAAACTGTTAAACGTAAGCATGAGATGACAATTTCTAAAATACTCAGAGGGTAACAAAAAGCGCTGCTGAGTTCAGCACCTGAGCTTTCAAGGTTCACACTCTTGTTTCCTTTCTCCCCAATGCAGACCAGAGAAGACAAAACTACAGGTCATTCCAGCCCAGTTAAATATCGTAATCAAAGACATCCCGCTAGACTTCACAAGTAAGGATCTTGGATCTTAAAATATAAGTGGTGATGGCTCTAACCTCAGAGTTAATGCTTCTATGGAGAGTTTTGTTGTTTCATTAACAAGAGTATCTCGGGCTGCAATGAGAAATGAGTAATTCAGCACAACCACTGGCTTGTAAGTCTTTCTGATGGATTCTGTGAAGGGATGTAGTCCAAGTGCAGAGGTTTACCTGAGGGGTGCATCTGCTTTGCAGTTGGGCCATCACATCCTAAGTCTAAAGGAAACCACCTGCCTGCTTTTGCCGTTATTATTACACCAATCTCATATAACATTTTTGATCCATAACACCAGAGGGCTTCACAAACATGGTCAGTACGATTCTTTACTTTGCATTTAAAGAAATCGATGCCAAAAAAAAAAAGGACTAGCGATGTGTGTGTGCAGTGTCACTCCATGGGCCTTTGGCAGCGTCTGCCACAGGTCCCGCAGTCCAGCCCCCTGTCCAAAAGGCTTTTCTAGTGGACTTAATTTTTTCTGTTCCTTGAAAGGCCATCACTTGAGGTGAACTCTCCCTCGTGGTGGATGTGACTCTCTGTGAGTTGGGCAGGGCTTGTGCATTGGTATTGGGAGGCAACGTAACTGTCAAACATCTTTCTGAAGCAGAAAGTGGAAAAGAACTGACGCAGTGGGACTGATGCGCTCTGAGACGTCAGTCTCAAGTCATCATCTCAGCAGCCTGTCTGCTTCAGTCAGGTGATGTTTGCATGTTACTGCATAAAGCAGTAACTGAATGGGTCAGATTCCTGGAAGAGCCAAGGTGCAGGTCCTGGGCAGAGTGGCTGCCCCAACCCAGACAAGCATAATGTGCTTTGACTTTGCCCAGAGCTACAGAAAAGTGCCACTTCTGCAGTCCCCACTGGCAAGGAGAGCAGAGCTCCGTGGCGGGAGACTTTTCCCTTCATCATTTAAATGGGAGTGGTCCAAGTCCTGCTGCCTTGTCAACATTCACGATCTTCTGATGTGAAGAGACCTGGATGCTCGAGAGCAATGGCAGAGTTTCAGACCCATGAATTTCCTTTCACACAGGCTGTACTTCCCATGTTTGTGGAGTGCACACTTATACAAGCTTTCCTCCTCTTCTAGATTGTGTCACAGCTTCCTATATTCCTATAAAGCCTTTTGAGAAGAGCTGTGAGGACGTTGCAGTTGAAGTGGAGGAGCTTGTCCCAGAAGTTGCAAAATACTGTTATCCCTTCACTGTCTACAAAAACCACCTCTACGTCTACCCCTTGCATTTGAAGTATGAGAACCAGAAGGTGTTTGCGAAGGTGAGTGACCTTTGAGCAGGCTGCAGCCAGACTCAGCATGATCTGGGGTGATGCTGCTGCCCTGGAGCAGTGGCTCATCCTCCTGTTCTCCCCCATTTCAGGCAAGGAATATTGCTGTCTGTGTTGAGTTCAGGGATTCAGATGAAGCTGATGCCAGGCCGTTAAAGGTGGGTACCTGTTAATGGGGCTGCCGTTTCCTCGCTGCCGCGTACTGTGTGCCAGCCAGGGTGAGCAGGACAGTAGGAAAGCACCAAGTTTCCATGCTCACTGTCTTAAATTTGGCCGGCTAATTTAGAGTGGCAGCAACCCTGAATTCAGCGCTTCATTTGTGTTTTCAGTGCATATATGGCAAACCTGGAGGCCACCTCCTGACCACAAATGCGTATGCTGCTGTGCTGCATCACAACCAGAGTCCAGAGTTCTACGACGAGGTAAAAACAAAATGGTGGGAAATAACAGATTCTCCTGGATGCTACAAAAACCAAGGGGCCTTTCAGGATACCTCTTTTTCCAGGGCTGGGTGAAATACGGGTAAAAATAATCGCCAGCCCTTTGCCTCAGTAGAAGAGCTCAGCAAAGCCAGAGACTGTCAATTTTTAATGCCAGTTTGTTTTCTGCTGTCTTTACTGTCACGCTTTGTGCACTCCAATCACACACCCCCATTAATAAGTAATGTCTAAATGTGATGAAAATGTTAGCCAGGAGTTATTTAAGATGAGTAGGAATGTATCTTGTGTAACTGCATACAACGTAGCATTTGTAAAATAAAAGTAGAACTTAAAATATTACTCCACAACTAAAAATACAGTCTTGTCTATCATGATATCATTTTAGATTAAAATTGAGCTTCCAATTCACCTCCATCAAAAGCATCATTTGCTTTTCACCTTCTATCATGTCAGCTGTGAAATTAATACAAAGGCAACATCGAAAAAACAGGACACCGTTGAAACACAAGGTATGTTCAGTGCTTAAATTACTTCTGTTGGAGTGTAAGAGTCCAAGCTAAAATGAATGTAGGGACATGAAAAAATATTTGATTAAAATACTAGCCTATCTGAATTTTCTTTTTTGAAAGCAACCTAATACAAATCATAGGTCTCGACTGGAATAAAGGAGTAAATTAGTGTATATTAAAGCTCAAATTTTTGCTGCAGTCTGACAGCTATTTCTGTGTGTCCTTGACTTGGCTTGCACGAATGGGCTATTCTTAGTCAAGTCACCAACAAAAACTTGACATGAGATCAGGGCCTCAGAGGCCGATCTGCCGACGTGTAAGAGACTGAGCGCACCCAGGTCCCGCTTTTTGGGACGCCTCTCCATCCAGCCAGTCCCTGGGCGACCGAAGGACCCTCGTCACGGTGCACAGCCGTGGCTCACGCACTGTTGCTGCCCCTCAAACCCACTGCTGATCTTGGTTGTGCTGTGTCTGAATTTTGTTCACCAAGTCAGCGGGTAACACGTGCTTTAGCAGGGCTGACGTGGTCAGTCCCAGCCTCGTCGAAGCCGCTTGCACAACTGTGAGTTTGATCTTCTCAGGGTGAGACACAGCTCCTTTTGGAGCTTGAGCTAAATGTGTATTGCTGTGTGTCTGCTAACTTTGGTCCACTGGTTGCCTCCACAGTGGGATATGCCTGGGTCCCATTGCTGAAGGATGGGCGGATTGTCACCCTGGAGCGGCATTTGCCTGTTTCATCCAACCTTCCACCGGGCTACCTGGGTCTTGGAGACACAGAGTCACGAAGGGTAGGAAGGCCATTTAAAATGGACTTAAATGTAAAAGGAAGAGGAAAGCTGAGCTTTTGTTACTCCTGTAAGTTCTGGGCTTCTGTTGGTGCTCTGCTCAGCTGGAAAGATCCCTACTGCAGGGCAGCCCTCACAAAGCTTAAGGTTCTCAGGGATGGGAGACAGGACACTTTTAATCCCCCTTTCCGTGGTTATGTAGGTTGTAGAGAATATTTTTGTGGCAGGCTGGACTGCGCTGTTGCAGAAGGTGCAGAGCAGAAATGGGCACATGCTCTGGGCACGTTCTCAAGGGGACCCCTCTGCCCTACCGTGGCTGCGGTCAGGCCACTGGTGTCTGTGCTGGGGGTGGGGAAACCCATTCTGCCACCCCAACCCGTACCTTCTGACCAGGGGTCTGTCTGCACAGAGCCACCTTCTCACCACAGCCTGAAACCAAGTACTTGAATGTTGTCTGTTCACAGCAGCCCAGTGTGGACGCGAAGTGGGTGGATGGAGCAAAGCCACTGTTTAAAATCAGGATCCATTTGGACTCGACCATTTACACCCAGGTGAGTCAAAGACCTTGCTCTTAAAGACTTTCGAAACATTTGAGCAAATGAGCTGCTTTGATGGTGCAAAAGAGAGAAGAGTTGGTGGGAATAAGGTTCCCCCAAATATTGGACTGTTTATTAAGTTTAAAGAAAAAGTTTTCTGACAACAGCGGACACTGCAAAACAAGTGTCCTGTTTTTCCTCTGAAACCAGTTCAGGCTGTTTTACCAAGTCCTTGTGTGTTCTGCCGTGTTATGGTAGTGATGGACTTCCCCAAGCTTCATGTGATGCACAGCAAAGATCCCCAGCACGTGCTCTGGGGCACCTCCTGTCAGCACTGCTTATGGGGAAATGCCCTTGGCAGGGCTTGTTGTCCTGTGCTGGGTGTAATCAGCTGCATTTATGTTCACAGTAACTTGCTTTCAGCTTCATCTAAATCTGTTTTGGGGTCCTACTGATTATGTACAGAACTAAGAGCAGCACAGTAGTTCCACTCCCCACCAGATTACATTCCCAGATGCTTTTAAGGGTTAAATGATGCAATAATTAAATTTAACCTTGGAGAAGGAGGGAGGGAGGGGAATGGGAAGGAGAGTCTGCCTCGGGTGGACAGTAGGAGGTCAGTGAGGCAGATGGAGAGGCAGTCTCGAAGTGTCACAGCTGGGAGAGGAGGGCTCCCGCTTCTCCAGGCAAGTGTTGGATGGGGGTTGTGGCTCAGGGTAGTACAGCCACAGGAGAATTTCAACACTGCTGGAAGTTTTGTGCTCAATCTCAAGATCAGTTGTGAGCCAGGGGATGGGCAGTGCCTGGGTATGCTGGAAAAGGCAGGAAGCAGTACTGCAGTCCTGGGAGGTGGCAGCTGGGAACCAAGAGTGTCACTGGTAGGGATATGGGGTTTGATAGGGACATGGCTTACTGCCGCAGGTAAATCAGCAGGTTTTCAAGTGTAAGCTGCAGAGTAGTGGTTGACAAATCTTGAAGCTGCTGCATTGAACTTGTCTGTCTCTTCCAGGACATGCACTTGCACAAATTCTTCCAGTACTGCCAGCTGGTTCAGGCGGGAGCAAAGGAAGTCCCAGGAGAGCTTGTAAAATACCTAAAGGTGAACAGTGCCTGTCGGTGGGCTTCGTTTGTGTTTTTACAGACCGTCAGTGAATGCCCAGACCCCTGCAGTGCTGGGACCGGTGCACTGTGCAGTAACCTTACCTTTGCTTACTGACAAGACTGCTGTCTGCGTGCTGCTTCCCACTGCCTCTCCCAGCAGATAAAACAAGTAGTCAGCATCGCTCTGCCATGCTCATGTCAAACCCTCCTCCTGGTGGGCTTGCACACCCCTCCCCTGCTGCCCTAGATATGATTCAAACCTTTGAACTGTAGCACAATTTCTTGTTTTCAGGGTTGTCCATTCAAAACAGGAAATTTTGTTCAGGCTGGAAAAGATCTGTGAGATTATCAGTCAGTTAAATTTGACCACAGATTATCTGTGATCCAGGCCCAGCTTTTCAGCAGTCACTGTGGCATGAGTCAGGGCCTAGGAGCAGGTCCAGCAAAGGCTTCTGCAGGGAATATATTTCTCAGCTGTTTACTGTTCTTGTTTCCTTCCATAACCTCCTGTTTTTGGGAATGCTGCCGTAGCAACAGCTCCGCTTCCCGTGGTGGGGATTTATCATCACAAAGTCACTGGGTGTGTTTCAGATAATGGATAAATATTTTAAGAAATAGAACTAGTGGCAGGTTTTGAAGCCAATCACTTAAAGAACAGTTGCTTTGTTGGGAGCATTTTGCCAAGGGGCTGGGTAGGCCGCAGTCCTGCCCAGCCGTAGTGACCTCGCTGCAGCCTGCAGAGAGGGAGACATCTACATGCTAACCACAGGTGAGGGCTTCTTACCACTAATGCCTCAATAATTCCAGTAATTTAACTAACTGGATACAGATTTAAGAACCTTTTGTTAGATTTGCAGGTTTGAAAACTGCAAATGAGGCACGCTGTCTTTCCCAGACTCTTTCCATGAGATTCAGGCAAAAGAGGTCTATGGGATGGGTGGAGAGTGTATGCACCAGATGATCCTGACCTTCACCAAGTCACTTAAAATCCCATTTCCAGTAGCAAGCTATGCTCTTTTAAGTCCCACTGCAAGTCATTGGGCATCAGGTTTCCATGTTCCAAAGGCATCTGTGAAAAAGGGACTTAAAAAAACTGTCACAAGTGACGAGAAGGATCGGGAGCAAAACTTCAGCCTTAAATTCTGGGTTACTGGGGTCAAATCATAGTATGTGACCTCTAATTAAGTCATAGCTGCCTGGGCACATCTGAGAGGAAGATTAATACCTGCCACGAGTGATTCATTTGCTCCCCGAAGGCATGCAGCTGGGATCTGTCAGCTGGCAGGCAGGCAGCTGTGGGTTCAAGGTCTCCTGTCCTCTGGCAGGCTGAAGCCCACACCCTGAAGCATTTGCTAATGCCTGTCCTATTGCCGCAGAAATGTCTGTGGATGATGAATATTTAACATCTGCAAAATGTTGAACTAAAAGTTGTCTGTGTTTTGAACATTTGTTTTAGTGTTTGCACGCCATGGAGATCCAAGTAATGATTCAGTTTCTACCTGTAATTCTTATGCAACTATTTAGAGTCCTTACAAATGTGACCCAGGAAGATGAAGTAGCTGTCAACTGCACCATGTGAGTGTCTGGTAAACCACCCGGTTTTCTTCAGTTACAAATGCAAAACCACAAACTGCAGTGCAATGCAGGGTGTGGTTTCCTGGTACAAGGTGCTAAGTGACAGCATGGCTGCTTGCTCCCCGTGATCACGCTGTGAAAACACATCTGGGTGACAGGGGGCACCGTGGGGCTCTTGTCCTGGGAGCTGCGCGGGGAGGAGGGGAGCAGCGTGGGGAAATGTGGCACTTTAAAAATACTCCTCGTTCCTTTTTCAAAAGAAAAAGGGTTTGCTGGTGGGGATGGCTCCGGGACCCAAGTTATTGGGGCATCAAAAGGCTCCAGGGTGCCCGGGCACATCCCAGCTGCAGGCAGCAGATGTGGTTTCCCCACGGGAGCGATGTCCTGGTCTCATCCCCGCACACCAGTCCCCTGTCTTGGAAGCATGGCTAAAAATGCCCCGGAGCTGGGTGTGTTACCCTGCCGAAGTGTAGCTGCTGCATCCTTGGGGGCTCAGAACGTGGAGCCAACAGCGGCCGGTGGTTTGTTTAGGGATGCTCTGCTGGGCCCGCAGCCCCAAGAGGGCAGCACCGACCAGGGCCTGCTCCCCACAGAAAGCTGCTGCTGTGCGCAGGGCCCGAAGGCAGCAGAAGGTTCAAAAGCACCTTCCCTGTCTAGTTCTGGCCATGACAGCCCTGAAGTGGTGGACGCAGTAAAACATCCCTCTTCCCCCCCCGTGGTTTTGCAGTGCAAAGGGGGACGCTGGATGCCACTCCATGGAGACCTTCCTCTGCTTCCCGGAGGTACCGTGCATCCATGTGCCAAAGGCATCTTGCTCCCACGAAACCAGAGGTGGGAGGCTGAGCCCTGGTCCCTCAGGGGTGTGGGGCCCGTGGCAGTCACAGTCCTGAGCCGTGTGGGACAGGTTGTGGGGACTTCTCCCCTGTGGAGCACTGAGGTCCCACTCTGAATCACCAGAGGGCAAGGACAGGGTAACAAGTGACCCCAGCTACCTACTGGGTGACCAGCTCCCACCTTCACTTCCAGAGATTTCTTTTCAAAGCTTGGCCTGATGCTTTCCAGTTTGTCAATGGCTTTCTGCTTAATGACAACTGTTTTCTCATCCAGACATTCCGAGTGGAATTTAAAACCCACTTTATCTGATAAAGGGCTTGTAAACTCCTCCCTTTGGTTTGGCCTGTGGGTTCTGTGACAATGTGCAATAGTTTGTTGTTCCCTCTGGCTGGGACTGGAATGTAAATCCCCAGTGTTGGCTGGGGAAACCGGGTGCTTGCTGCCTTCATCAGCCACCTGGAGTGTTTCCAGAGGGCTGGCTTGTTCCCCAGGGTCTGCCTGTCCCCAGTGAACTGCAAGGCAACAGCCCAGAAGTATTCCAGTGTATGTAGCAAGGAATTAATGAATTCAGAGTATGCAGGAAGGTATCGGAGTATACCAGCAATGGAGATTTTTTTCTCCCCATTCCCGCTTCTCAGCAAAGATTCTGTGGGGGTTTTGTGTTCAACTTGCAGATTTGATGTAGTGTAGTTGTTCATTGTCACTTGTATTATCATTAGGAGAGGGGTCCCAATGAGGACAGACTCAACACATGATAAACCGTACAGTGTGGATCAATCTGTAGGGTGTGCAGGAGGGGCAAGTGGGCTTGCTCTCGATAGATACAGCCAAAGAGAACTGGGTGCAGAACAGATTAAGTTAAATATTTTTGTTTTCAGCTTTTCTAACAGTTGAGCATTATTCAGGTGCCTAATGCTCACTGCAACGTGAATTTAAGTAGTGGCAGGCTTTAATCCTGGCATGCATGGAGGCCAAAGAATAGGACATGTCCCCCACGGAGAAATGCTCCACCTCACCTCGTCGTGCAGGGAGCCTTGAGCATTGAAGGCAGCTGGTCTGGGAGACTCCTGGTCTGGCATCAAAGTGGAGAAAAGGCTTTGGCCACCTGAACTCTGAGTGCTCTGGTGAGGGGCTGTGCTGTGGCGAGGGTGCTGCGGCACCAGAAGCTGGGGGGGGGGGGGGGGGACTGCATTTGCTCTGCAAACCAGGCTGTGCCAGCAGTGAGGCTTTTGGGGTTGAGCAGGATGGTGGCTGCTTTTGTGAGCTGGAAGAACTTGCCCTCGCATTGCGTGCTGAAGAGAAGCCACGTTTTTCCCCAGGGTTCTTCTGCACATTGTGTCCAAGTGCCACGAAGAAGGTCTGGAGCACTACTTGCGCTCTTTCATAAAGGTCAGTTGTGACACACAGTTCTGCAAAGCTCTCTGCTGGGAGCGGGCGCGCTGCTGACACTGTTCCTCTTGCCTCAGTACGTCTTTCGAGCTGAGAAACCCAGTGTCACACAGGTGAAGATGACCCATGAGATCCTGGTCCTTTCCATGGCTACAATCTTGAAGCAGTCGGCAGATTTTCTAGCCATCAATAAGCTACTCAAGGTGAAGTATTGGCAGGACTTGGCTGCCAAGGGTGGAGGGGAGGAAAAGGGGGTCTGGTATAAAGCCCAATGCTTTCACCCGTCCAAACCCACCACAGGAGCAAAGTTACCAGGGCAGCTTCTCACATCCACATCCTTGAGGTTCTCCCCTTAGAGCAGAGATGAATTCTTGCAGGGGACCTGGCTGTGTTGAAGCTTATGGCAGCACACAGCAAAGGGCTTTTTATTTTGCCAGTTTTCTTCAAGCCACATGTGAGGGGTGACTCACAGGAGGCACACTGGCTTTCTGCCTGTCTGGGCCTTTGCACCCCAAACTGTGCTGGCTCTTTGCAGGGTGCATTGGGGTGCAGAGGGGATGGAGCTATTCCCACCCCAAGACTGGCAGGACTCCTCCAGGTAACAAAGGCACCCATGCCAAGCTAGCTGCGCAAGCACAGCCGTGCTTACAAAATGCCTTTTGAATGTGAGCTGTCCCTCCCACACTGCTGCTTCCCCACATAATCAAACATGTTCAATCCTGCTGAGAAAAATAATAGTATTATTTGTTTGTTCTAGTACTCATGGTTTTTCTTTGAAGCGCTGGCGAAGTCCATGGCAATGTACTTACTGGAAGAAAACAAAATCAAGGTAAAAATGAATTTGTTCGATGTTGCGTTACAGAACCATCACAAACAAACTCTCCTCCTAAAGTTTCTGTGAAAAACTATTTAACTCTTTATTTAAAAAAAAAAACCCTGACAAGCTGACCAGCTAGCCACATCTTTCCTTCTGTTCCGCTTTACTTTTCCCTTCTTCCCCTTTTCACTCTCAATTGTACTTTAAAAATTCCAGATCTCCATATTCCTCATGCAGCCTCCTTTTCTGTTACTAGCTAGTGCAGTTTCAGCCAGTGCTTGCTCAGTGCCAGTGTTTGATTAGGAGACAACATAATCAAATGCTAAAGGGAACTTGCGCCTGCGCGGGGCTCTCCCCAGCTGCTCGCTTGCAGCCCTGAGCGCGGGACGTGCTGTTGGTTTCAGCTGCCCAGAGGCCAGCGGTTCCCCGAGTCCTACCAGCACGCCCTGCATTCGCTGCTGCTCGCCGTCATCCCTCATGTGACCATTCGCTATAACGAAATCCCGGAGGAGTCCAGGAATGTCAACTTTAGCTTGGCAAACTTCCTGAAGGTCAGCGGTTTCTTCCCTTCTCCCAGGCTTTTATCAGAAAAAAAAAAAAAAAAAAAGCAAAGCAAACCCAAACAATTCTGTTGACAAATGTGTTTGCACTTAATCCTCTCTTTGGTTTCTTCAATGTGATAAAAACTCTGGAGGCGATAAGCTTTCCTAGGAAGAAGCCTTCTCTTTCCAAGAGACTATGATACTCTATATGTTATCTAGGGTTTTCAGTCATGCCTAGCAACTGTTTAAAACCTAAGAGCAAATACGTGTGCTCTCATTTTAAATATTTCTGTTGTCCACTGGAGACTTAAGTGAGGTCAGCCAAATAATTTCAGCAAAACAAGATCAAGTACATTTTGGAAAGTCAGCAGCAGCCCAGAAGATCAAATCTGGCTGCTGGCAAGCTGGTAGTATCAAGACGATTTAGGATGATTACTTTTATTTTTAAGGATTGGTCACATGTTGCTATTTTTTCTCCAGCGTTGTTTGACTTTTATGGACAGAGGATTTGTTTTTAACTTGATAAATGATTACATTTCTGGATTCAGCCCAAAAGACCCTAAGGTAAGCAGTATGTTTCTTGAAAGGTGGTTTGCAGTTGTACATATCTACATCAGCCAAAGTTCTGGAGTGATTATTTCATATGGCTCTTGGAGGCCTTTTAGACACTGTTCTTGCAGAGACCTCTTCGTGTGGGCTGAGAGCCCATATGCAGCTAAGCTTTAAAACAATGTAAAAACTCAGAACTGAAGGAGAGATTGGTTAATAGTCTGGATAAAAAGGTAAAGAAGTCCCAAGTGACAGCCGCATGCACTGGCTCTTAGGGGGAACAGCACAAAAATTTGCCAATTATTACCGAGTTTCACCAAATGCTATTTAGATTTCCCAATCCTTGTGCAACAAACACATTGAACTAGAAGCAAATGAGTCAAATTGAAAACACAGATTGTGTTTGTCTTTTTTTTTTTTTTTTTCCTCAGCTGCTGGTTGAATACAAGTTTGAATTTCTTCAAACCATTTGCAATCATGAGCACTACATTCCTCTGAACTTACCAATGACCTTTTCCAAACCCAAGCTGCAAAGAGTTCAAGGTATGTCCTTTCTCGAGAGACTAGCTAGAGCTCTATAATTTATTACTCTTGATGGCTTCTGACCAGATGGAATTTGGTTTGGTGCCAAGGAAATTTGGGTCCTGGTTAGCCTAATTTACATTAAACTCAGGAAAAGATGCTCTTCTGGCAGGTTTACATCATTTCGCTCCAGAATGGTATGCAATCAGTCTCGTCAGCATTTCCTATATTTACGTTTGCATGGGACTAACCATCTGAAAGGAAACTGCCCCTGTGTAAGTAACTACACAAATTGGGCGGGTGTAATCCTTTGTTCCCATGAGTGTCAGCATCCCCTGGGAAGCAGAGTGTCTCATCGATCGGTGCTGTAGAGAATGGAGATACAGAATTCACTGCTTCGCTGCCAGCTCTCATTGTGGCCACAAGAAGGTGATTTAGGTTACCTTCTGCTTTCATTTTGACCAAGGGTATAGCAGTGCACAGCACGTTTCAAGCTTGTACTCAAACCTGGGCTGAAAGCAGCCAGTGCAGAACTGAAGCCCACGCCTGTCCTTGGCACATACCGAGGGCATACGTATGTGGCACCCCCACCTATCCAGGCCACTCTCCCTGTCACACCGTGTCCCCTGTGGCCCTGGTGCTGCTCACCACAGGGCAGATGGGGCTGGCAGGGGGCTGAGCTGAGGTGCTGTGCAAGCGTGGATGGCTGCAGCTCTGCTGCCGATGACAGCGCCCGACACAGGGTGCTGAGCCCAGCAGGGTGCTGAGCCCAGCAGGGTGCTGAGCCCAGCAGCGTGCCTCGCCAGCCTCCTCAGGTTGCTACAGACACAGCCTCACTCCCTCTGAGTCCTAGTTGCTCATCTCTCCTAGATAAATACAGTAAAGGTTGCCAGGTTTGGGCGCTAATAGCCTGGTGTCGTGGTTTGGGCTGGAATAGAGTTAATGTTTCTTTTTGGTAACTAGAACAGTGCTGTGTTTTGGATTCAGCATTGGGTTTGGTATGAGAAGAATGCTGAGAGCACGCTGATGATTTTGGCTGCTGCTGAGATTTCAAGGGCTCTTCAACTCCCCATGTCCTGCCCGTGCGCAAGGGCACAGGAAGCAGGGAGGGAGCACGGCCACAGCACCAGACCCAAACTGGCCAAGGGAATATTCCATATCATGGAACGTCATGCTCACTGTGTAGAGGAGGGGTGGTCGGGAAGGGGGGCTCTCTCTCTCTCTCTCTCTGGGATTGCGATTGCAGGATCTTGGTATTTCGGGATCGCTGGCCGGGAACGGGCTGGATATTGGTCAGCAGGTGGTGAGCAATTGCATTGTGCATTGCCCGTTTATATTTTCTGTTACTGACATTGTTTTCATTTTATTACCACTATTAAACTGTTTCTATCTCGACCTGTGAGTCTCCCTTTACCCCTCCAATTCCCTCCCCCATTCCCAGGCAGGGGGGGGAGGGTGGGTGAGCGGCTGCGGGGTGGTTGGCTGCCAACCAGGCTCAAACCACAACACCTGGCAAGATAAGTACTGGAGAGGAGAGTGAGGTTTGGGATTCCCCCATGTGAAAGTCTAGTGGATTTATGATTCTATGATTTATTCTGATGGAGGCAAGGGAATGTTTAGTTGTTCCTCAGGGTTCAGCCATACAAATCTCAGTGGTTTCCTGTACATCCAGGTGTCAGAAGTAGCAGAAATTTTCCCTTATTTTGGTATGTTTCTGACAGCTCAGAGCTTTTTGGACCAGCTACTAATCTCTTACATCAGTTTGGCTACTTGCCTGGCGTAGTTTAACAAAGTGCAGTGCTAGAAATTTCTGAGAAAAACACACAACCGTGGTGCCCTCCCCATTGCTCGTTAGTGGCATGATAACATAAGGATCTTGGTTAACATTCACCTTTGCCTTTGCGATGGTTAAACTGAAGAGCTCACCTTTCCTCATCTGTTTTACTGTGACTAAGGCCTACCAGCTGAAGTTTTATTTTTAAAATATATACTTTAACATGTGGTAGTGGTTGTCATTCACACACATCTCTTGACAGTAGAGCAGCCTATCCTCAGGTAGCAGAATTGCCTTTGCAATGGTGTCTGTGCTCTGCCTGCCACGGCACAGGCGTGGGGTGATTGTCTGCTTTTATGGACAGACCTGTGATGACAGGGGATGGCAGGCTCAGAGGCGGGGAGGTGTGACGGGCACACCAGCAAGGAGATAGCCTGCTGGCGTGCCTCACCTCTTTATCAGCTTACTTGAATGAAGAGAGAAGGGCTGTGCCCTGTCCCCTACTACTCTGTTTCTGGGAAAAGAAGGAATAGTCCCCAGGAAGGTGAATGAAGAGGGCTTCTGCAGCAGAAGCTGGTGGGGACGGTCCTGCAGGCAGAGCACATCCCTGCGACCACATCCTGTTGAGTTGGAGCACTGCATCTTGGAGCAGTTTCTCTGAAACATCTTGGCTAATGAGGGGCTGGTTGCTGCTCTGCGTCCCTGCTGCCTCGCCTGGGGGACGTGTGTGTTTCATCAGCCCAAGCCTGCCCTCACAACCAGCAGCACAGAGTTGTTTTTGCAATCTTGTGATAGCAAAGAACCCAAGAGATTGGCAGAGGCTGGGAGTTAAGCAATAGCCTTAAAAGTGATACTAAAACATGACGTACCATCCCATTTCTCCAAGATTTAGAGCATTATTTATTCCTGTTTATTTTTTGCTGTGTTTTTATTTGTCCCTTTTCTTTTTACACATGAATTAGATTTTTTTTCATTTGCTGTGGAACGGTTCACTTCAGTAGGTAGGTCCAACTGGGATCACTGAATCCTCTAATGTCAAATCAAACATGCAGCTTCCAATCAATTATCTTGCATCCAACTAATGAAATAACCACGCTGTGTGACACTTAGACGTTTGCTAACATGACTAACAAGCTAGATAATGCTCTGGATTGCTTTCTCTTTCCTCTGAATCAGATTTTCACAAACCCGTATATGCTACTGATGAATAAACGAACTTAAAAATATCTTCTGCAGCCACAGAGCTGTTGGAACCCTTTGGCTGAGATTTTCAAAGCTGTGTGTACGCACCCTGCCTTACCACAGAAAAACTTTCACACCTGTGGAGTTTAAAAAAAAAGTCTGATCTGAGCACCCAGCATTTGTCCCCTTTGGGGGAAGAACACACAGCTTTGGGGTTGTCCCTCTGGGAGGCTTAGTGCCAAAATGCAGCAGTCAAATGGTGCCTGTTGTGGCTCTGATTAGGCATAGGGGTTGCCTGACGGAGATAACGGTGTCAGGGCGAGGTCAGTCATAGCTGCCTGAACGCACAGGCACCCCCTGCACTGAAATCTGTGTCTCTGTCGCTTCTCTGCTGCATTACCCAGGCACGCTGTGGAAATGATGCCTTACCCTGGTAGCAGCCGCTCCTTTGATCGCAGCCTGAACCTGTATGAGTTGCAGGGTACAAGTTAAGTTAACCAAGGTGATTAGGTACCGAGCTGCCTTGCTGCTGGCAGTCACTGCAGCTTTTAAGGAGCTCTCTGCTCAGTGTCTGCTGGTGGGAAGCTAAGGGAGTCTCACAGTTTTTGGCACGCAGCTGCCTGGAACCCTGCCTTAGCTCCCCGGTCCTTGCAGCGGGGCTGGAAATCCCAGCTGTGTGAGCTTCTGGAGGATGCAGTAGCGGTCACTTGGCACCGTGTCTTTGTTTGCATCCCTCGTCCCAGCAGGAGTATTTGCCTTTGCTCTGCTCTCTGGCCTGGCGGGAGGGAATGCAGATTTCACTGAGGATGTGGAAGGAGCTGCAGAGGCGGCACTGCTAGGGCTGGGGGACCGTGATGAGCGCGCCGTCTCCACTGCCCGTTACCACCCTCACGGCTGCTCGGTGGAGGCTGGCACCACCGCTGCCGGGGCAGTTTGGGAGTTTACAGGATAACCCCCAGTCAGGAGCAAAGCAGCCCCCAGGCAATAAATCTTGTTGTCTTTCCCCGTTTCATCCATCTCTGACTTTACAAATTCCTCTTTGGGGCGCTAAGCTTCGTAAAGCATCACACTGCAGAAATCCTTCTCTTAGCTGCTGCTGAAACGGCGAGGGCTGAAATTAATGATTAGACTGGACTGGAAGATGCCAAGTTCTTTGATATGACTTAATTCAATGATGGAGAAAACTGTAGTCAGTTCAGGCTTTACTGAAATGTCAGTGCACTGTAGGAAAGAGAGAGTGATGAACGTACTCATAGACCGTTGTGACTTACATGACCATTGGGAACAGTTCCCTTAACCATTGTCCTGCTTTTTCTTTCAGATGTAAATCTTGAATACAGTTTAACTGATGAGTATTGCAGACATCATTTCCTGGTGGGGATGCTTCTCAGAGAAGCCTCTGTTGCCTTGCAGGACAACTATGATATCAGATACACAGCCATCTCAGTCTTAAAAAATCTCTTGATAAAGCATGCCTTCGACAACAGATACCAGCACAAGGTCAGGCATATTTTGTTGGCTTTTAAATGTAATGTTCTTGAATTTTATGAAAAAATACACGTCAGAGATTTAGATCTTGCATGGTGCACCAAGACTATTTTCACTACTTTTTAGGGAACTGTTGTAACTGATAGTTATGGCGTAACAGCTCTGAGAAATGATCTAGGAACACAAACAGTGCAGTCACATAACGGCAGTGCTCTTATTCATGCTGAGTATTTAGATAATAAAGCCCTGACCAATTAAGGAACTTGAGGGTGTTGTTAGCCAAGAGGCTGCTGAACAAAATGAAGCAACATCAGTGTTCTGGTTTTGGGCTTAAATTAACATCCTGCATTAATATACTCTAACTAGGAAACAGGACAGATGTCTGTTACGAGTCAGCTGCATGTTTTACCAATTAGTGAATCAGAGGAGAGAATCTGTGGCTTCTCATGAGATGCTGGATTTCCGCTGGGTAGATTTCAGCTTTCTTCAGTCAGAGGCTCAATGTGTGGTATTGCTAAAAGAGCCTGGAGATGGGGTTGTTTTCTTTCTTGATGATACTCTCTGCTGACCCGTATGTCCTTGAAAGTGCTCAGCTACCTCTGCAGACACTACTTGTCCTTGCTCAAGGCTGAAAACATGCCTCTGCTTAGAGTTTAACTCCTCAAATTGCTCCTAGTGTGCTGCATGCCTGAGTTTCATGTGGGAATGTGGATAGCCTCCTGGGCATGCAGGGGGGGAGAAGTGACCCCCCAATGTTCCCCGGGGCTCGTGCGCTCTGCCTGGACCCAGACCAGGTCCTCTCCTCTCTCCTTTCTCTGCCTGTTTGGAAGGGCTGAGCGGGAGGTGGGCTCGCTTTTCTCTGCAGTGAGGATCTGTGGTGACTTGCACAGCCCGGAAACAAAACTGCAGCCCGTGGTAGTTGGCAAGACTTGATGTTTCAGGAGAGATTTGCCAGTTCTGTGCCAAGACTGGGTCAGAGGCAGCCTGTTTCTGCTCCTCTGAGTGCCTGAAAATCCTCACGCTAATTCAGGAGCTGTTTGCCTCCTCAATGTGCAGCACTCTCCCTGCCTCCTCAAAACCAGCACCCGTCTTAAAATTGTCCCACTGGATTTTTGTACGTGTGTTGTACTCCAGGCTACGTGACCAGGAAACTGCCTGGAGCCGGGGCAGGATGCTCAGCTGGTGTCCCGAGGCACCAAAGCAGAGACTCACATCACGGGCAGGACAGGCGGAGCGTGGCAGGCTCTGTTGCTGTAGTCTCGCTCCAGCCAAGGAAGCCCTGGCTCCATCGATGGCTGAGAGACTGTTTTCTCAACCCATGGGCGTTTTCAAGATTTCTTTTATCTTTTGTCATACTGAATCAGAAGAAAAAAACTGGTTTCTTGTATTGGTCAAAATGTGCCATTCAATTCACAAGCCTTAAATTTATTTTTTTTTCTTTAACCTTTCTGTCAAGTCCAGAATGGTAAATTTTTAACAAAAAAGAATTGGACATCAGGGCCCTGCATTTAGAAGACATCTACCAGACCATTTTTGATCTGTATCTCTTAATCCAGATTAATCTGTTCCTACAAACTGTTTTAACTAAAAGCATTTGCTACGGAGAATTCCTGACTGGAAGCAATAGTCAGCACCAGGCAAGGAGCAAATGTTTTTGTTTCAGTACTCCTGGGTGGTGCACTTGAAAATCAAGCTGTGTGAGTGAAGTGCCAGTTAAAGAGTTAGGAAATCCGGGATTTAGTTTGTTACACATCCTGTATGACTGGAAACGTTACTGAGCCCCCCAAAATCCCTGAGAGCCCCAAGCTTGCTGCTAGAAGGGTAATACCTACCTGGCAGCTGTGGAGGGGGAGATGAGAAGCCAAACCAACTCGTGTCCTCAGACACCCCATACTCTCTGCGTGTGCATATAATTCTTTTTATATATGTCTGTGTTTTGGCTCAAGAGATTCCCTTTTTTGCTCCAGTGAAAGCCTGAGCTCTTACCTACATCTTACCCTGTCTTTTTTCAGAACCAGCAGGCAAAAATAGCCCAGCTCTACCTGCCGCTGCTCGGGCTGCTCCTGGAGAACCTCCCGCGCGTAGCCAGCCGCGAGGCCCTCTACTCCTGCGCGGCCGCCTCCAGCCCTGTGAGTAAAGCCCAGCGACGCCTCTTCGCCCCCCTCCTCGGTCCCCCTCTCCCCACACACCCCCGGGGAGACTTCCACTGCCTGCACCCAGGCTCAGCTTTAGAAATAAATGTGTATTTCTTCTCCCCACAGCCCCGTAACGTGCTTGTTTCTTTTAATTTGTTTTTTTTCCTGTGACTTTATTCTGTTTGTAGCACTGGGTACAACGTCTCTGCCCCTTTTCTTGCTGTCATTTAAGGTGTTTTTTTACAGTACGCGTAGTGCGGTGAGGTGAGGTAAGTCCCTCCAAGTACAATGAGTTGCAGCAGGGCTCGGCCTTGGACTCCAGCAGCTGTTCTGGGGATTTGCCCGCCTGCCTGAGGGTTGTGTGTGGTTCCCAGGCGGGCTTAGCCTTGCAGACTAGACTTTCCTGCTTGTTCGGGGCAAAACAACAACAACAACAACAAAAGACATTTGAGAAAAACAATTAAGAATTTCAGCTCAAATGATAAAAAATGAAAAAAACTGCTATGACTTACATTTTCTGATATTCTTTGTACTCTTCGCCAAGTCATTTATCTCCTTGTTACAGAAGTAAGGAAATAGTTGTTTGGATTTTCTTTATTTGTGTTTCAAAAGCTGCTCTAATTTTCTTTTTTTTATTTCATTATTCTCTTCTGTAAGAGAATAGGTGTTATCATTCATTGGTCACAAAAGCCTTATGTTGCTTTGCAGGCATCCAGGGATGAATTCATTTGCAGTTTTGCATCCCCATCAAATAGATCGAGTCTGATTGCAGACAAAGATCCAGGTAAATCAATTTTTCTAAACTCTAATTTTCCCATGTATTTTCAACGAAACTGTTACCAGCCCCAAAAACCCATTACCCAAAACCTGAAATAGTCATCTGCCAAAAGACCTCTCGGAGTTTATATGCTTTTCCGTGGACGTGGTGTCACTGTAACTGTCACTTCCAGATTAATCAGCTTTCGACATGGGGCTTTGGCAATCCCCAGCCGTGCTGTCCGAATGGCATCCTTCGCTCACCTCCGTGATGCACTGAGGAGTGCCGGTGCAAAGGGGTTAATTGTGGGCTTTGTTGGTTTTTTCAGCCTGTGGAGCAGCACTTCCAAACGGCCACGCGATAAAGCGAGAGGACTCGAAAGGATCCCTGAACTCAGAGGGGGCAACCGGTTCCCCAGATCAGAGTGAAAATGTAACGTATCTGGGGTTAGACAGAATGGTGCTCGCCGCACCAGGCTGTGGGCTCTGTTACATAAGGGGGAGGGAAAAGGAGTTCCCTGTGGAAACGCTATCAAAAGCCAGCTTATAAATGTCTGTGTTTGGAAACAAACAGATTCATGTTTAACAGAGGAGGTCAGACTCACGGGGCTGGTATGCTTTCCCTCTTCAAAGCTCTCAGCCAAAAATATAACTGTTGGCAAATTACTTATCAAAGATGAAAGGCAAAATCTGTGGGGAAAACCTCTGCTCCCATGATGCATTTATCTGTGCTCAGGCGTGCCTGCTCTGCGTGGATGGGTCTGAGCCTGACCAGTGCCCAGTGCATGGTGCTTCACACTGGTTTCCACACACGGCTGGGAGGCAAAGCACTGGGATGTGAGATTGCCAATGACCCCTGACTTAAGAGAAGATGAGGTATTTGTAGGAAGATCAGCACAGGCTGATAACCACAGCCCCAAACTTGCAGAAAGTGGCCACGGTCACACCACAAAGAGCTATGACCCCGCTATTCAGACGGTGTACTCTCCTTGAGGGCAGATTGCATGTATGGAAATCAGGTATTTGTGCAAGCCAGCCCCTGGTTTTCCTCAAGGCGCTTTCCAGATGTCTTGGGTTGGCGTGAGTCCTTGATGCATCTTTAAAAGCTTTGGCCCTTACCACAAGCAAGGCAAAGATTATCCGGGCTCCTGCTGGCTGTGTCCTGACATGCTTAGCAGGGGTGGCGCCTTCCAAGCTCTCCCGCAGGAATCACAAAGCTGTAAGACCCAAGTATAGCCAAACACTTGACTGTCAAACTGTTCGTATTCAGCAAAGCTCTGAGCATATGCTTCAACCATCCCGGCAGGGTTTGCAGAATGTGTTACTGCTTGCAGCTCAGCTCTTCCCGACATCTAGACATCCTCTTCTGTGTCCTTGAAGGTACATTTTTCAGTGTCGTTGAAGGCAGTTTTTCTGTTAGGGAGTGCAGTATCCACAAAACCACGCGAAAGCCGTGCCACGTGGAGGAGCATGGCTGTAACTCCACACTGCAGAGGTAGACACACTGCTTTATCGCCTCTCTGCCTGGCGGGAGTTGGGTGATGACTTGATGGTTTGGCATGGTCAACAGCAAAGTTCTGGCTATAGCACCGTATCTCCAACTCTAAACTGAATGTTTAATTCTGTCTTATTATGACTCACATCCACAGCTTGTCCCAGAATAAAAAAAAAATGAGATCTGTGGTTCACTGTCCAAACATGTGAGACACAGCTTTAAGAGAAGCATCCTGCTTGGAGCTTAATTGTATCCATTTGTTGGAGGATATGGCTAGGGTGAGCATGGAGAATGCAAAAAAAATTGGTAAAGCTTTAGAAGTCATCTTTCCCACCACACAATGCTCAAGCTTTTCACATACGGATTGACTCACTAGCAGGATTTCACTTCTCTCTGCCTAAGTCACTAAGGAGGAAAAACAAGAGACACTTCCAAAAATCGGGGAAAGAAAATGTTAGTTTTTTGAGCTGAAATTTCCTGCTTTTTTAATATCTGACGTTTTGTTCTGAAGTGACTTCAAAGATGTCCAGGAGTTTAGCTGCTGCAGAGAGCTGGGGAAGTCAAGGCAGGGCTGCCACGTGTTTTGCTGGATAAGCCATTATTCTCTGCTCAGACTGTTTTATTTCTGGGCAGAGAAGCGTTCAGCCATGTGTTCAGGGTTTCCAGACTGCTCATCGCTGGCTGGGCAGCAGCCCCAGAGGGTGAGATGTCTCCAAAGCGTGGTGCCGTGGGGGGACAGGAGGACATCTGGTGCGTGCCAGGTTTGCCGTGCCCACGCTGCGTGGCGTCTGGCCCTGCGCGCTGCTCGGGCACCGGCCTCCGTGTCACGTCTGTGTCCCGTTAGATCCGCAGAAGCTCGACGAGGAGCAGCGTGTCGCACTGCAGCCGGCTGGACCAGTTTGAGATCCGGACGCTCCTGATGTGCTACCTCTACATTGTGAAGATGATCTCTGAAGGTTGGTGGCTCTTGCTTGTTGGATTCAGCCATATTCAAAATACGGCGCTGGGGGGCAGCCAGGAAGACAAGAGACCATCACCGGCAGTTTTGGTCTGTAAGCTTCCCCTTTGATATTTTTTAAATCTCAGTGCACTGTTTTGGCTTTTTCCTTTCAGATACTCTTTTAGCTTACTGGAACAAATTCTCCTCCCAAGAGTTGATCAACGTCCTTGTGCTTCTGGAGTAAGTATCACGAGGCTGCAGTTCAAACCCTGTGCCTTTGTGCGGGCAGCATTGACCAAGAAGAAGGCGTGAGCATGGTGTGCCTCGCAGGGTGCGTGCCGTCCTGTGCAGCACTAGGGATGTCTGGCCACGTTGTACTGAAATGCTCTTCCACCATCTGAGAAGAAACGGGTATATATCGAGGGAGTATGGTGAAGTGGCGGTGCCCGGGGCTCAGTCTGGGCTGTGCAGAAGGCGAGCAGGGCTCGTGGCACAGCCTCCTGCCAGAACATGAACAACCTCTGCTTTGCAGCGGGTTTGGTGGAACAGTTGGGTGAGGAGACAGGGATGTGCCACAGGGTTTGGAAAACGAGGGTGTGAGGTCAAGTGACTTACAAACACAGACCCAAACCCTCATACGCAGAGGAGTGTGTCAGCAGGCAAGAACAGGGTAGATTTTAAATGTTCTGGATCTGCAGGATCTGTAACACATACCTTATTTTCTTTCTAGGGTGTGTTTATTTCACTTCAGATACGTGGGGAAGAGAAATATTGCCAGGTACTGTATTGTCCTGCCTGGGACTGGCGGGGGGGCTGCCTCCGTGCTGGTTGCTGCAGCCGGGGCAGGAAGGGAGCGTGCACACCCGCGCTGGGCAGACCCAAGCGGGCAGGAAGCCTGCGGGGCTGGGGCTCTGCTCAGTGCCGTGTCGCGAGCAGAGTCCCCCCCGCCCTGAGCACCCTGCCCCTTCCCTCTCCTCCAGCTCCTGCGTGAGACCCCCAGGCACCCCTGGCTGCCCGCACAGGTTGGCAGTGTCCCCCGCAGCCGGCTGCAGGTGAGACACGAGTCACGGCTGCGTCCCTGCTCCCCGAGCAGCAGCACTGCTGTTTCATTAGCTCTAGGGCCATCTGGTGCAGGCAAAACCAGAGCAGCCTGGTCAGTCCCACTGGGATTGTCCAGGATAAACCAGATTAGCGAGTTGCAGAGAGGCCAGGTCTCCATCCTGGTGCATCATGTAATCCTGTACTGGTGTGGCCGCTGCTGCTCGTCCAGACCCGCAGTCTTTGGTTCCCCTTGCAGGGTGCACGATGCCTGGTTATCCAAGCACACGGGAGCCGATAGGAAATCCCAGACGATGCCAGCGCTCCGCAGCAGAGCTGGGGGGATGCAGGTGCGGCTCCAGCATCTGGGCAGCTTGGAGACCTCCTTCACGCTCAACCACAGTATGTACAGCAGAGTACAGCAGAGGGAGAGGGGACTGTGGAGCCTGCTGAAAACTGCGTGTAGCCATTTCCCACGTGCTGCTTGGTGCTTCGGGGTATTCAAACTCTGCAGAATTACACTGGTCACCACAATTCCCTGCAACACTCCCAGATTGGTGGGGGTGACATTTAAGCCAGCCCCTTGAAAGCCACCCCTGAGACTTAGGACTTGCGTGGCTTTTTCCTCTCGCCTGTCTTGGCTCAGCTCCTTGGCTGAGTGTGTGTGCAGGCGATGCCTTGCTTTGGGTAGTGAGCAGGGGGGCTGCAGAGACCTGGGCTGGGAGCTGCTCTAAGCCTCTCCACGTGGCTGCGTTTTGCCCCATTGAAGCACTTTGCTGTTTCCCCTCTGCGGATACAACTTGGACACCTCATTCTCTGTCTGGCTTTAGGTACAGTGAGATTAAGAGGAAGTACTGACATTGGTTTCCTCGGTTGACATCAGGCTGAGGCAGCTTCTCTGAGTGGAGCTGTCAAATTCAGCAGCTTGCTATTCTAACCTCCTCTCCCAAACCCAGTGAAGTGCAAGGGGAGAATCTTAGCTATATCAGCACTTAGATCTTGTGGGAGCTGGAATGTTGAACACTGTTTCCTCCTGATTTGCTTTCCACCCACAGATGCAGGCACCTCAGAAGCAGATATTGTGCACCAGGCGTTACTGGAGGGCAATATTGCCACCGAAGTGTGCCTAACAATCCTGGACACCATCTCTTTTTTCACTCAGAGTTTCAAGGTCAGCACTGAAATCAAAAGTATTGTAGAAAGAAGTGTGCTGTATTTCTGTATACGTGTTGATTTTGGTGATCCATTCTCTTAGAGTGGCAGATTATGAAAAGCTTTACAAGAGCAAATCATTTGCAGCTTGTTTATTTTCCAAAATGCTGAGTGTTTCACCGGCTGTCAGCGTAATTGTGGCCTTATGCAATCTTGCAATTTCTTCAAAACTGTAAGACCAGAGAAAAATATGTGGACATTATACCATGAGTGTAGACATTACAAAAATAGAATGAGAGGAAATGTACATCATATAGAAAGGAGAGACTAGTGGAAAAGGAAATGAAGGTCTGTCATTCTTAGAACAGTCACTGTTTTCTACCATAAATTGCCTAGAAGTGAGGCCCGGATTTCTTTGAATCACTGTACATGAACGTCTCTGGGGCTGAGGCATTCCAGCTGTGGTTACCAGTTCAGACAGGACCAGTACCACTGGTAAAAGTCCATGCAGTGATTCGCACTCCTGGCAGTCATTGCCATTTACAACAATCAAAGCCTCTGTGGTAAAGAGAGCCCCAGGCTGGCAGCAAGATGCTGAAATACTGTTCCAAAAAGGCTCTTCCTCGAAGTGTGGTTGAACAAATTCTGCTTACAGCAATGTGTCTTGCATAATGGCACGAGAACATCTCCGTGTTTCAGAGTAAGCACAATGAAGTCTTCCTTTTTAGATGGATTGAACAACATGAAGAGAAAGGTCATCGTATCCTCTGCTTCTGTTACAGAACAAAACGGCCACCCTGGTGCATACGTTAAATTACTCCTTAAAAGTTTGTCAAGAGCAGAAGGATTTAGATGCAAGAGTTGAAACTTGCTTGACTCTCAGGTGCCTCTTTTTGACTATGGCTGAACCACAAAACAGTGTGATTTTCAAACCACAGGATAGACTGGATTCCCTTCCGCTTTAATGGGCTTCTGCTTTGCTTTTATGGTCATACGTTGTTACCACACAGAAGCGTGCTCTGTGCTGCAGTAAAAGTGCTGATGCTGTTCTTACTGATGGAGTAAATGAGTTCAGTTAAAAAATACGGATCCTAAACTCACCCTGCTACAAGATGTGTATAGGGTGTCAAAAGGCAAATCTGAGCCAGCCCGCGGATTGCTTGGGCTGGCAGTGAGATAGGGACTGTAGATCTGCTATCGATACGGGACACCTCGTCCTTGCACGAGGCTTCCTGCGCAGCGGCTGCAAGGGTGACAGCAGGCACAGGCGAGATAACTCTGGCTCTAAACTGTGTTAATCCTCTTCAATTAATTCCATTTTACCATGTCTCCAGAAGGTGGAAACTGTGAAAACTTTGCAGGAGACAAGGGAGGTGTATTGTCTTACTATGGCTATGGATCTGCCCAGTGAAAAGATGTGACAGTCTGTTTGTCTCTCTCTCTCGCTCTCCCCCCCTTGGGCTGCAAATGAAACACTTGTTGCAACAAATAAAAAGAAATGGAAGAAACAGTGTGATAGTTATGTTGGTAACAGCCTGTTCTATTTAAAATAACTCTAGGCAACCAGTGAAAGTTGTACAGATTTTTGAGTTAGGTTTGGAATTAGTGATGCAAAAGTGACGAAATATTTTTGTTTTATTCTCTGCTATAAAAATAACCTCTGACCAACTAGTGTAAGTTTATACTGGTTGTCACATTTATTGGTTATATTTTTACTGAAGGCCCTGTCCCTTAGGTGGCATAAGAATTTATGTGATTAATTACGCAAAATGATCTCTGTCATTTCCAGCTTCAGGCACAACATTTCTGCAAAATAAATTCTCTCGTTGCTTTCCAGACCCAGCTTTTAAGCAACGATGGCCACAATCCACTCATGAAGAAGGTTTTTGATATTCATCTGGCTTTTCTCAAAAATGGGCAATCAGAAGCAGCTCTTAAACATGTGTTTGCCTCTCTGAGAGCTTTCATTAGCAAGGTATGTAATACATGAATCCAGAGGTGCAGGAGAATTTATATAGGTATGACAGAAGAGACCAATACGCTTAAGCTCCTGTTAAACTGATATTTTATGGTGTTTGGAGATGTGTTTTAGGAAACAACTTCTTCACTGATTTAAAAAACAGCCCAGATTAATTTACCTATTTCAACAATTATTTATCATCTGTTGGATATCAGAAAACAAAAGAAGAAATCGCAAGGAATTCCCTCACTTGCCTTGGTCACAAAACTGCTGTTAAGGATTGGTATCTGTCTGACCAAAAGCTGGTGCTTCTTGAATCTTTGCCCCAAACTGTCAGTATTGCTGACAGTGCTATTGCTTGAATAATGCTTGTACTGACAAGTTGCTCCTCTCCCATTGCGTTTGAAAAAAGGTAGTACTTGCTGAACATCTTTCTATACTTTTCTGAGCCCTGGTACACAGCAAAGCTGTTTAATCCCCTGAGCTCAAGTAGCATCAAAGCTGCAGCTAACCACGTAACAGCAGTGACTGATGCTATTGCTGACATTTCCCTCTGTGCTTGTCAAAACCTGCCACTTCTCATAAATACATTTTTGAGACCAGATGTACATGCAAACTCCATTCCTTCCAAGCTGCAATGTTATCATAAATTCAAAATTAATTAAAACCTCTCAAATCACTTGAATGCAGTGCTTCATTAATGAGGTAAGTCCATGTGGCATGAGATTGCAGCCAGACAGAGCACAGTATGTGAATGATATGCAGCAAAGTGTAACTTCCAAAGGAGGTCTTGCACTAGTTACCAAGAAAGGACTGATTAAAGAAAGAGACTGCTAAACTGTTTTTTAAAGGTGGAAAAAATCTGTGCTATGTACATTTTACTATAACCCACAGCAAAGCTAAGAGCTAGTATGAGCGTATCTGGGGCTGAATTTTCCTTTGTCCTAAGCAAACACGTGAGAAGCAGAAAATGCAGAAGTCTTGCTAGCTACCTGTCTGGCTCCGGACAATGTGGTCTGCTACAAGATGTTTTTCCATGGGGCTTCTTAAAGCCTGCTAGATTGGTACTGGCTCAGTTTTTCTCCGGAGTCCAACACGTGTTTATTGCTCTACCTTTCTTTTGAGTTTTCTGCTTGCCTGCGATCTGCTTAGCCTTGAGATCCATCCTGCTGCAGATCTGCACACACCCCACTCAGACAGAGTCTCTCTGCACGTCTCTTCCCCTTACCAGTCGAAAGTTTGTTTAGCCAGAGATTCTTGGTTTGTGCCTATAGCAAATAAGAGACCTTCCTTGCCTCCCTGGTAAATTTTCTGTGGTTGTTTAAACGCGAAGCCAAACCTGCATACCCGCTCCATTTGATCTCACCATCAGCCTTCAAAACCTGGAGCCCTTCAGGGGTTCCACGCTCACTTTCCAAAATACCGATTACAGCAACGCAGGCTGTGCTCTTGGCTGCTGCAACAATGGGCAGTGGGGTCATTTTCTTGGATTTATGTCAGACTGAATCCACGCTGAGTTTGGCGTCGTGGGTCTTGAAAGATATGAAAGACTGATTTCAGTTAATTTCTCACATTTCCCCTATGACAGGACACAGTGTTGCTTCTGTAAAAGCAAGATATGAGCCCAGCAGATGGTATCTATAAGGAAGTGTTTTCTTTGCCAGCTCCATAACCACATGAGTCCCAAACTTCCTTTTAAGTCCTCTGAAAGGCTCTTCTAAAGCCCAAAGTGACAATAAAATAGCCGAGGGGCGGGGGGTCACTGTATTTCATGACAACTGCAAGGATGGCATGTTATCCTGCAAGTTTGTTTTGAAATATGGAAGCTGCACTGCTTTACTTTGGGTGACCTGTCACTGTTCGCTATAAATTAGTGTTAACTTAAAACTGAAAGCAAGTTACACATTTGATGCAGCTAGAATGGACAATTGCTCATTTTTATGGCCTTCTGTAGCTAATAATCATAATGAAAAGAATCGTCCTCTTATCTAGGGTCACAGCAAATGGTTACCGGAGGGGAAAAAACTCCCAAGATTTATTCTGTATCCCAAAATCTATCTTTAAGCTAGCTTGCTTCCTGCATTAAATCCAGTGACTTGATAGGCAGAAGACTTAAAAAAAAAAAAAAAAAATGTCGCAAGAAAGCAAAGAACAAACAAGTTACATAATTGTTTGTATGTTCGGTTTTGGTTTTAGAATGAATCTCACTTGCATGCATGTGTGCGGGGAATTTGAGAAGAAAGCTGTCTGTTTTACTGGCTGGGAAGAAGCACCGAAAACTAGATTGCTCGTGTTTTATACTCCAGGTTTTCTTAACAACTCAATCCTTCTTTTCAGAGCATCACTTACAGACAAATACATACATACATGCTTGGGAATGATCTTGAAATTAAAGATTATGAAGGAAAACGTGCACAGAGGATGGGGGCTGAGATAATTCGCCCTGCACTAAAGAGCAGGTCAAACATGTGGATGTGGGAGCAATGGCAACCCCATGCTCCATGCCTGCCTGTCCCTTGGTGCGCTGACACTAGCAGGGCACGTTAGAGGCATCACAAATCCCGGGCTCTGAAGGACGAGGGCAACAGAGCCTCGCTCCTTTCCTGCAACAGCCAATTTGGGAAGCTTTTCCCTGTCTGTTAGCAATTCCCCCCCTGACCACGTCAAGCTGTGATTTCCCTCCCCATTAGAGCTCTCAGGACGCAGCATCGTTACAGCCTCCCATGCAGTTGTGAGGGGCACTTGGCACGTCCTGCCCGCTGCTGTGGCTGCCCTGCCCTCCTGTCCCTTTTGTGCCGAGGCCTCTCTGGGAGCTGCTTGCCGCGTTGACTCCTGCTCTGGCCCTTTGTATGGGAGCTGGATCAGAAACGTGCTCCTCCAGCACACGCAGATCTCCAGCAGGCATCCACGCGTGGGTCCGCTGCCCCAAACCTGGTGCCGGGAGCTGCGTGGGGACGCAGGTCCCCTGTGAACAGGGCACAGGTTTTCCTCCAGACCCGGTGCGGTGTGGCAGGGAGCACACAGGGAGGTGTCTTGGGCTTCTGCAGCAGCAGATGACTAGGCAAAGGGGTTTTTTCCCTAGCATTGGGTTGGAAACGTCTGAAAAACCTCTACAGGCAAGCAGTGGTCCCTGCTGAGATCAGGTCCCGGCCATATCTTCTTGGGTACCTGTTGCCTGTGCATGCCCAATCGCACATCTCTGTGGCCAGCTCTGGGCTAAAGGCAGTTCTGAGCATGACCCCATCTTTCTATGGGAGAAGGGTTGCATCACAACAGGCAGAAATTAATAGCTCCTTTCCCGTGTGCACACATGATCCTACTGACCCTGTGTTACTATGTTTACTTGCTTCCTTTCTTTCTGAAATTATTTTTGGCCAGAAGCAGTGAACAACATATACTTGGCCGCTGTCTTCATTCTGCCTTGTAGCCTGTGTTGCTCAGTATAATCCCAATGGTGTAGTCTTGCTAGCCACAGCTCCTGTTTTGAGACCTTTTCACCAGCACAGTATGGTGGTGGCCACAGCAGTACCTAGAAGCTTTTCTAAATCATATATACCTAATATATATACCTATATATAATAATATATACCTAAATCATATGTACCTAATGCCATGGTAACAGCTCTAGGCTGTGACTTGGAGGATGCAAGTGAAGACTCTAGTACCTACTGTCATCTTCCATGGGGAGAAGGTAGTGGAGCAGATAGAAGTGGCTCGTGGACCATGGCCCATGAGGACCATTGGGTCCTGAATGAACTGAGCTCATCTCTCCTCTGAACGTATACAAACCACGGTTGTCTCTGTTGCCTCTTTGTGCCAGGAAATTCCCTGGAGCTGGTCCCCAGCTGCAGCAGAGGGAGCAGAGTGTTACTGTCCGGTGCCCGAACAGCCCCCGCTCCCTCAGGAAGGTGTAGGCATCGCCCCTCTCCTGCCAGGCCCCTGCGGTGGCTGCGGAGGCGGCTGCGTGCCAGCACAAAACCGTTCCTTTTTCTGCTTCCCTGCGCCCAGCCCGCTGCGGCCGGGCTGGAAGGGAAGCCGAGGGCCGTGCCCACTCCCTGCCAGCCACCGCTCGTGACCGTGGCCAGTCGGATGCGCGCCGGCGGTCCCCGCTCCGGCGAGCGCTGCCTCCGGGGCAGGGCACTACCGCAGCCCTCTGCTTTTCAGGCACGGCTCAGCTTGCCCCCCCGCAGACGTGCTTGGTAGGTGTTTGGGAAGGTGCTAGACGTGCCACGGCAGCACGGGGTGCTGGTCTTCCCCTTCTGCTTTTCTTCGCCCTGCTCCAAATCTCTGAGCCCCGCTGCTGACCGAGGTAGCTCACGCTGCAGTTTGGCTTGAGCGTGCTGCTCCCCGGGGCTGGCTTCATCGGGGAGGCCAGGGCAGGTCACTGCGTATTTTAGGCTCTCTGGGACAAGCAAGGCTCTTGTTTGCATTCCTGAGGGCAAGCAGGATTTTAGGCTTTGGCGGGGGGACTTGCAGAAGAAGCTGTGCAAGCGCCACAGGTCACATTTCCCAGCGAAGTCAGACTTCTGGGTGGGGTGGGCTCCAGTGGATTTTCCGATGTCCCAGATGGTAGCCTTTGGTGGGAATGTCCATGGGACCTTTCCTCTCTGTCCCACTGCTGGTATTTATGGCTCTTGTAAGAACATAAAACTTCTGCCTGTCCAATTTGGTGAGAATTTGCCAATGAACCCAAAAGTTGTTGGGGCGGGGCGATAGACGGACATACACAAGCACATCCCCAGAAAGTGTGACAGCAAAGTTCACATTGCTCTAGCAAACGTGGTTACAAGTAGGCCGCAGATTCATTCCCACAAATACTTCCAGGCTCAGAACTCTGGCAGAAGTTTTATTGTGGCCGTCCAGGCTGGAGCCCAGTGTGTTGCCCCTTTGCCCTGCCCATCTAAGCCCTGTGGGTGTAACTCAGTGGTGTGTTTTCTAATATCTGCATGCCTCCTGTGAAGTTTCCCTCAGCATTTTTCAAGGGAAGAGTGAACATGTGTGCTGCTCTCTGCTACGAGATCCTGAAGTGTTGCACTTCCAAGGTGTCCTCCACAAGGAATGAAGCCTCAGCTCTTCTGTATCTCCTGATGAGAAATAACTTTGAGTTCACCAAAAGGAGAACGTTTCTGAGAACGCATCTTCAGGTCAGTAACTGGGGAAAAGCTAGCGAGTGAGATGCCTCAGGTTTAATGAACAGATATATCAATATAACTGTATCACCTCATATCTGCAGAGGATCTTGTCGTTACTATATCGGCAAAAATCCTCTCGATTTCTAGGCTTGCATAATTCCCATTTCCAGTGACTGGCCCGGGGCCCTTTGGCTAAAATACACTGACATCAAGTACTCCAAGCTGTTGAGTTTTTGGAATCGCAGGCACAAGACACATCTCTGCCGCAGAGGCTGGCCGGGATGGGGTGAAAAGGACAGCAAGGAGAGCTGCCTTGGAGGAAGGAGAAGGGATTTTCCTAGAGTTGCTTTTTGCAGCATTGTTTTTCTGAAGCAAATTTAGATACCTAGTGGGGTAGATGAATACTATCTGGGTTGTAAGGAAACATGGAAGAAGGTAACTATACAAACAGGGATTTATATTGCTGTTGTTACATTGTTAATTCTGTGAACTTGCTGTTCAGCAGAGCAGTTTGGTTCTCAGGGGAGTGTTTGTCCTTGGGAGGTGTGACAGCAAAGTCACAACAACAACCACCACCGTTGCTTACGTTGTGGGAAAGATGTGATGATTTCCTGTGAGCATTTTATGTAACTGTGACAATAAAACTCCTTTATTAGGACTCATTTAAATAAAGCCCCTACCCTGTCCCAACAGATAATAATTGCAGTGAGCCAATTAATAGCAGATGTGGCACTCAGTGGTGGGACAAGATTTCAGGACTCCTTGCTCATCATTAACAACTTTGCAAACAGTGACAGGCCTATGAAGGTAAGTTGGAGACGTTAAATCATATCATGTGCTATCAGCCATTTGTGCAAGAGTGGGGATGCACTCAAGGAAGTCACGTTTAAGGGTCAGGCTTATGACTGGAACTATGATTTATAAACTCATGCTTGGCTGTGTTTGCTCAGTGAATAAAAGTATTATGTCAACAGCAGTAGGGCCAGCGGCACAGACAGGTTACGCTCACACCAGGAGGAGGGAGCTCTGCAATTCAGGTTACACTTTGCAAAGCGTGCTGCTTGCAAGGTTGTCCAAAGAGCCTTCCAAGAACTTGCAGCTTTGAGAGAAATTATAAGGGAGGGTCTGGTACTTGTTGCCTGAAGGTAATAAATTGCAGGAATTAGTTTTAATTGAGTGTTAGTAATATTAAGAAAACGCTCTTTCATGGAGATTAATGGTTGTATTTCTTTGGAATATAATTGTCTGTCTTTGTGCTACAATTAATAGCTTCTATCCAACCCACTGAACAATATATCATCACTGCAGCTTGCTCCATTGCACACAGTGTAGCTGCCAAGTTAGAACAGAGGAAAATGGGAGGTGTTTTTACAGTTCTGTGATTATCCTATGACCTAAAGGTGGAATGGTAACTTCAGTTATGTGTTGAATTGTGCTATAGCAAAGTTATGGTTAGGATATACTTGGCAAAATCCTCAGTTCTCTTCTGTGCATAGATGTTTATAAGAGTTTCACTGAGCCATACTTTGCTGCTCATATTTTACATCACAAGACCATCATTATCTCCAGTTTATGTATTTATATAAGTGCAAGAGTACAAGAGAGATTTCAGTGCAGGGGAGAGGATGCTGTGCACAGCCACAGAAGATAGCTAAGGAGAGGGAACATGAGCCAGGCTTATTGTGGAGGAGAGAAAGCTGAAGGGGAGGACCTAACTTCTGCTTTCCACTGCTGAAAGGGAGGCTATAGGGATGAGGAGGTCGGGCTCTTCTCAGAGGTGTGGAGTGGCAGGACAAGATGCAATGGCCACAAGTTGCTGCAAGGGAAATTCCAACTTTATTTGAAGAAAAAATTCTTTCCCAAGAACACGGTGCAGCCCTGGGGCAGGGCCCAGAAGGGAGGTGGGATTTCTGTCCTTGGAGATAATAAAACTTGGCTGGACAAGCCTTGCTCTAACTCAGTGATGGCCCTGCTCTGAGCAGGAGTTTAGCCTGGAGCCTGTGTTTCTTTCTCTGTTTTTTACATTCCTGTGGTGGGAAGCTCTGCAAATTCTTTGGCACTTTAGGAATTGAAGAGTGACCACAACAGAGACTAACAAGCCGGATGTTGAATGACATGAAAAATACTGCAGGCATGGTTTACAGTCCCATCCTGGGACACTGGCATGGACGGAGCCCTTCTGTCTCGCTCTCACACCAGCTCCTCTGGATGCCAGAGCACCTGCCTCACCGCAGTGCAGGAGCAGCCAACCTGGCATCCTGCACATGACCAGGAGAGATTGGCCCTGTGCACACCCAGGCTGAAATCTCTCTAATTGCCTGTGAAATACTGTACACTGTATGCAGTGTGAGCTTAATAAGTAATGGCTAGTTAGTCTTATCTGCTGTGTTCTCAACGTTTTCAGATTGCCAGTAAGTGGAGTGTTGGCTGAAAGGGTAGAAATGGCCTTTCTTTGGCAAAGCCTGGAACACCTTTTATTTCTGTATTTGCTTCTAATTATGTTTGTTTTGTGTCAGGCAACTGCTTTTCCTTCCGAAGTGAAAGATTTGACAAAGAGAATCCGTACAGTGCTTATGGCTACTGCTCAAATGAAAGAACATGAAAAAGATCCAGAAATGTTGATAGATCTACAGTACAGTTTAGCTAAATCTTATGCAAGTACCCCAGAGCTCCGGAAAACGTGGCTGGACAGTATGGCAAAGATACATGTAAAAAACGGAGACTTTTCAGAGGTAATTCATGTAACTAAGAACATGGTGCACAACAAGACATGTACAGAAGCCATTTTAATTTTCCCTTTGTACTTTGCAGGCAGCCATGTGTTATGTTCATGTAGCAGCCCTTGTTGCAGAGTTTCTGCACAGGAAAAGTAAGTGCGTGCTGTTTGGGAGGCACAAGGTAGACAGTGCAGTGATGGGTTTGGGGGGGATCAGAATCTTTTTAAAGACAAGTTTCTCTTGATTTGCTAAATAATTATTCTAGAAACAAGCTAAAAATAAAAGAAAATAATGCAGTGGATAAAGCTCGAAGATGATTAGTATTTTTTAAGAAAGGACCAGTTGTTCATACACAGGCATTTCCTAGCCTGGCCAGGTCTGCTTAGACAGTCTTGTTGTCATGTTGCTGAGTGAAGTAAGAACTGACACATCATGTCTCGGTTTAAATGTTCAGTTGTATTTTACATTAGGAAATGTACTCACAGGGGAAGCCCAGTTAAAAACTGGCTGTCAGTATGTTCCTCAGAAGTATCACTACAAGCAGTGCAGAAAGCTATAGAATAAAGCAGTCAAAATTTAGTCAAAAAATGAGACTATAGCCTAACTATACAAATATGTAAAGAACAATCAGAAAAAAAGAGTGTGTTGTGGTTTAATGCAAAACAGGAAGGAAGGACTGACTTGTGTGTTCTCAAGTAATATCACTTTGCAAGTCTTCTTTTAAATAACCTTCCACATTTGATATATGGACCCCATTTCTCATTTCCATATCAGGGAATAATTGCTGAAATAGACATATAACATTTCAGAAAGTTAAGGCTGCAGACAAACTGATTACATGCACTGCCTTGGCTGGAGAGGTCTTAGGTGCCTTGCTCAGGGGACTTGGAGTCCCTCCGAATTCTGTACTTTCTGTTGGCTAAGTGGGAAAAATTGGAACTTGTTTTTCTGATACCTATACACATTTCACATGACTGCAGAGGGGAGAGTATGGAAAGTTGGCAATTCTTTATTTGTACCAGGGAGGCTGCTTACCACAACCAGTGGTAAAGGAGAACTTCTAAAAAAGAAGAGGAACAAATCCAAACAAATATCAAGTGAATACACTCAGTTATTTCTGTCACTGGCACTCTTTACATATACATAGACTGGAAAGGGTTCAGTAAAGGCTGAGCTACGCAAAGTTTTGGGGTACATAACTGAGCTAGGAGAACTAGGAGTGTGCAGTTCTGTTCGCTTACCACCCAGCTCTCCAGCATCCAGCAGTAGCTTTCTTCTTGCCTTCTTCTATGCAAAGATACACCCTTGGCCTTCTCTCCTGACTTGCAGTTGGTTGCAGCCAGTTAGGTCGGTCAAAGATGACTCCCAGATAGCACACTGGGAAATTTATTGTGTTTGGTGTTAGTTATGTACTAGGAATGACTCCCATGGCAGATGGCTGGGGCAGTTCTAATGTGTTCAGTCTCATATAGCAAATCAGAAGCAAAAATGGGAGTCTAGTCCCCTGCTACTTGTAGGACATCACTATTAGCTAGGCTGCTTCCCTGGCCGTTAAAGCATGACACATTTGAGATAAGTTATTCCACTAACCCATCTGCTTTTTTTCTGCTCTAGAACTCTTCCCCAGTGGATGCACTGCCTTCAGGAAAATCACTCCCAACATTGATGAAGAAGGTGCAATGAAAGAAGATGGTGGGATGATGGATGTACATTACAGTGAGGTGAGGTCCTGTAGTATAGTTTTAGACTTTGCTCATATGAACTGTAACAAATTATAGTTGCGCACTGGCATCTCTGAGGAAGACTGTTCCACAGCAATTCCCCAAGAGAAATCTGCACTGAAGGGTTTTCTGTGACAATTCAGATAGGTAAAACTGGTGTAAGTTCTTGGTTCCCTTGAAAGGCTTTTCTAGCACTGAGACTGAAAAAGCTACACCACAATCTTTGCCTACCGTGTTATGCAAATGCTAATTCTGCCAGCACAGGGCAGCACAGTATTTCCAAGGAGGGGGAGAATGCAAGTCAAGCTCTGACGAGTGAGAGGTCAGCTTAGGCTCCCCTTGAGTTAGGGCTGTGCTGCAGGACACCACATTAGCAGAACAATCCAGAAACCGTAGCAGGGCACTGGGGAAGTGGGTAGATCCTCCCATGAGTCATAAAGTCTCACAATTACTTCTGCACCATCCCCGTACAACTGTGTTGGGTGGGCCACGTGGCTGAGTGAGGTGGCCCTGCAGCCCAGCTGCCCAATTGCCCGTTCATCAAGACTAGGCTTGAGGGTCCTGAGCATCACATCCCACTGCTATTGCACACATGTTCCTTGGACGTTTCTTAGACATGTACCTCTGGCTTCCAGCGCTGTCATCTCCATACCCTCCCAGAGTTTTGACATTCTTCTGAATTTGGAAAAATCTGGAATTCTCCTGGGGAGGTAGCCAAATAACCAAGACATACTGGCTGGCTATAGTGCTAATGATTTATTAAGGATGAATGAACTTCTGAAAAATACCATGTCCTTTTTTTTTTTTTCTTTCTTTTTTTTTTTTTTTTTTTTTTTAATTCCAAAATTTAGAATTCCTTTGGAAAGGCCAGGAACACACAGGGTTTAAGCTTATGTAACTGTGGCTACTTATACTGGGACCTGTTACAGTATCTGAAGTTAAAATGGTTTTCTCTTCTAACTTTGTTATTAACAACACCCGGTTGCTCTTGTAGGAAGTCCTGGTGGAGCTGCTGGAGCAATGTGTAGATGGCCTGTGGAAAGCAGAGCGTTATGAAACAATTTCTGAAGTTTCCAAACTGATCATTCCTATTTATGAAAAGCGGCGTGAATTTGAGGTAGGTATTTTGAACCAGTTTGCATATGTCACATAATTTTCTAGATCGCTAAGGAAAAAACAGGAGGCTTTTTTATTTTTGCAGTTATGAGTTAACAAATTGGTGTCAGTGAAGCACACACTGTCCTTCATTGCTGGTCATTAAACAAATTAATTAAAACAATGGTCTGGAGGGTACCTATTAAAGCTAAAGACACAGAAGACTCGTATTTAGTGAATAATTTCCACCTTCCTTCCCCTAAAATAAAGCTGTCATCATCCCATATGCTCATCAAAGCCAGGTTCTTTGTGCGACTTGAGCATTTTAAAGGTTAAAAGTAGAGTGAGAACTGCTCAAAGGACGAGATCTGCAGGTAGTTCCGTGGCAAGGGGGGAGGAAGGAAGGAAGCTGTTGCCAGCCCTCCTCTGCCTTGCTCCTTCCCAACACCTGCGGTGGCCCGGGCTGCTCGCCCGCCGCACAGCGCTCCCCTTTCCCTGCTTCTCCCATCACCCCACACACCAGGACAGCATCCAGATACATAATTGAAGCGAGAGGAAGCCTTGATCTATTTTTTCATCATAAAGCTGGTTTTAATCAAAAAAGAATTTCTGGATAAAATACTGCAAGCTGCCCTACCCTTAAAGTCGGGGAACATGAGACAGTAGGCTCAGCCCTCTCTCTAGGGGTAGTGACATTATTGCAGTCAGCGGTACCCTTCAGGCCCGAAGCTAAGTGTGTGCTTAGGACTGAGGTTTTTCAAAGAAAACTGCAGTTCAACCTCTTTAGAAATTCAAGTTTGAGTTCACTGAAGGACTGTGTTCAGATATCTCAGCAGCTTACAGTGTTAGCTACAATTTCCTGCTTGCAAAATTCTGCTTTGACGATGTCAAGATTTGATTTCCAGAAACTTACGCAGCTGTACAGAACACTTCATGGAGCATACGCTAAGATATTGGAAGTAATGCACACAAGGAAGAGGCTTCTTGGAACCTTTTTCAGAGTGGCCTTTTATGGACAAGTAAGTATACACATTGGCTCACTGGCTATCCCTCACGAGGTGTCCTGGCCCCTGAAGCGGCTGCTGTGTCAGACCTGAAGCTGAGAAGCCTGCTAGCTCCTCTGGTGCAGCCGCTGGAGCGTCTACGTGAGCGTTCTGGTATTGTGCCCTTGAGGTCAGAGCTTGAGTCTCTCCGCTGGAGCAGTTGATTTATTATGAAGTTCATGATTCTGCCGGTGGGCTTTTCGTAAAATGACTCAGCAGTTGGGAAATGGCTCAGTGGGTTCAGAAAACACCGGGCTTTTTTTGTAATTATAGTTATTACAATTAAATACAGTTATTGCAATTTGGTGTGTGTAGTGTATAACCAGTAACAGTGTATAAACAGTAGTAGTAACATACATGTTCTTCTACAGACAATTGCTGCTCCCTCCTAGATATTAGTAGAGTAAAAGGTGATGGGAGAAACTGGAGGCAAAATATGTATCAGTGTTGGTTATATACTTGTAGAGATAGATGGTATTTTTTGTTAGCTGAGGTAGCGGGAAAAACGGACAAGATCTGGGGCTCAGAGTCCCAAGAAGGAGCGTGATCATATCATATATGATGAAGTCTTCTGAGCCTGAAAGCAGTTGTGGTTTTATTTTTTTGTTCTCCAGCTATAGCAGTTTATTTAATAGGGTATGTTACCCCACATCTCCCTTGTGTCTTTGAACTATCTGCTGCTGCTTATGGGCCCACGACCACGAGGGAGATGCAGGACCCCTCGTTAGAAAATGCTATGTAAATTGCATTATCCCTGCCTTTCCTCATTCCTTCTTTTAGAAGAGATGGTGAATACTCCTGAAACCATCTTGGATTTGTACCTTTGAACACCGCTGTCATTATATGCACAACATATTAGAACATTGACTTTTGCTGCAGCAAAGATACATTTTATTTTTGTCCTCATCTTCAACTTCAGATATGTAAAAAGTTAATAAGGTTAATAGCTAGCTTGGTTTTCTAGAAGCTGTAGAAATAATCGGATGAGCCCCTAAAATTAAGCTATGTAACATATCATCTGGACAACCAATATTTGATCTTTTGCACCATAAAGCTTTGCCAGGTTTATATGCCAGCTACACAGAGACAGATTCAACACTCTGTCGCAACCTCTCACCGAAACAGCTCGCCAAAGCATGAAGCTTTCATCCTGTTCCCATTATAGGGAGGACCGGTGATGCAGGCACGAACTTTGATGCAGTTTTGTCTCTATTTACAGCAAATACACCGAGTTCCACTTCCCTGAATACAAGAGGAATCAAAGCAGAGGAAACCCATTTCTTTATTTATTGTTTGACATCCCTTTCAGCCTACACAAAATCCTTCTCTTCAGATTGTCCATGTGTCTCTGCTATCAGGGCTTCCTCATATTATACATCTTTCTGCTCCTTCTCTATGCTTTGTTTTTATGCTTTTTCTCCTGCTTGCCTCTTTCCAGCCTTCTAAAAAGTCAACTGCTGGCCAAACCCATCTTCCACATTGTTTAGATTTCTCACTAGTCATACTCAAGCCTTTGTGTTCAGCAGTGATGCGTTTGTGATGGTTAAAGAATTTTATGATATTTTTTACACAATTTTTGAAGGAACCTATTAAATAGGCCAAGTTCAGTGAGACTTTAGGCAAGCCATAGCCTTCTAAACCTTCTTGACTTTCTGAAATATTAGTAGAAACTTGCTTTCAAAGTAACAAATCTAAAATAAAGTTTTCCAAGCAAAGTAACCCAGCTATTCCTCAGTACTTGTTTGTGATTAATACCAGGCATTCTTTGAAGAAGAAGATGGGAAGGAATACATCTATAAGGAACCCAAGCTGACAGGACTGTCGGAGATCTCGTTCAGACTTCTTAAACTTTATGGAGAAAAATTTGGGTCGGAGACTGTAAAGATTATCCAGGATTCTAACAAGGTAGACTTAAACTGCATGAACAAGCTAACAAAATGTTCTTAGCAGTGAATATCAGGGCCATGTACTGGAGAGTGCGCCGATGAGCGTGACAGAAATATCAGTTGTATTCTAATACTGGTCAGGGCTTGGAGCTGTGCTGGTCTAAGCACTGTGCAAATGGAGCACAGAAGGATGAGCTTTGCTTGTGGAGCTGAAGATGGGAGATGACTGAGCATCCCTTCCTTCTGCCAGTAGGAAGGGAGGAGCGAGCCCTCTCTTCCACCCACTTGCAAGCACCTTGCTTCCAACTGCCCCTCACATTCTCATGCTCCTGTGTGGACATGTTGCACAGCTTGACAAGTCTTGGCGCTGACCTGGCTCCCAGGTGGAAAGAAATGAATTGGGAATTATGAATGGGAAATTGCAACCCACATCTCACCGAGCCCTGTTGTTGGGAGGCATTAGGAGCCAGCACAGAGGAGCAGATAATTGGAAACAAGAGTTGTTGTTGTTGTTATTTTGACACTGCAAGTCCGAAAGAAAATCTTTCGTGGCCTTGCAGCCCTAGCTCCTTCCTTTTGCTATGCAATAATTATTTATGCTCCCTGCAAGAGCTGTTCACACCCTTACGTTGCAACCACGGATGTGCCTGGGTTACCAGAGACAATGCTGGTGATCCCAAAGCTTGCTGTGTGCAAGCCTGCAGATTTGCATGCCACAGCACAGTACTGTACGAGCACTAGCTCATGGCCTGGAAGCAATATGGGCATATTAGCAGGACTAAGTAGCTGAGGCATGTGCTGCACTGATGGATGAGGTGATAGGACTACCTGTTCCAGATGCAGCTTGGTTGGCACCAGATGAGGTACCTGTTTGTGTTGTGTGTCTGCTAGGAGATGATCTAGACATCCCAGCTGAGGTCAAAGGGAGCGTTTGGTGTGTCATTCACCTTCATGCAGCCCGGCAGGGTCAGCAGGGAATCAGTTTAAATAAGAACCCAGTAGATACATTAACCAATTATAAATTATTAACCTTTGTTCTTCTAGTGAGTAACCCTCTTATTTCACAGGTCAACATTAAAGACCTTGATCCTAAGTATGCCCATATTCAAGTGACTTACGTGAAGCCCTATTTTGAAGACAAAGAAATCTCTGAAAGAAAGACTGAATTTGAAAGAAATCATAACATCAGTAGATTTGTATTTGAAACTCCTTACACTTTATCTGGAAAAAAGCATGGCAGTGTGGAAGAACAGTGTAAAAAAAGGACCATTCTAACTAGTAAGTACAAGCATCTGAACATGAGACAGTATGTATCAGCAGCTATTTTTAGACTGCTTTAGCTCATTAAAATATCCCAAAAGAGTCAGAAATTCTCTTAGCTACTTAACCAGAATTGTGATGCAATGTTCTAGTTGAGAGGGGGAACTTACCTTATATTTCTATGTGCAAATCTTTACAAGTAAATAAAACATGCAGGTAAATTATAGCCTTGTTCGGGCTTTCACACACTCCAGCTAAAACTCTGAGGGCAAGGATCTGCTTGTGTATGTTTTATGAAGAGTACTCCTATTTGCTGTGTGACTTTTCAATCTATAAATTTCCCTTGCTGTTCCTGCTAGCTTTGAACTCCTTTCCGTATGTAAAGAAGAGAATTCCAGTCAATTATGAACATCAGGTTAATTTAAAACCAATTGATGTCGCTACTGATGAAATAAAAGACAAGACAGCAGAGCTGCAGAAACTCTGCTCTGCTGGTGATGTTGACATGATCCAGCTGCAACTCAAATTGCAAGGCTGTGTGTCTGTGCAGGTAAGGTTTGATGGCCCTTCAAAATTACGTTTATAGACACAGCTCCCAGGAAGTCATCTTTTCACCGTGCAACGGATTTGCTTTCCAGAAATCATTAACTACCTCATCTGCAGCCATCAGCCCGCCAGCGCAGCTTGCCCTGCCACATGCAGTGGTACATTAGCGGGTGGCTCATGGCAATAAGCATTTTGTCCCGTGGGGTTTACAGTGACACATCCAAGTGTAATTGCACATTAGTTGGCGATGGGCAACTGCTGAAATATACTTGACTCTGGAAGATTGTACTCGGGCACAAACAGCCTTTTTGTGAGCCTGACTTCTCAAGCTGGATAAATGACCTTAAGACTCAGATCATACTGCTTTTCTAAACAGAAATAAGAGGAAAGTATGAGGAAACAGATTGCATCTCTCTTTTTGTCTCCATTTATCTTTTGGTCTTAAAAAACCTTAATGGAGAAACCAATACTCGGTTTTTGAAACTTTAGGTGCCTCTGGTGGCATTAGTAATGCAAAGTTGGTGGCATTCAAATAATATGCTAATGTTGGGGGAGGGCGTAAAGATACTGTTATTCCCTTCACAACTGCCTTTAGCAACTCAACAGAAGTTCTGGCATAAATGATTTCTTTCTTCCTTTGGTTCTAGGTTAATGCTGGTCCCTTGGCCTATGCCAGAGCTTTCCTAAGTGACAGCCAGTCCAGCAAATATCCTACTAAGAAGGTGAATGAGTTAAAAGAAATGTTCAGGTAGGATTTCTAATGGAATAAAAACTCGCCAGCTGGCTGGAACATGGTACCTGCTTTGCTTATATTTTTGTCTGTCTCCAAAATCAGCAGATGCTGAGTCATTAGATGCACCTTATAAAGATCCAGGTCTCACGGGGTTTGGGTTTTTTCATATTTCTGAGCACCCACATGTAACTGTGTATCACAGGAGTTCACAGGCACAGGACTGTGGGTATTTGAGATTAGTATGTGAAGAAAGTATGTTTGAAAGCCAGAGGTCTGACAGTCTTGTGTTCAGGGATCTTTTATATTATGCATTGTTTCCCAATATTTCCAAAGGGACTTTTTACTAGATAATGATGAACTTGAAATATTTTAAAGCAAATCCCTTCCCACTTTATGGAGGACCATTGTTCTTGTTTCTGTTGCTAATTTTTGAAACTATGTGACTTGCACTGGCATTTTTCTAACCCTGTCCCTTAGGGTAGGTTTTACCTTCCACTTGAAAACGTCCCCCAAGATATAATCAGACAGCTCCTGCTTCACTTCAGGGTGATGAGCCTTTGCCACACTATTTTCTGCACCCCTCAGGAGCAACCACTTGCCCCCCAGCTCCTGCATTCGTTACTGGGTGCTGGTGACTCCCACTTGGCCCATCGACCACTGTATGGAAAAGGCAGCATTTGGGTCAATCCTATTTTCCTTCAATGTGTCGAGTAACCTAGCAAACCATGGAACGAATAAGGGAACAGTCCCTGCAAACCTGCCACACGGGGATGCAGAACAGCGGGAAAGCAGTTTTATTTTCCAGCCGTGCAGCGCAGCCAGGACAAACGCAATCTCTATTTCATGCAAAAAATATCAGAAAATCCCAGTCATGCTTCTGTTTTCATTGTAGTCTATAAAAAGGGAGAAATATATGTGTGAAATGAAGCAAAGAAAATGGGTAACGGTAACCAAGAAGGCAACATTACAGCTCCCCATGATCTAAATTTCTTTCTGGAGAGTGTGCCTGCTGTTAGCACCTTGACCTCTCAAGCACACGTGCTACATCACACACCTCCAGATCTGCCGAGCCCCGTGGGACCCATTTCCCCCCTGTGCCTGACCATGGCCTCCCTCTGTTTTGTGCCCCTGTGTGCAGCTGGTTGGGCTTTCCTGGGGTGTGCCAGCTGTGGGGGGTGCTGCGGGCGGGGGCGAAGGCGCGAGACCACTCGAAGGTGCAGGTCCACGTGTCCCATCCACTGAGGATCCGGGCTCAGGAGCTCCAGCAGAAACCCCGATACCTGTGTTGCTGTCCCTCCCTGTTCCCTGATCCACTGCGCCAGGGATGCACCCGGAATGTGACTTGTCCCAAACATTGGAGAATAGGGGGAAAAAAAATGAAATTTGCCTACCTATTTGGGTGTTTGCTTTGGTAGGAGACTGGGCTATTGTAATGCCCCAAGTTCGTTCCTTTCCTCCCCAGGAAGTTTATACAAGCCTGTGGAATTGCTCTGGAGCTCAACGAGCGACTCATTAAGGAAGACCAAGTGGAGTACCACGAGGGGCTAAAATCAAACTTTCGCGATATGGTGAAAGAGCTTTCTGACATCATCCACGAACAGGCACGTACTGCATGTCAGCAGCCACAGAGGTGGTTCTCTGTGCCTGAAAGCTGGCTAACGCTGAAAACTGGCAGAAAACTAATTGAGAACTTGATCACTCTTCAAGTTCTTTAGCTAAATATATAAAGGCGAGTAACTGAATGTGAAAAGTAAATGATACACTTGGTGGATTCCCAAAACCGGTTTCTGTTGATTGAAAGTCTCAGCCTGGTGTTGGTATACAGTGTGCTCCAGGGTGGAGTCTCTGCTGACATGTACCATTCATTTCATGGCTGCCACGATTATCAGAAATCCTGTGCCATGTTTTGCCTCGTGTTTTCTACATCGTACGAATCCTGTGACTCTCTGGCAGAATTTCCATATCCTCAGTTATATCCAGCTTAAGTTCCTTTTTTTTCTTTTTATTATTTTTCTTTAAAGGATGTTTTCTTTTAATTTTTTCCTAATGCCAACATGCTACTTATTTGCACTGTTAAAATATTTGTGCTAATTTATCCGACCAATGTTTTCTTGGATCTCTCTAGGAAAACACATTTGAATAGGGGCATCAGAGAGGTGAGAGATTCAGAGAACTGTTGCACTTCTGTCTAGTATCACATTGTGAAATTAGATGAAAACTGACTTTCTTAAGTAATCTCTGTACCTCTGCTCTCTCATTTTGCCTTCATGGTGACAAAAGAAAGCTCATTGTAGATTTCTAGTATCAGGCACACAAAATGAATGGTACAGACTCCATTGTGATTTATAGCACTTGAAATTTAGAATAGTGTTTTCAGAATCTCCCAGTTTACTCAACATACAGTCCATGACTATTAATTAAACATGCAACATTTTAAGTCACTAAAAATATATAGGCAAATTCCACAATAAGTTGGGCAATTGCTCAAACTAATGCAAAAATGTGCAAGTGGCAAAATAATACAACTGCGCCAGGCTGCTATTTCTAAGTCAGGTTTAATTTACAATAAAATAATTTGCAATAAGCAATGGGAATCAAACGGAGTCTTGTTATGGAAGAGTACAGTATCATTTCAGGGAAGCAGTCTCATGATGAGGCTGAATTATGTTGTAGGAGTATGAGGGAGGATCCGTTTGAGAATAAGTGACTCCTGCATCCCCTTTGCTTTTGTTAGATTTCCCTGCTATTCTGCTCATGACCATCATTTTCTGAGCATGCAAACTGCTAATTTTGCACATTCAGCACACTCATTTTTTTCATGTACATCACCTACCATGTATACTCCACTGCTGAACTTTGCTTAGAGATGTTCGTCCATAGGAGTTGCCACCTGCTTACTCTAAGCTGTTTGCAAGTAAACCTTTCCAAGACATTTAATTTGCATGCAGCTGCTGGAACTTTTGTGGTTTCTGAATTCTGCGATAGTCAAATCAAAACCAAATTGCTCAGTTCTGCACTGCACAGCACAATAGTTAAGATTATCTTTGAACAAAGAAGCATTGTTAAAGCACACTCTGTATTATCTTGATAGATTTATAAATTCACTGTCGTGGTTAATGGGCAAAATATTACAGCAACTGAAATGTCAAAGTGAAGGGCTCATTGGGGAGGATATACTTTTCACTTTCTTCTTGTATTAGATCAAAAGGCAGCTTAAAAGATCATGTTTTCAACCGTTGTTCTTTATGGTTCTTTATGGTTCTTTATGGTTCTTTATGGTAGATGCTGGCTTGAACTTTGTATTGCCATCAAATGACCTAAGTATCTAACAAATTAAACTTAGTGGAACGTGTTTTCCTCTTCCGCAAAATTACTCAGTTAAATATAAGAGTTACGTTACGTTACGTTAATTTAAGGTTCTCATTGCAAATAACATATGTTTTTCCAAATACTGTCAGTGCCCCAAAACAACACAGGCAGTGCACTTAGTTTGAGGTGGCAGGGCATATGGGTAACTCACTGGGTCAGCCGGTGGCCTATCTACAGATCTTTTAAGTTAGGGAAATGTAACCACAACAAATTGATAAACTGCGGCTGAACAGCTACAGGAAACGTCAAGAGAGTGGCAGAAAACTGGATGTCCAAAAGCTGTTTATGATGGCCAGTGCTCTCAGTTTCACTAATGCAAATTCAGGCTAACTAACTTGTTGACTGGTGAGCCACAGGGTGAAAAACAAATACAGAGTCAGCTCTAGAGCAGCTCTACCAGTCCAGTTGGATCCTGTGCTGTAACACCATCCTTCAGCTCATAAAGTATAAAATCTTGCCACACGGCACGGACGTAGTGAGTGTTTGCTGTATTTAGCTGCAGGTACTCCCTGTGCTTACCAAAAAACTATTATAATTTTGCATACTGCTAAGACATAATAAAAAATTGCTATGCAGAGAAGTGTTTCTTCCCTGTATGGGTAGTTGTAACTAAAAATGATCCAGTAATGCGCAGAACAGTGTATACATGATTGCTACAGAAATTGCTAAATTACTCTTCTTTCTCATTTCTTTGTTATGCTGCCTTTGCAACACAGCTCTGAAGACAAGGTTGGATATCTCTTTTGCATAACTTTTTCAACAGCTCAATTATAATAATGAACTGAAACTTCTACTGAATTTGTGACTATTTTGTTTTGTCTAGATCTACCATGAAGATACAATGCATTCACCATGGATGCATGACTCCCTACATGTCTTCTGTGCGATCAGTGGAACGTCTGGTGATGGAAGCTACTGTTCACTCAGACCCACTGCTGAGATATAAACATATCAATCATATTTTACAGAGCTTTCTCAGGAATACTTGGAACTGTACAAAGGATGTTTAAAAAAATCCATGATGAACAAAGATTCAGTTTCCCTTCTCCCCCCCCGCCCCCGAAGTTGCCATGCTTTCAAACAGGGTGCTTGCTTATTTTGCTGAGCAACATTGAAAGTGCCTGGACATTGCACCACTGTGCTTCTTTTCTACTTTTTTTTTTTTTTTTTTTTTAAGATAAATGTATAACAGGACATGGAAAGGCAGTTATCTAAATATGTGTTGAATTGCTGAACTATGAATTCAGATGATAACGGTACTATGTAAAGTTGTACAATGGAATATAATAAAATGTAAAACTACTTTGTAAATAGAAGGAGCATATAGTATATAGAAATTAGCATTATATCGTATTTGCTGCTAAAAGCTTTGTTGGACAGGGAACATGAAGGAGAAATTGTAGTCACTGTTTAGAGACCTTTCTCATCTAAACAGAGACGTGGGCTCCAGATGCCCCTGGATTGCACTCAGACAGTGACAGTAAATTTGCCCTAATCTGGACTAACTAAAACCTAAGTCAGAAATGTTAATTTTCATACATCCTCTGAGCAGATAATTCTAAAGTAAGCTCCATGAGAGCTGAGTTTACTATAGCTGATTCCAATTTTGGCTAACCTTTCCCAGCTGCAGAAGGATGGATTGTACTTACTGAGGACAACCTAAGGGAGATTTGTCATTTGATAGGATTTTTTTATTTATCACTCATGATCTCACACAAATACAGACTCTCTAAGGACACCTTAAATTGAGGTGGGAATTATAAAGTGATTTAACACCTTTCAGAAAAATTCTAATAATCTGTGAGAAGTGCTTTAAAAAAAAAAAAAAGTGCAGCACATCAAAATAACTCATACAAAATTGAGAGGTTTTTTTAGCATCGTATAGCATGCACGTTCCCTCCTGTTCAACAGATCTGTTTTCTGAAAGCCAGTTATTTTTGTCTGACAGATGGTTGGAGAAAATGTATTTTCCAGAACTCTTTTATTCCTTCTTCCGCTCCCCAAACCTTTAATACGTTATTTCTGTCTCATTTTAATAAGACACTTTCAGATGCAGGAAGAAGAAAACAGATCAGAAAATCTTTTATCCAGCAACATTTTTAACATACATGTTTTTCAAAATCCTGTCCATTGTAAATATGGTTCCAGTAGTTCATATGGGAAGGGTGGGGGTTTTTAAGGATATGTAAAAAAATGTCATAATAAAAGGACTCCGGCTGGCTCTTTAGCTTGGCTATAGTGTCTATAAAATGTTAAGCTTCTCATTTCTGTAACAAAAAGTATCTTCAAATACTAACTGGACCGCATTTCAAAATGTTTATTATGCATGGTTCTGAATACCTAAAATTAATTGTATTATGAGAACATAATGTTGTGATCCATAAATTCAGCCATTAGCTGTTGCAAGCAAAATACAGATGTGCCTATGTAACAAACAGACCACATTTCTGCTTGTGTGTGCTTTTATGCCAGGCAGGCTCTAAATTTAGCTTAACAGAAAGAGGAAGAGAGACCAGTATGTTTAAATATGGTTACTACCTTATTGATTTTCATCTTTCAACAAATATTTGAAGGCAGGTAGTGAGAGTTTTCCAAATTACTTTACTAGAAGGTGATGAAGCTGTTTAACAGTGGATACATTATGAGATTTTTTTTTTTTTGGATCTAGTTAAACTTGAAACATCAGTGCTGAAGGCGTATCTTGAATACAATCAGCAATGATGAGATGTGGACATCCAAAAGCTCTTGCACTATAGCTGTTTTAAATACTATAACTAACCTAATAGTTTTCCTGGAATTGTAGTGAAATTCTTATTCATGTTTTTTGATGTCTTTAATGTTCTGAAATAACATTGTTAGCTGAAATTTTCAATTGCTATTTCTTATTTTTACTGGAATTCCAGTGAAGTTCTTATATCTTTGGGTGTCTTTAATGGTCCAAGATTAATTTTTGTCTGAACTTCTCAGTTTATTGTTGGTATTGGAGTTCTCCTGTCATTTCAGTTTAATATACTGGGAATCTGTCTTAGTAATGCAGCCAAAAAAAGTATTTAATACCAGTCCAATTAGAATATACACAGTCAGTACAGTTTAGAATGCACGCTTATATGCAGTTTTGATGATTAACAAAAATGATCATGCCCAGAGGATTTGTCTTCTGTCCTGCAGGTAAATAATTTGACTGGATTTTTAACAGAAAAATCTCAAAGGAAAATTTGTCCTTTTTAGATGGGTTATAAAAATAGTGGTAACAAATCAGCTTGGTTTTTCTTTACATTTTCACCAATCTAGAAATGATAGGGAGTGGTCATTAGATACTTTACAGCTGTATCTGGACAATGATGCCAAGAAGGTATTCACATTTTCTCATCCTATCCTTTTCCTACATAATTGTCCCAGTTTGAAGTAATTCTCCAATTTTTTTTCTTATTTCTGGCTGAAATAGCTTACTTCACAGATATATCTGGGGAGTGTACTATATATGTGCCTGTTTTATGTAGCTGGTACTCACACTGGGTACTTCCTACTTGCTACCTTTTTTTTTTGAAGAATATAAATGTTTTTTGCTCATTAACACTTTTGTTTTTCTTGTATCACCTAAGGAATGGTGGGAGTTTTTTGGTCTGTAAAATTTAGTAGACAGATTGCCAATTACAACCTGGCATGGACTCATTCGGGATCAGTGTAGCTACAAGTACATATTTCATATGTACACCTCTAACTACTTTTGCTGCAAAACAGCTGTATAACACATCAAGTTTTCAGAAGGGGTACATTGGTAATTTTGCATAAAAGGAGAAGAAACAGGATAAAGTGTCTGTCCGTGAGGATTAAGAGCGTTCAGCTACTCAGTAACAGGACTGGTTTAGATAATGGTGTGTGTTAGAGCCAGATTGTTTGCAAATAGGACATACAGAGCAATGTGAGGTCTGCCAGCACTTTATGTACAAGAACATGCTTTTAGAGATTTATACACCCAGATAGAGTAAACAAAGTGTAAACATTTACTCTCTTCTTTGACTTACTGCTTTTTTCTCTGAAGAGAGATTAGAAAGTAGTACTCTGAAGACAAATAACCTCAGAGTTGCATTTTTTTTCCCCAAAAAAAATCTGGAATGTAGAATTTACTGCAGCCTAGTATATATTTCTACATGGTACTCCATGTTCTACATTTCTTCTGATAACAGAAATTTTCATGACATAGGCCAAAAAAAGGAAAATCATGGATGTGAGACTACCTGTAGTGTGTAACGTGTTTATTTTGTTCCAGAAGCCTTTTGAACATACGCCACATGGTATTTTGATATAGAAGAAGAGTTTATGTAAACATAATACCTTTTGTCTCAAAGTATATAAAATACGTTTGTTTTCCCTTCCTGTAGAGACAGAGTCCCCTGGACTTCACAGCAGGCTTCAGAATAACCCTACAGTTTGATGTAGCACAGCCCAAAAGAACTGGAGGAAAACATAAGTGGAAGCCATGGGCTCAGAAGCCTCGTACAAATTAAATCACATCTTACTCAGTTTACCCACTTGAGGAGAGCAGCATGTGTTCGTTTGATGTTCACTGAGCTGAGTTCTTCTAACTGAACAAAGGGTTTCTACTGGATTGAGGAACACTGTGTACAGCTAATTATCGTGCAACCATAGACTGTAGTACTTAACATTTAAATAATATGCTTGTGTCAAGCAATGGTGAACCAGTTATGATATACACCTAATATTTCAGCTATTCTGGATGTAAATGACTCTCTCTTCATGTAAATTTAACACCTGCTACTACATATTCATAACAGAATTGCTTTTATTGTGTATGCTGTATATACGTGTGTTGTACAAGCCCTGTTTAACATTCTGTGTGTGATGATAGAACGGTACGTCCCGTTTGCCTTGGTTGGTAGCTGATGTACCTGTGACACCAAGTAATACACAGCGCTGCTCCAGAGCTTTCTGAGACCAGTGGTCCTATGTTGCTCTTTTTAGTCTTTTTTCCCTGAAGAATCAATCATTTTGACAAGAAGCCAGGGCAAAATCACATTTCAGTCGATCCAGATAAAAGAGTTTATCCCAAGTTAAAATAAAAGACTACAAAACCAGGAAAAGTAATTGTTTCAATAAACATGTTTTGCTTAGGGGATTTTTTTTTTTCCTTCGCAGAACAGGATGAGTGGTCTGAAGCTAATACCAGTGTAAGATTCATGGGACTAAAACCTAGTCAAATGAGCTATCACGTATGCAGCCTCTAAAGAAGATTGCTGTAATAATTCCTCAAATACATAAGTGCACCAAACGAAACTGTTAACACTAAATTATTCAGCAGCAAATAGAAGATGTTGATTCAGAAATCCTGAAGGAACACAAATGCCACACATCCAGCTCGGAGGATCCCGAAACCATGATTCATTGGGAAACCTGACACAGACACAGAAATGCATGTAAAGTTATAAATAGAAATAAGATGTGACTCACTAGTAAGGAAATGTCCCAGCAAATCACCCTACTTTCCTAAAGAATATTCAGTAAGTCTGTGATTAGGTTTTTGCTCTATTTTGTAGTTCCAATTTTAAACCCCAGACTGTTGCTCTTTGGGAATGTATTTATTGTCACTCTTCTCCAACGAGCTCAGCTCAAATGGCTAGTATACCAACTAATATGCTAAGCTCAGGCAGTCGTACTGGATATTACGTGATGTAATGGAAATCAGGTGTAACTCTCATTATTTACCTGACCAGTGGATAAAGGACAAACTGCTTTTTCTATTGCTGTCTTCTACCACTGAGGCTTCCTGTGCAGAGCTTTTGCAAGCCTTGAACAAACAACTGTAGAACCAGGTTCATGCCCTGCCTCCCTTGATGGGTAAAGGAGTTACTCCCTTCCCAAATAAATAGATGAATTCAATAGTCTTTGCTGTTTAGGGAACTGTGAGCAGAAAAGTTGATGCATGGACTTGCAATAGCAATGTACTGGAGAGACACACAATTTTTGCACAAGCATACCTGGTTCCACATCTACCCAACAGTGCTCGGCAAAGGACAGTTTTCCTTCTGCGTAATTTCAGATTTCCGGTGATGCTTGGGCAGCAGCTCAGAGCGACTGCAGAGTTCATGACCGTTAGGACACACACATCACAAAACGTTAGACGTCCTCCAAAGAACACTGAGGTCGAAAAGGGAGAGGTCCCGTGAGTCAGACTGGGTTTTTTCGGCTCACAATTTTGTATTTTTGTGCCTCAGATCCAGCTGTATTCTAATTGAGCCTTTTTTTGACCTGACCCCAGCCATCTTCTGAGGAGCCTATAATTATGTCAGCTGAGACCTGAAGTATTGACAGAAGCTGCTGCAAAATGTGAAATTAAAAAGGAAGAATCTCGCTGTCGGTGTGGGGCAACCGGGGACTCTTCTGCTCCCAAAAGGGACAATTCCCCACGGCCCCATGTTACTAATTACTGCTGCCTCTTGTCGGCCCCAGTAATCATGCAGCCACACCGTGCACCAGCATCATTTGTTAATCCGAGTTAGGGAACACGTACCAAAAAACTTGTTAGTTGTTTTTTATGCATCAGCAAACTCGCTGCATGGCCCCACGATCAGTAGCTTTGGTTGCGCGGGTGGAAGCGGTGGGAACGCACGGCCAAGGGCAGATCACCAGCAGGACCGTAAATCGGTCTCCGCCGAGCATGAGCCCATGCCCCAAGTGCTTATCTAACAGATCAAAGACACCTCAGGTGTGTCTGTATGAGTTCCAGCCGCTACAGTGCAGGCGTATTGTCTGAAAAGAACATGAGTGAGCATGAGATTTGCAACAGAAAGATGCAGGACGGGACTCCATGAGATTGAGAAATGGGAAGTCTTGGGTAGGCGGCAGGGATCAAAGGCTTTGGCAGGGGTTCCGAGTGCCGTGCGCGGAGACGGGAATGTGATGACAAGCCGAGTGCTGGCGGAGGAGGGAGAGAGCTGGGGAAAAACATTTCAGCTGCCTCTGACAACAGGCAGGCAGCCAAAAGTGCGTGAACCATTGGATGTGTGCTTGGCACTGGCTCTCCCCCGGGGAAAGACTGGACAAAGCAGAAAGAAGGAAAGAAAACATTAGCAAGGAAAGCGAAAGCAAGAAAGAGGTCGCAGTATCTTGGATCAGCTTTACCCTACAAAGGTCATCACTAGCAGGCATAGTCCATGCCAGCTGTATAGTCACACAGCTTGAAAGTTCCGCGTCCTGGAACTTTAAGGCACAATTTTTCTTTGATTATAATTGCAGGCCGTTGGGCACTTTCTAACATCAACTAGGAAATTTGCTAAATCCTCTTCTTTTCCCAGGAGTATAAAACCAAACAGGCAGAAAAGCAAAAAAAAAAAAAAAAAATTAACACAGGATATTCCCCGCCCTATCATAAAAAGATCCGCTTCCCTTTTTCTAAAATGAGTGTGTCTAAAAAGCAGATGAACTCTTGCAAAACTCCTTGAAGAGCTCAGAGCTCAGTAAATACTAAAATGTTCTGTTGGGTTAGGCATAAGTAATTTTCACTAATTAATTTTGTTTTGCCCTGAACCTTAGCCAAAGTTTCCTCTGTGCTGGATCTGTGCTATATTTTTATAATACCTGTATTTGGGTGGCAGCTAGGAGCAAGGTCGCTAGCAACCACGAAAATCTAATACAAAGAAAAAGCCTTATCCCAAATGTTTTCTTATCCTGAAACGTATGAAAACATCACTCGCATGCTGCTCCCACTTCCATGAAAATTTGGGAAAATTACCTGCTGCAACATATCCAGAAAAGCGAGAGCAAAACTGCAAGTGACCGTATCAGGTTTCAGAGGAGCGCTTGGGGAAGTTTGCGGGAAGAAGGGGCTGTAGTAGGCAGATCACAAAAAGAACAACGCGCATTTTTAGTACAGATGAGAGCTCTAGTGAAGAGGGAATTCTCAGCTTCGATAGAAATGACCCGAATTTGCAGGAGGGATTTTGAAAAGAGTTCTGCCAGGGGGATTGAATAACGAGCTTTAACATAAAGAGGGGCGTGCTAACGTAGCTGCTTTCCTGGTGAGAGGATAGGAATGTCTTGAGCCCGTCTGAGTAATCGTAGGAGCTGAGCGTTGATTTGGTGATTAAAGGAAAATTGCTTTGACTCCCCCAAGAACGTGTTTCAGAGCGTATGGCCCCGCTGCCGGGGGGGGGGGGGGGGGCTGGCGGGGTGTCGGGGGGGGGGGGGGGGGGGGCTGCGCTCGGGCTCCCTCAGCAACGCGGCGGGGGCTCGGGGAGGGCCCCGGGGGGACGTGGGGGGGAGTGGGGAAAACGCGTGTGGGGGGGGCGGTGCGCAGGTGGCGGGGCCGGGCCGCCCCCCGCCCGGCTCGGGTTACCTGGGCGGGCCGCGGCGCGGCTCTTCCCGCCTGGCCCGGCCCCCGCGACGGGAAGTGGGAGCGGGCGTGGGGCCGGGCTCGGGCGGCCGGAGCCATGGAGCGGCCCGGCTCTCTGCCGCTGCTCCTCGCCGTCTGCTGGGCGGTCGCCGCGGGGCCGGCGGCAGGTAGGAGCCGGGGGAAAGGGCGGCGGGGCCACCCCGTGCGTGGGTCCATCCCCGGGGTGGGGGGGGGGGGGGGAAAAAGGGCGGCGGGACCACCCCGTGCGTGGGTCCATCCCCGGGGGGAGCCGCCGCCGCCGGGACCTTCCCGTGCGTGGGTCGGGCGGCCGCGGGAGCTGCGCTGCCCGCTCGAGGCGGGTGTATTTAAGGGATTTGGTAGCCGAAATACCGCCCGAAGGTTGTCAGCTGCGTGCGGGCGATGCCGGCGGGGCGCCCTGCCCCTTACCGGGCAGAGCGGCGGGGATGCTGCCTACAAACCTGCTTTTTCTCTCTCGGCGAGGCGGCGTTGGACAGGCTCGGCAGAAACTTTTTAAGCTCTGTCACCGCTTGCCGGGACTGTCTCTGCCCTAAAGACTAAAGCAGAGGCTCACCGCCCTGCTCTCGGCGGATTCCTGGGAGCGCGGCCCCGGGCGGGGGGGAGCGGGGCTGTCGGGGGGTCCCGGGGGGGACCCCGGCCCCGAAGAGCTCCCGTTACCTTCGCCGTTACTTTTCGTTTCCCCGCCGTTGGGAGAGCAAACGCTTAGTTGCACGAAAGCTCCGTGTGTGCGTGGCTGCGAGGGTTTCCTCAGGACCCGGACTCGAGGCTTTGTTAGTTCTGTCTTGCAAACGCTGCAGAAGTGTTCTTTTGGTTTTTGTTTTCTTTTTGGTTTTGTTTTTTTTTTTTTTTTCGTTTGTTTGGTTTGGTTTTTTTTTTGTTGTTGTTTTTTTTTTTTTTTCCAACCGGCTACAATTCGTCTTATAGCTACGAAATCAACCTTCTTAGAGGAGGACAAAATACAGCGCTTTTACCATACTCAACGCAAAGTGCGTGTTTGATATTTCCACATTCCGGCTTTTAACAAGAAACTGTTTTCTAGGCAGGGTCGCCTCAGCTAATCTCTGCTGGTTTCTGCTGTGCTTTATTTTTTTGGAAGCATGACTGTGCTTGTAAGACTGAAATAATGTCTTGCCCATGTTTTGGAGTTGGTCTTTGAGTCGTTTCGCTAAATTGCTGTAGCGATGCGATTTTAACAACAAAAGTATTGGACTGTATGTATATTTTATACAACAGAAGTGTGAGACTGGCCATGCCTATGACTAAAAGCAAATCTTCAGCTGGACGTAACATTAAAGCACGAGCTTCGAAATTGTATAGATTTTAGATTAATCTACTAGATTTAATTTTTTTTTTTATGCTAATACAATTCATTGATTTGTTTATAAATCTTTAATATCCCCACTTCTTTCTTCGTGCAGTTAGAAATCAGCAGGCTTAAACACAATTACTTCTAATCAAATCTATTAAAAGGAAAAGCATAGAACTTAAGAACGGCAATCAGAGATGACACTGTAAATTTTTTGTAATGGTTTGTGGCTTTTGTAGGTAATAAGTTTGATCATGAAAAGACAGAATGCTTGGAGCTGGGTAGTCTTGTTGAATAATTTAATTTTTTTTTTTTTTTTTTTACATGATCTAAAGGACTAGGTATATGCAGACTTAAGGCCCTGATGCTGTTCCTAAAACCCATCACAGGTTTTTGTTAGTGGGGCAGGTAATAGGCAAAGATGTCCTGGCTAGGTTCAGTTTTCTTGGGTGAGACTGTATTTTTGTAAGAACAAAAATTTCTCTGCTCCCAAGGTCGGCTGTACAAATAAACAAGCAAAATCCCCAAAGTTTTTAAGGATTTAAAAAAACTAAGTATATTCAAACTAAAACAGTAAATCCTAGTAATTATGCTCCTTTTCCATGCGAGCATACGTTGTCCGCGCATACATGTGGATACGCAGATCATAATAATGTCTGATCTCTACCATTGCCTGACCTTTAATTGTGCAAAGGTGTGAGGAAGCTCCAGGAGTTTGATGAATTTTCTTCAAGCTTTGGCTGCTCTGGCTCTTGGGAGATGTAAGAAAATGGCGTCAGGGATGCTTTGAGCAGAATTCTGGCTGAAATAAGCAGGTTTGACTTTCCATCTGCCCTCTTCCTTGTGCTAGCAGAAGGAAATGGGGCTGCACCATGACCTGGATGGGAAAACTGGTCTCGGTGGAATTATTCTGTCCTTTCCCGTGTACTCCCCCAAATGTTGGGGCAGGTTGAGCCTGGTTTCCTGGGACGAGCAAGACCTGCAGCGCTAGTTGGTATCAGTTTGAAGTGTTTGTGAAACTTACTGCGTAACAAGGGTACTTTCTTTCCACAGACAAATAGGTGGTGGTGGTGCTTCAGTGATGATACCTGTATATACCCTCGAGAAGCAGTTTCATTTGGCCTCTTATTTAGTATCTTCTGGTAGTACACATTAGAGTAGCCTTTTAAAAAAATCAAAGTTCACTTTCGTTTTCTTAGGGAATTACCAATTGGTAATTTTTTCTAGAATTGGAGTCTGACGCATACTTTCGTTTTTCCTGGCAGTTTTCTATTTTCTGCCATATTTTCCTTCTTTGTTTTCCAATACAACCTTCAAGCTGTGTGACTGAGTATCCAGTAGGCTGTGACTCAGTGCACAAGTAAGGAAGGGTCAGTGCACAAATGGATTTATCCCAGCAGCTATCTCTGAGTCACATCTCTTCCTTCTCTTCTGGGGAGGTGAAAAAACGTACTGCTGAAGTATGTCATCAGTAAATTACTATTTGTCCCACACTGCTTTTGTTCACTGTGCCAGAGCATAGCATTCAAAGTTTAATAGGTGAGTAATTGAAAAAGTATTGTGGTTTCTTTGTTGTTTTTTTAACATTCTCAGTTTTGCTTGGATTGGGCTAAATTGTGGTTCTAACATACAGCTGCCACTTGCAAGATGTAATTGCTTGCCTTTTAAAAGTTGCCTTTTTAAAACTGCATTGATGGATAACTTGGGGGTAGAATAAACTATTAATTGCTCCAAAAACATATACACCATTTTTACTAAAGATTCAGCATGCGTGATGCAAACGCGCAGCAGAAAACACCTGATAAATGAGACTCGTCCTCCCTCCATGAGCATAAGTTTCATTACCAACAGCCACTACGTTGTTGCATGGTGCAATTTCTTGAAAATTTATTTTCAATTATTTTTGTGTGTGTGTGCATTTCTTACAATTATTTAAATGATTGGTAGACTGAGATAACAGGAATAGTAGACACAATTTAGTAGGCAGTATATCTGATAGCAAATACAAGCTGACAAAGTTGAGAAGTCATCTGTATTCTTTTCTGTTGGAGAGTTAAAAATCTGTCAGCATTACGAACAGTAAAATGGTAGACCAACAGGATCGTTACACTGAAAACTTCTTTCTTTAAGGAGCAAAAGTTCTTCCGCCTCCATCCAACCTGGGCTACTCATTTATCCAAATCTGTACCCTGAACTGGACATGGAACCCCCCAGAGAACATCAGCAGTAGCTGCAACCTGGAGTATTCCAGCGACATTGTGATTGATGAGGTCCCACAGGACAGAAGAGTAAGTGCATCACCTCTTTAAACTCTGCTAGTTTAAACTCTCCAGTAAATGTCTTATTGTGATAAAACTGTGTGTGTGCAAGCATATATAAATACAGTTTTAATATAGTCTTTAATTCTCGTCATGGGATCAAAACCTCAAAAATTAGTCATACCAGCGTGTGGGATCTTCAGATCATAAAAATCTGTCTGTCGCTCTCTGATAATTGAGCTGCTACTGATAACGCAGAAGTACCATAATAATAATAATGTGAAAAGACTTGTTTCTGTCTTTGCTTATGCAGCTTTCTAGAAAAAAACAAAATGTATACAGGGCAGTCTACATACTTAAGACTTAAATGGGAATTTGCAGATGCTGATCTCCTTCACTTTGAACTCAATTTAAGAAAGAGGCACGCGCATCAACCTTGGTGTAGCTGTGATTTGACAGCATAGTGTCTTTTGGAGGTAATGCCAAGTATTAACATTTTCCCACATTTGCCCTGTCCCTCTGCTTACAGTTATTCATAGGGGTTGTGTTATGATGACAACATGGAACACATTTCTTCTCTGGGACAGAAATTGTAAAACCTTTGGTTTGGGCTTTTGTTTTTGTGTCTGTTAGATGATTTGCAGCCCAGATGCAATCCTTCATGTGGGTTAACAAGTGTTTGGTCAGGACTGAGACCAGCATTGTCATGATACTGAAGACACTGTAGGACAAATATTTTTACAGTTTATTGCCAGTAAGATAATATGCTATCAGTCCATAATTTCAAACTGTGAGGAATTGAAGCCTTAATACACACCAGCTGCGGGGTCGGCAGCGCTGCTATTTTGAATATGGTTAAAATCAGTATGATGCCTCTTGACGCCATCGTTTGTTGTTGAGCCCAATTACAGTTTTATGGCCTGATGTTTACAATGGCTTCGTGATGGTGACTGCCGTATTCTTTCTGATAGCTCCAGGATATCCTGGACTTGAAGTAAGGCTGTGGTGTCACAAACAGCTGAGCTGATTTAATGGCTTGACACTGCTAAAAGGGTGATACTTCATTTTTGACACCCAGTCTCTAATGATCTTCATCAGACCTTTAGATAAGCCAGTTGAACTTGCTAACTCAGCAGAAATTTATTTACCTCTTCTCATGGGTTCATTAACAAATTAACAAGTTGAAAGTCTGCTCGGTTAACAAGCTGAATGGGTTTGTGAAAGGCTTTAACAGATGTTAAGATCAGCAGCAGTGAAAGAGCTGTGGGACAGCAGTTTCACATGACACGATGAACCAAACTGTGTATCATCTGCTGCATCTTTGCATTTCAACTGGCAGAATCTAGTCTGTTCATTGCTGTTTGCTTTTCTTGACTTCTCATTAGTGCCAATATCTTTTTTTTTTTTTTTTTTTTTTTTAATTACAGGAGCAGTTACACTATTCTTTGGTCATAACAAAGATAGCTTTTTTTGTATCTTCTTTCTGGTTAAGTAAAAGGCATCCCCCCTAGCCCAAAAAAAGATACTCAGGAAAGTGTATGATTAAAGGATTAGCCTTTTTCTCGTAGAAACCCATATTCTCTTCTGAAAATAGAAGGTCATGGAGTACTTGAGCCTGATGTGGTGTCACTGTATTTAATAGCCATTTGTGGGTTTGTTTTGATAACTTTTTTTTTTTCTCCTTAATTCTGTGCAAACTCTTCTTACTGCTTTTTGGTGTTACATTTTAAAACATTCTTTTTTCTGTTTGTCATACACTCATGTGCACGCACACAGAAGGATGGCTAGAGCTGTAAGCTTCTGCTTATAAATCTGGAGTGTAAACGTGCTTATTTTGCATTATCCATGAAGATTTACTCCAGGATCGTTTTCCTCCACGTTACACTTGCTCGTTGATCTCTGCGTGGCCTTTGCTCATTTCTGTAGGTGACTAGGGTAGAAGGAGTTTTCCTCCGAGTGTGCCTGATGAGGAAAAAGAAAAGCTAAGTGATGCTGAGACTTCCCGCATTGTCAGACACTCATTTAATTTGGCTTTGAGTTGCAGTCTTCCTGGCAGTCTGCAATGTGTCCTGCCATTAATTCCCAGGCGTCTGATACAGTGTGCCAAACGCTCTGGTTTTCTTTCCCCCCACCATCTGAACCCAGGAATGGAGTAAGAGCCGCTTCCGTGTGACTGATACTTTCTTGAATGAGGAAATGCGTTTCAAAGTGAGAAGTGAGTGCAAGTACGATAACGCCAGCGAGCCCAGCCGATGGGTGGAGACCTCCCTTCTGCCAAAAGGTAACGCGCCGCGGCCAGGCCGCCCGCCCGGGCCTGGGCAGGCACGGCCTTGTTTCCCCTGCTATCTTAACGAAATACTGTAGAAACAGATCACACAGAAATAGGAAGATATCAGAGGCCAGGGTCAGTTCGGTTGGTAGAGGTTAGACGGAACGGTTATAACTACATTTTAAACCCAACCGGAGTCTTCTGACGGTTAAAGCCTTACGGGCAAGCTTGTAAAATTGAAATGTCCTTCCAAGACAGCAGCACGGTTCCTGTCACTCGTGCCCGCCATGCTGTGGTCGGGGAATAAGAGGTCGCGTAGGTTGGATTAGGCCCGGTGACTTCACGACTAACATCTAAGTCAGTTTATTTTGTCTGTTTTTTCTGTACAAGCAAAAGTCCCTAAAATAATCCTACACTTGTAAATGTTAGAGGGATGAAGCTAGCAAACTTAACAACTTGTTGAATAAATGACTAAATTAAATAATTATAGTAGCGTTCTCTCTCTTTCAGAAGACATGGCCATGGTCTACAAAACTGCACATAGCAAAATTAATAGAGAAAAAAATACTTTTTGTTTATTGACACCCGGAAATAAGGGGTCCATAGCAAAATTGTTAGGAAGTAGACTTTAAGGAATAACATATTCTGCTGGGTGTTGGAAGTTAGGAGGTACAGCAAGGAAATAGAACTTCTTGTCTTGAGTAGTAGAATGTCTAACCCAGGAGTGTGACGCGATGTGCGTGAAAATTGCACATGGACGGGGGAATCTGAGACCTTGACAGGCTTGTCTGCGTGTCTGTCAAAAAGGTATTCGGGATAATCAGGCAAGCAGGTCATTAAGGTAGCATGTACTAACCAGGTTGGGGCTTTTAAAAGTCTGCTTGCGGGTAAAATATTTTTAAATACTTTTTGGAATGGGAAGACCAGTTTCATTTTCCTATACTCTTAGACAGTTGCTACTTCAGGGAAAATGCAAGCTCAGAAGTAGAAGGTAGTTTGAGGTTTGCTATCAGTAAAAGTCTGGACTGTTGATAAAATTAATATGCATTTTATTTTTAGTTCATGGAGATGTTGCTACTTGTTACAAGGAAAAAATGCCTAATATGCTGAAATATTATAATATTACTAATATTATAATATGAAGAACTTGTACCATACAAAAATGCAAGATTTAATATGAAAGACTTTATTCTGTAATTGCTCTGCCTGGGAGATACATTGGCATCTCTATTCACAGTTACTGTGCACTCATTTGTGTTTGTGTTCTGTAATTTGGGTTTTCAATATGTTGAAGTTGAATATCTAGAGATATATAGGTCTCAATTAGAAATTCAAGTTACCCAGTGTTGCTTTTGTCCATATTTAAAATGGACATGTATTTTCTTATTCGGAATACTGAGAAACTAATAGTGCATCTGGGGAAGATAACTGTTTAAATGCTAACTTTTTAATGCTGATGGCTGTAATAGCTATAACAAAGCTAAATGCTATCTCTATAATTACTTTAAGTCCTTTTTAAAGTATCTGTAGTTTAACAGAACAAAATATTTTCCTGACTCAACACCTTGTCCTTAGCATCAGATAATTCTAAGTAATAATTCAGACATGATGGAAACTGAGATTCACTGTCATGATTAGCTTGCGTTTAGAAGTTACTCTGTGGAGATTTCAGCTATTTCAAGTGATAAACAACTGGAATTCATCATTTGCTATGCTGAGACAGGCAGTGCAGGCTGAGAGGTAACCCATCTTTGCCTTCCAGATAGTTTCAGTTATGTAAAAAGGGACGTTTTACCTCTGGAAATTGGGGAGAAGACTTTGCTGGCAAAACAAATCTTAAGAGACATTTCCAACTTGCCTTGCAGGTATTCCGGGTACTGCTGCTGTTGACTTGAGCTGTGTTTGGCACAATTTGGAGCGCATGGTTTGTACATGGCGTCCTGGGGAGAATGCAAGCAGTGATACCAATTATATGTTGTTCTACTGGTTCGTATGAACTTTTTCTTCTCAACTCTAAAGTGCTTTAGCGCTAATCTTTAGTTTTACGTTACACATTTGACGTGTCTGTTTCCTGTTGCATTGAAAGGTTCCAGGGCATTGCATACAAGTTAGTGTTGGGTCCTGTCCAACACAAAACTTCACTGCTGAAGAGGTTGCTGTTGCTGAGTCTTTTTGGGAAGTTGATATAGCTATGATGTGAAGCGCTGGCTGCTTCTGTAGCACTTTTAAAAATAACTGCTGTTGCTTTCTAATTTTTCCTAATTGTGGATTCAAAGGGGGGAGAATTCAGAACTGAGCTAGACCAATATATTAATTGCATTCTTTGCAGCCCAGTAAACATGGGCCGCTTAAGTCAGAATCTCACTAATGTGTGTGTCAGCTCTTAAATCATTGGAAAATGGTATGAAAACATTCTAACATTTGCCAGTAGTTTTGTTTGTATCTTCGATATCATAAATAACCGATTCACCTTGAAAGTTATGGAGAACATCTTTTTATCGTCATCCCCCTTGCCAGCTGACTGCCATAAATAGACTCTTGTTCCAAAGGAACAGAGTTGTGGTGCGAGCAAAAAACTTGGCATCGAGATCTGCGTACGCTAATCTATGCATACTTCTCCATGTTGATGGAACTTGTGAAATGCCAGATTGCGTTAGCTTCTGTAGAAATATTGAAGTTTTTTTTCTGAAAGCCCCTTGTAGTTTTAAATCAGCTTTCTGTCTTACCTGAACTAACTAAATAAACTTTTTTCTCCTCCAGTGGCAGTCTTGAAAGCTAGCTGTTAAATGTAATGCGATTGGGCAGCAAACAGCAGAAAACTTGCTGCTTTCGTTAAATGCAGCGAGGGCTGTTGTTTCTCTAAACTGCTACTGAAATCAATTTTTTTTTATTACAAGAACAGTACCAATGAGGCATTGAAGATATGAATTTCTGAGTGTATGGATATTTACTGGATTAATGCTTTAGATTAGAGCAATGTATTTTCAATTTACCCCTTAATTTTAATGAAGGATGTAGATGCAGTGCCAGCAAAGTCATTTTAATTTATGCTGCTTAGAAAGAAGAATTATTTTTTGATTTTTTTTCTTTTTTTTTTAAAAAAAGCTGAAATCTAAGGCGACACTTGATTTTTATTTTTTTTATTTTTATTTTTTTTTCCAGACTGAAAGATGGATTTTCCATAATGCAGGGTTTGTTGGGTTTTTTTGCTTTGTTTTTGTTTTTCAGAAATGAGTGAATGATTACCTGAAAAATTTTTAGTCCATGTTATATTCTTCTTCTTTGACTTTTTCCTCTAAAACCCTATCTTTTAATCCAAAGTGAACATGAATATAATGTTAACTTAGAAACAACAAATCCGCTCGGTGCGTAGTCATGCTTGCTGAAACAGGAGCTTGCAGGAGCAAGTTGATGCATCATCGGCCGTGGTGCTGTCTGCTCTGAATGCCTCCCACCTTCATCAGCCCCAGGGTGGGGTGGCGAGAGCGGTGGATAAAAAAGGGGTCTGTCCTGAAAACACAAGGGACAGCTTTGGCTTCTCCAGCCCCTTTAACTTGAGGTGTGAAGTAGGGGGATGTCACTCCTGTTGTGCTCCCAAGTGAAGCTCTGATTTGCTCTCTATCACTTTTAAATAAATAATCTGTTTTCTCAGGAGGAAAAGCTACTGGCATATTTTCATTTGGACTTGGGGAATAAAGAAAAGCAAGGAAGAAAGTTCTTATAGCTTCTTTGCTATTGGAAGGGAGTACTGACATTTTTGAAAAGCAAATGCAGGCAGTAAGTGAAACTTGACTGTCTCAAGCGAGAGCTGCGATACCGGAGGCATAGCTAAAGGAGGTTGATCAGCTCATTCTATCATAAAGTGAAATTCTGTTGATCGGAAGGGATCCAAATTAGTTTGCTTTCTAAATAGTTTTTTTCCTTTAAATTGTTTTCCCATGTGACAAATGTGAACCAAAGCTGAAAGCAGCTGTTATCTTTGATGCTTTGATATAAAGCAAGCCTGTGTCTCTTTCTACTACTTGACACTTTACAAAATTAAGATTCTTTCTAAAGCTTGAGATAAATGAAAAGCTTCTTACTTTGCTTAGCTTTACTTTTACATATGCTAGAGCACAGCTTTAATCCAAGATTAGTCTTTAGAATTTGTAACAGCCCCTTGCTGTCCTATTCTTTTTGAAGCTTAAAAAAAAAATTTTTATTCCTGTAGGTTTGATGGTTTGAAAAACCATAAGAAGTGCAGCAACTATGATATGCATCAAGGAATCTTTCGATGCGTTTTCAATCTTAGCTTCCCAAAAGTCACCAACACTTACCCAGCTATAACTATTTTGATTAGAGATGATTCTGAAGAAACTAGGCCTGTGTGTGCAAGTAAAAATCCTACCACCCTTGGTAAGTTTAACACCACATTATAAAAAAATAATTGAAAAAATAAATTTGCCAGTATCTCTTTGTGTTTGAGAAGCTTGCACATCATAAGCTGTGGATGAGACAATATGATTAGATGTTCCCTTCTTCTGTTGATCTTTGATTTGTGAATTATATAGACAGGGTTTGTTGCTTGGGGGGCAGGGAGGTCGTTTGCTGCTCATTTTTACTCTTATACTTTGGTTATTTTTATTCTTTCTTGGCTTTTTGATGCTAACTTTTTCTTCTTCCTGTTCCTAAACTAATATAAGTGTAATATTATGCAATACAGGACTTTAACATTTTTTTTGTAAGCAGTGAAATATACTTTTTAACTAATTCTTCCATTTTGCATTTCAGTAAAACCTGCTACACCAAGACGAGTTACACTGTCAAAGATTAATGATGCAATATATGTAGAATGGAGTGAATCAGACACCTTTCCAGAAAATTGTTTGTTTTATGAAGTTGAATATCACAATGGTGATTTGAACACCGCTCAGATAATTAAAGTAATTTTTCATTACTTAACAGTAAACTGATTTTTTATTTTTCTTTTCCTATGTATTTTTTTTATAACCTGCATTGATACTCACAGTAGCTCAAATATTTGCTGTTTAAAAATGAAAAATTGTGTGTGCTGCATGTGAATGGGACTAGTGTACTAGCTGGAAGTGCTCTGTGGACGTAAGATTTTTCTCCCAAACAGTAGGTTACTGGTTGTAATATCTATACAACGCAATCCAGATGAGGCTTGAATCCTTGCCATCGTTTGTTATGGCAAAGCAGTAATGTGTAAGAACAGCCCAATAAAGTAGTACGTACTAAACAGCACTTACCAGGAAGTACACTGCGGTCCTTGTACCTGTTTGCTTCTCAGTGATACGGGACTTTGGTCCACTGGTGCTGGGTTTTCCTGCCGTTGGTCTGCGCTCGGGCAGATGACTGCCTTGTTCTTGAATGACGTGACCTCATCACCATAAAGCAAAATTAATTGCTGGTGCGCACGAGAGCACAGAATGTTGCACGGAGGTGCAAGGGGATAGAGGAAGGCTGAGGGTGGGGAGGAAGAAAAAGGTGTGCACTCTTAGATACACTGATTTTAATGCACATATAAAAAGCATTGACTTCGGTGTCTGGATGTACTCATGCCTGCATCTGCATAGCCAAAGTGACTGTACTGTTTGATCAGAATGATAAACAACATGATAACTTTAAAAGTAAGGTGGCAGTCTTCTCCCGTGGATCATATTCCATTTGTCCTACCCGAAATTTAGCAAACTCAAATAATATCAACATTCCTCAGGAAACTGGCATTTTGGATCAAAAATAAGTGAAGTTTGATCCCAGCTAGTGTGTTTGCTTATGTCTCTAGAGGCATCGTAGAAGACTTTTGCATGGTCAAAGTTGGATCAAAAAAGTTGCCACCCTGACAGAGCGGGAAAGGCAGCGTAAATCACAGCTGTTTCTCCAAAAAAGGCACTGATCCAGACACTGGGTCTTAGTTTAATCATTGATGCCAAAGGCTGTGTGATAGATGTAGCAGTGAAGAGGATTAAATCTTAGCTTTGGAATCTATATAGGCAGTCTGTGCTGGTTAAATGCTACTATGTACTTTTTAATGAAGTTCAGTATTCACAAAAAGACCTTCCATCAAAATATTCAGAATACTGTAACTGCACAATGAAAACAGGTTTTTAAATGACTGAGAATACAATGGTAATTGAACAAAGAAAATAACTTTTTTTTTTTTTTTTACCTTAGGTTGAAAATAATCATATATCAATTCCTAGCGTTGATCCTAATAGCAAGTACGTCTTCAAAGTGAGAGCAAAACCAAAGCCCGAGTGTTACAGCAGCAAGCTCTATAGTGACTGGAGTGAAGAAAAGAGTATTGGTGAGAGCAATTGTTCCAGCAATTTGTTGCACTTTATTCTTCATTTGTAAAGTGTCTAATACCTTTGGCCTGCTAAATAAATGGGAGTCTAAGATCATCTTCCTATGTATCTATTTCATTTTAGGTAAAAAGAGCAGGAGCATTCTAGTCCTTCATCAGTGCCATCAGTTACTGCCTGTATTGCTATATATGTTGATGACGTTGCCATCTGTGTAGCTGTGCAATGACCCCTTTCCAGTGCTGTCAGTTTTGAGACCCTGAGTCTCAGTGGTTTGCATTTTCTTGCCAAATGTGTCTACATTATAACATCATGCTCTGAAAATAAGTCCCTTCCTAGAAAAGTGCTACTGTATTTGGAAAACATCCAGACTATGAAAAAATTAGAGAATTAATTAATTTGTTGTCATTATTCTTAAAAAGCCTCTCAAAACATCCCTAAGTTTCTACAATTTTTGTTTTCCAGGTGAGAAGTTGGACTCTACCTTCTCTTTTGTTTTAATAATCACCATTCCATTAATAGTAGCAGTATCTACAATAATTCTACTGGTTTATCTAAAAAGGTAAATAACAATCTTCCTTTATTTACAGTCCACTAATTCTGATGGGTCTTTGACTTGTGTTCTGGTTCATCTCTCTTGCAGGTCAGCTGTCCATGATGTGGCATGTTTCAGTAATATCTGTTTTATCCATAACATGTATTCCATATCAAAAATGTTGGGACCATTGTGCCTCAGTCATTAAGAATTAGGTTTATAGATCATATACGTGCTGTGGTTGCACTTGGGTAACACTGCTTATATCTGCTTACAGTTAGATTCTTGTTGCACGGCTATTGCATCCTGTCTCTGCTTAGAGTCTAAATTAAAAATTAAGCTTATATATAAAGAACATTTTACCAGACTTTCTAAAAAAAGTCTACATGTGCTGCTGTCTTTGTCAACAGTGAAACTTACCTAGAATCTGGCTGTGTGCATATTGCCATTTCCTTTTGGTTTGATGAGTGAAAATAAGAATTGGGTATAGTTACACAGAGAATGAAGCCTGGCCAGCAGTGCCAGAGCTGACTCCACAAATTTTCTTGACTGCACCTGAGTATGACTTTGAAATGGTGATTTTTGAATGAATATATCTTTAATCTAGATGTTTTCTCTTTAATTTTCTGAAGGCTGAAGATATTAATTCTTCCACCAATTCCAGACCCTAGGGAAATTCTTAAGCGCATGTTTGGAGAGCAGAATGAGGATGCCCAGGTGAGTAAGAAGTTGTTGGGCCAGCTAACCTGTTGAAACAGAATCTGTAGGCTTCCATTTTTTTTTTTTTCCTAATATGTATGTCTGTCTTAAAATCAACTGTATGTAAGTATGTACGTCATATGAAAATTAAGTATTTACAACAGTAAGAGTTGTTCAGAAACAATCACCCAAAGCTGAGAGATATTTTTTTTTTTTCCCCTCAAATTGCATATACTTTTCTAGATACATTAATAGGATTGTGTTATCCTGTTATTTCACAGACAGCTAGTGTCTTAAATGTGTTTTGGGTTGGTTTGGGGGTTGGGTTTTTGGGGCGGAGGTTTTCTGGTGCTTGGAGGTTTTTTTGTCGGGGCGGGGTTGGTTGGGTTTTTTGATGGTTTTGTTTTTTGCATCAGCTAAACTAATTGTGAACATTCAGGTCTTTCTCTGCTAATTGCTCATATTTATGATGCTGAATAAGGCTATTCATATTTGACTTCCAGAAACTTACATTTTTAGCACTTCCGTAGCTAACTGACTGTGATAAATGTGAAGTAAATCACAATGTTTAGCTTTTCATTGGCGAAAGACCAGAACTAACTATAGCTGCTTCAAGCTTTGATGAAAGGCTTGATATGGGCCCTTATTTTAGGAAAAGTAAATAGAATACTGATTATGGAAACTCTTATTTCTAAACAAATCTAACTCAGCAGGTTATAAAAATCCTTTTAGGATTTATAAAAATCCTAAGGGAAGTACACCAAGAAGCCCTAATTCAAACTTCCACATGAGGCAATGTACTGCTCTCTGAACACGGTCCTTGTATGGAAGGGACCTTCTGACTCACTGTGGCATCTCAATTCGTGCCACCTGTGAAATGCTTGTAGAAGATAATGACTATCTGGGTGTCTGGTGCTGCGCGTGCATTGAACCTTCTCAGTCAAACAGGAGTTGCAGGAATCACTGTGTCTTTGACAATAAGTCTCCTTTTGTGGCCTCCCAATTGCAAATGGACTCAGAGTCCAAAATCCAGTATTCCCTTTTTCTACAGGGATATTCTGTGTTCACCTAATAATAAACGAGAACTATGTGGAAAGCAAAGCATGTATCGGTCATTATGGGACTAAATGGGACTCTTGGCCATGAGGATCATAAGTATGGTAGCTGTTCCACTTTGCTGGGCTTTGTTACTGCCCCAAGTAATGCTACGTTCTTGTCTCTGAGCATTATCTTGATCTCTGTGTACTCAGGGTCTCGGTGAAAAATCTACTAAGCGTGTACATCCTCCTGCCTAAGCCTTACCCATTAGCTGTATTTTGGAAACTCTCTTAAGATGGGGACCAACCTTCAGTTCTTCTTCATCTCCAGAGAGGACGACTGTTCTGTCAGCCATCCCTAAGCCTAATAAGCACAGTTTGTTGCCCAGCTACCTTTCCTCTTTCAGCACAATATAGGCTATGCGTTGTGAAATGGGTCTGTCTTATTGGACTGAAAAAACAATACTCACCATGAAGAAGCACTGTTAAAAATGCTGTTCTTCTCTTTCAGAGCTGTGCAAAGGATGATTCTGTGAATGCTTACGACAGGTTAATTAGGGAAGAAGAAATTCATTCTTTAATTTTAACAGAAGCTCCAGAGTGCACTAATTCTGAAGAAGAAAACCCGTAAAATCTGCTTTACCAGTAAAAGATGAGGAAACTTTCATCCCTGCTCCCGTACCTCAGGTGACCACGTAGATGTGAAGAGGCCTGCAAGACATTCACCAACTTTCACCTTACTGAGTTCTCTCTGAGTCTGTCGTCTTTGATGCTCGGGAAACACATCACTAACAGTGGCAATTCTTCCACCTCTGCTAGAGATACTCATCTTGGATCATTCAAGATGAGCACGTACATAAATTTCATGTGACCGTATTGCAGCATCTCTTGTTCTGCATCCAGCCAGCTCTGCCTTATTACTTGTCATTTGCACTTGTGTTTGTGCCTCATGTTAGACTGTAAATGGGTATTTTGGAGCGAGCACCATGACTTCTCTGAAGTATTTGGCTCTATTTTGCAGCAGGTGACATGAGGTTTGTTTACAGTAGATGGCTTATTAGTGCTACTACATGGAACTGCTGCCAGGTAGGATGCTGGAGCGTGGACATTTGTGGATGGCCTGTTTCGTGTGCTCCAGGGCACAGCTTTTCCAGGGGGCATTTGCAGACTGACCACCTTATGGTTCTGGTTGCTGTGCGTCAGATATGGCTTGGTCAAACTCCATAAGAGGGTTGGGTTTTCTTTAAAAATGCGTATGAAAAGCCTCTCTGCTTTCCAGCTGGTATTCAGACTATTCATAGAAAAGGCTTAGTTTTTTTTATCCTTTCAAGTGCCTGCCCTCAGATGCCTTGCCTTCATGGACTTCATTAATTATACTCTGTTTAAAATTACAAATAGAATTTTTTACTTGTGTTGTGCAGTGGCAGATGACTTGAGTCATTGAGTGTATTGAGTCTCACCAGACTGATTTTACTTTGGCCATATTGGCCTGAAAACACCTGATTTTCGGAAGCTAAGTCATCCTGATCCTGTTCAGCAAAACTACCAGGATGGATGCATGTGTCTAAGGAGCTGTGGTCAAATTAATTAGCAAGTGCTAAACCACTGAAACTGAATTAATTCAAAGGCTTCGAGACCCATCCTTACTGCTGAGCTGATGGATTTGGGGGAAGAGGGGATGACAACCTTGGCCTGCTTTTCTTTCTGTAGTGATGAGGCTGTGATTTGAGCTTCCCCTCTGGGAGCTTAGCATTTTAAAACAAGGTGCTGATATGACTTTTTAAGAATATTTTCTTCTACATTTTACTGCAGCAGCATGATGACTTCTTTTTTTGTAAATCATTAACGGATTTGTTCATTTTTTTGTTGTGGGGTTTTGTTTTTTTTTTTTTTCAGGTTGCTTTACCCAACAAAGCTCAACAGAAGTTTTCTGGCACAACTGTGACATTTCACTGCTCTGAATTCTGAGCATTAGTCTCTACCCCGTGCTGCAGGGGTGTTAACAACAGGACCTTGATTGTGCTGGAGGCAGAAAGCAATGTAATTGGGAGAAAGGGATCCATGCAAGCTGTTTATGATTAGTGTTCAGGAATTTCTTGCTCATCCCCGCTAAGTGCAAACACATTAATCATTGATACAGTCAGTCTTAGCAGACTGGGAAGATATATCCTCAGAAGTTTGCTTGGAACAAACTGTATAGCCACTAACCTTTCAAAGTTCAGCCCTGTCCTCAAACTCCATTCAATCAAAAGTCTGAAATTAAATGCTATGTTTTTAGAACATACTTTTCTGCGAGAAGTAGAACTAACAGAGCTTGCTTTTTAGCTAAAAAATTATATCCTACATATTCCCCCCCTCTGAATAAATCCAATTCTTTCCCCAATCCCCAGTGAGCCTCTCAAATACAGTTTCCTCCGTATCTCTTATCTGCCTCTCGTTACTGATGGTAGAAGGGAGAGGAGAAATGTAGCAGAACTAGCAAACCCTGTATTAGCTTAAATCTTTTACCTACAATCAGGCTGAAAAAGGAGAGACATTATAAAAATTGGTTAATGAGACAAAATGGGAATAAAGCCTCAGGGATTTCAGTGAGATAAAACAAAACTCAGGTTAGACAAAGTCAGCTGGCAGCACTATCTGATACTCCAAAGGTAAAGGAGAATAGCACAGCGGAAAGGGTAACTGAATTCCCGTGCCAACTTCTTTCCCTCTCCCCTTCAACATTTATATCATTATAGTGATACAAATACTATTCAAATCTACCTCATCTAGAATGTTGCTCATCACAGATGACAAGTAGAAATCTATGATTTCAAGATAGGTAATCGAAACAGTGTAATACAAAGTTTTGCGGCTTTCAGTATAGCAATCTAGGAAGATGATCCTTGGTACTTTACCCCAAATCCTTTTGACTTTTCTTTTGGTGTTTATGGTAAAACAAAAGCTAATTTGTTTGGGAAAAAAAACCCAAACAAATTCATAAAGCCAAAGGAGTGGAAAAAACAGACAGAATATGTTAGGCCAAGAGGAAGACTTAAATGCAGAGGATGGTTTAGATCGCTATATAGAAATGTTTTGGGTAATTGTTTCCTGAATAATAGTAATTGACACACTTCCTGGATGGATTTCTTGAGCCTGTGTTCTAGCATGTAAGTTTCTGAGTGTATTTTCATCTTTCATGCGTCTTGTTTAGGGTTTTTTTTAGCTTGAAATTTTCTGTGTTTTGCTATCATTTGTTTGTTCTTCATTGCAGTTACTTGATCTATAAAGTTTGTTTAAAGAATGAATAAATACGTGTGAATGTTTCGGTGTAACTGCGTGGCACTTCTTGTTTGGGAAGATAAACTGAGACACGAGATGGCAGTGGTTTGAGGCCTGCAGAACCCAGAGAAGAAAAACTGAGTGTTGCTCTGCCCTCTTCCCTTTTAGAAATGAACTCGGCCCCTGCAGTCAGTGGGAAATGTTACAGCTGCCATTTCTTTGGCTGGGGTAATGAAACGGAGGTGGAGCCATGCATGAGACTTGTGCTTTCACCTTCTCTGTACTCGGTGCCACGCTGCTTTTTGACGTTGGCATGTTTTTTCATAATGCTGTAGAGAATCAGTAAATTCTCAAACAGGAATTTGACTGTGGTTGCTGCAGCCTTACCAAACGTAGCTCCAATATTTTATGTCCCTGGCTGCTGAAGTAATTGAAAATGCCAGGTTGCTAAACTGATGAAAGCCATTACCTAGTTGCCTAGGCCCAAACATGTTCAAGTGCCAAATAAGCACAAGCAATGGATTCTTTGAAATATTCTGAGAAAGCATACTTTGTTCCCTTCAGTTCAGTGAGCAGATCATTCAAAATTAAGGCATAAACGATTAAAACGCAAGACTCTTTGGCTTTTTCTTTCTCAGTTCTGTAGTTTTGGTGACAATAAAGACCAACGATGATTTTAATCACTCCCTGTAAATTACCTTTGCCTATTATAATACATTATGTTAAATTATTTAGGTTTTCTGGCTAGAAAAACATTTTGTTTCTCTTTTTTGTGAATTTTAATTTGTTTCAATTAAGGGATGGCATGACATAGTCGGACAGCTTTAAAGGAGTCAAGAAATAAACACACCAAATTGTAAGCCATGGTGTTTCACTGCTTACTAGGTAGAACTAATCACAGATTGGGTATTTCCATTCAATGGAAAGTATTCAATTAACTTAGTTCTGAGGTAGAACTTCAAATATTCAGAATTTCCCCTGGAAGGGAAATGTTGATTTTTTTAATTTTTTTTTTTTTTTTCATTTAAAAAAAAAAAAAAAAACCTCTCAGTTTTGGAGGGTTTTCCCCTCACCCAAGCAAGAGCAGGAAGTAGGTGAGTGGAAGCCCAGGTGTGGTCAGGGTGCTGCAGAAACCTTCCTCCCTTCTCACCCCAGCACTGTGGCTGGGCAGTGGCTGAGATCCTCAGGTCCAGGAATGGGCATAGTGGGGCTGGGAGGAGCAAATCTGCCAGGGTTATTGAAGGTTCATTTAGATGATTCTGATATACTTCGGTTTTACTCTACGTTTGCAAAAAATGTTTGGTGGGAGCAATCCCCATGGGTTACTTTGTCAGTTGTAGGCATGTGGCTTCTAGATAATCTGATCTTGCACTTGGATGTTAAGTATTAAAATAGCTCTCTTCGGATGAGCTTCCTGCTGGCTATATTGAATCATGGTGTAAGTAGAGGCCTTGAGATTGCTTTGATGTAACTAAATCCACGCTATCACCACAGCAAAGCAACAGGGGTTTGGGTGGGAGGTGCAGGAGGGAGAGAAACTTTCTTTTAGGTCCGGAAACTCTGCCTCAGGTTTGTAGCACGTATGAGCCTGAAAGCTGCTTACTGACTTTCAGGGTTTGGTTTTTTTTTTTGCTCTTTTTTCTCCAACTGTGGTGGTTAGTTTAATGAAATCCTTCCTCTTTGCTTGTAACCCTTGTGCTGTTTATCACTGAAGTATCCATTCCACAGCTGTAGTCTGATTATTGCCAAGTAGTCTTCTGAAGGTAATAACTCAGTGGGGAAAGATGATTGCTGCTGTCACTGCAGAGCTGTAAAACAGCCAATGTATTCTAGTAACGCTCTCTGCTCCTTGTTTTGCTTTTGCCAAAGTGCTGCAATTATTTTGATGACTTTTGCACAAAGTATCTACAAAGAGATGCTTTCCAATTAACCAGTACTTCCAGTAATCATACTCCTAGCTTATTACATTGAAATTTTTCTCTATTTAATTTGGCTCAAACTGCTAAAATCGACTTGGCTAAGAGCATGGTGAGATTCGTAGCTTAGTGAGAAAGAGGTTTTGTTGCACTCAGGTGCTGTCACTGGACAAAATTTACTAAAATAGATCAAAAGTTAGGAGCAGCTTGAACCAGGAGTTCAACTAATGTCTTGCTTTAAAAGTAAAGCTGGCCCTACATCATCTATGCCAAAAAAAAAAAAAAAAAAGCCAAAACCCAAAACAAAAAACCAAACTAGATGCTTCATGTTAGCAACAAATCAGTGTGTGCAGTGGGCATCCTTTCCTACTGATCTAATGAAACATCAGTTAGAGCCCGTGCTATCAGTAATTGCTGTCTCAAAGCTCTATGCACATGTATAGTGTAATTCTGTAAAGTCTGAAATACCAGAAATTAGGTGTTTTTTTAAGGCACTTAGCTACATCACTGCCGCTTCTCCTTAACCTGTTTTAATGTAGCAAGTTGAAACAAAATCCACTGATTTTTTGACAATGGCAGTGAGAGCACCAAAATTAGCTTGTGTCTATCTGTTTTGCTTGTTGGAGCCTTTCTCCCTCTTGCAATTCAAAGCTTCTTAGCCTCACTGGTTTCCTTCCTTCACACAAAACGTCACTGTAGAAACTTCAAAAAAGCCAGCCAGTTACTCTTAAAGGGCATGAAACTGCTCAGTCCTTCAAATGTCAAAGTCAGCTATAGGGAAAGTTTTTCAGGATATGGCTATTTAGTGTTAACTTCACATCCTATCATGTTCTAGGAAAATACTCAACTGTAAACAGCCTTGACGAGATCAGCAGGTACTAAGGCAGAGCCATGAGCTGACGTTTTTCCACACCTGATTTTTATAGTGCTTTTTTTGCGTACAAGACTCTTTGGGTTGTTTTTTAGGAGGAATAAAAGAGAAGCTGCTATCATCAGAGAAGGGCAGCTGCCTTTCTGCATGAGGGACTTCAAGGGCTGCGTTTGAGCTTGGCTTGGAGCAAAAGTCCTGCAGCCTTGGAAGCACTGGGCAATTCTTATTAGGTGTGTAACATTCATTCTTTTGTTTGAGATGTAAAATGGCATTGATCATCCGTTTATTAAAGCTTAGGCAGGGCTGGAAGAGTTGTCAGAACACCACGTGCCCCAGTGCTCTTCTGCTGAGCAGCGCCAGGACAGAGCATTCTTGGTGGAGGGTTGTCCAACTCGTAAAAAAACCTCTAGTGGAAGAGTCTCTCAAGTGTGCTGTCTCATGCTGCATTCTCCTTAATTAGAGAACTCCCCCAGCAACTGACCTAAATGGATTTTGCTGCAAATTAAGTTGCCTTCCCTTCCTTCCTCCCCTCGCCAGGGCCCAGAGTGGTTCAGCATCTGGTTTGCACTCTGATCACGCTGCCTTGACTTCTGTCTCTGCTCTTTTCTGCTTTGAAAAAAGAAAAAAAAAAAAGCCTGAATCTTTCAACCTCATCTCCTAAACTACATTTTCTAAACAGTGCATCGTTCCTGTTGGTCTTCTCTAGGGCTGAGTGTGTTGCTGTCTAAGCCAGACTGCATCATCCCCAAACCAGCAGACCTTATTTGTCTCTCAGTCTTCTTTCCCCAAGTTCATCCAGAATGAGTAGCTTCTCCTTCTTTCTGTGGCAGTGGATTGTTATATTAGCTGCTCCTCAGTTTGTGACTTTCTGTGGTTACTGAACTTTTAGCAGTGCTGCTGCCCTGTCAGTCATTCCTTACTGCAAAATTGATTTCTTCTGCCTAAGAGGAATGTTTTTAACAATTTTATTGGATTGCATTTTTGTTGCTTGTGTTGCTGTGCCATTTGGAAGACTCCTGCAATTCATTTTATACGCTAATCGGGTTCCTAAACATCTTTCTAACCATTCCTCTTTTGAACATAATCCACAGAGCACCTTCTTTCACATGATCAAATTGTTTAAAACACTGAATAAAGCTGCTAACCTGACAGATTCCTGCAAAACAGCAGTATTCGATGTCCTGCTGGGCAGTCAAATGCTCTTTAGGACGCTTTGGGTTTTTTTCAGCTAGCTGCATATCCATCTCGGTGATTAACTCTTGCATTTCCTCAAGCTGATTAGAAGGATGTTGCCTCATATGTTAGGCCTATCAAAAAAGGAAGCTGTATTGGTTTGGCACAAGCTGTTCTTGATGGCTGGTAAGTAACTTGAAGAAGGGATAAAACAAATTGTTTACTTTGTTCCAGAGTTACTCTAGGGATAAAAGTTGGACAAATGGACCAATACTTTCTTGGATGCTTCCTTTCTGAAGACAAACATGATGTTTGTCCATCAGTTTTTAAAGACTTCTGTTTTCTACAGACATCAAAGAAAACTGCCCGCGTTTCAGGTTGCATCAGTGTTTAGATTGTTACATGCTGCAGGATTAATAAGGCCCTGCCCATCTGAAGACATCCACTTTGTCTGGGTGTATGTTTATTTGCTTGTTAATTTGCTCTGGTTAGAGATAACACTTTTTGGAAAGACTAAATAAAAAGAAAAATTGACTGCACCAAGCTTGACTGCTGCAGGCTTATTCTGATCTTTCCCATTGGGTCATGAGCCCATACTTCATCTTCCTGTAGCTTGTAGGTATCCAAAGGCTCTTTTCTTGTCTGTTTTCTCCCCTGCAAAGCAGGACTCGGTTTAGCCTGTTGCTTTCATGCCCTCAGTCATGCTGGAGGCTGTGGTTCACAGCCCCATCCCCGGTGGGGGCTGGAGGGCAGAGGAAGGGCACGCTCGGAGCAACTGAAAGGCATCAGTGCTCACCGGGGTACTGACCACACATTACAGCAAATACAAAACAGGCTTTATTGTCAACTGCCTGCCAAGCCAGGCTTTTCTTCCTAGTCTTCTGTCCTCATTGCTCTACCAAATATGGTACAAGTGCCTGGTGGGAACGCAAGGAGGCAGAGCCCTGCCAGCGCGCACGTCCACCCGTTCCAACACGCCGCTTTCCCCTTTCTGCACCCTCATCAACAGTAATTTTAAAAATGTTAAAAAAAAAAAAAGTATTTGAAAGTGCACATAATGCAGTTTCTTGCTCTGTTACTACGCTCTTGAAGTAGAACAAAAATGGGAAGTGTACTTTAAAAACAGCCAGAGGGTTCAGGGCTCTGTTGTGCTCATGTAAGATGCACTCTAAGAGATTTTCAACTTGCTAGGGCCCAACTTCATTATACTGGTCTTTAAGTAGTCTTATTTACACCTGCAACCTTTTATTTTATCTGTACGTGGGAAAGCTGTATAGCAACTTCTTAATGCACATACGTTTTATAGTGTTCATTTTATTTACACAAATACATCCAGAGTTGCGGATTTACCATAACAACGGGGTGGTCCGTGCGGATTGGTGAACATTAGTACCACTGGGATTAGAGTGGATGTCTCTGCCTGGGTGACGGAGGTGTAGTTTACACAACCTGGAGCTGATTCAGCTGTTGTACAGCTTTGCTTCCTCTTGAGGAAATGTAACACGCTTCCTGGGATTGAGAAATATATTTTTTTTTTTTTATGTTTTGGGGGTTTTCTTAAGCAAGTAGGAAGAGGAAACAGCTGAGAGCTTTGTTGCTAGTGCAGAGCAGACCTTTGCCGAGC